TCAGTTAGAGATTTTATTTTAATTTTAACAACACAAATAGCCAAATTACCAAACACCCAGTCACCGCAATTGAATAGATGTTAGGTATCTTTTTTTTTTAAGTATATGGAGTTCCTTAGCCTTTAGCGTGAGCCCTTGTCAGAAACAATTAAAATTTTAACGATCTACTTCATGGATAAGTTTACGTTTGTGAGCGACCACTTACATTCCGTTTGTTTACATTGACTTCGATTACAATCGCAGTCAAATTACGTTGCTGTTTGGATCGGAATATACTCACTCATTTTTGCTGCTTAGACAAATGTTCTGTTTCATTTTTGTTATGTTTAATTGACAATTAAACTGCGGCTCGTGAGTGGCTTAACTTTGCTTTGCTCTGGCTCAGTATCAGTGTCAAGTGCATTAAACTTGACCCGATTCCGAGACAAGACTCTTAATTGTCTAGGAAGCTTTTTTTTTTTTTTTTTTGATTTGGGCCTCGATTTTATGCCGCCAGCACACATTCCGATCAGTAAACCACCGATATGCCGGAGAAATGCATTTCACATATTCGGAATGAAACTCGATGGAAAAATTTGAAAGAAAAAAGAACCAGCTGCATAAATTAAGAGAGACTCGTTCGAAGCTGCGATCGGAGCTGGTCTGGTCTGGGCGTAGGGAAAAGTTCAAAAACCGGTAAATCGGACGAAAACAAAAATAAATATCATTGAAGCCATTAATTACATTCATCTCGCCGTGGTCGCGTGTAACTGTAAACGTGTGGCTCTCGAGGCACCACCGATAGCTTTCGGCATCCATCGACGACCGGGAGCAGCATGTCGGGATGTTTGTTTTGTGGGCAGGCCGAAGATTGTTTTGTCTGGCCAGGCTAAGCCAAGCCAAGCCCAACCTCAAGTGCATAAAAATGCATTTCATGTATCGTTTCCTAATGCTCGTGTGCTCCCAACCCAGTGCGGTTTCAAGGCCACTCGAAATGGAACAGCCCGGGTTTTGGCTGAAACCGAAGGCCCTCCCACAATCGCTGATATTATTTGAACCTAATTGAGGCCAGTTTTTATCCGTTGCCTTGGACTCTTAACCACATTCATAAATCAGCATTTACCGGTAAGCACATTGAGCACAAGCTGCTGCGAACAATAATCAGCTCTCGTTCAATTTCTTTTATTTATTTGCAATGCAATAAATATTGAAGCTCATTTAACTGTGCTTTCTTCTTTCTTCGCTTTAAGGATACCCACTTTAACAATTTTAATTTTTCTGAGAAGCCTTTTTTGTCGTTGTCCGTTGATTTGGTTTTCTTTTTGGATTTTGTTGGTCATTGCACAATTTAAGCCGCTCTTAGCCCCCTTCCGTATGGAAATTTATTTTATATATTATATTTTATACCCGTTACTTGTAGATTAAAAAACGGATAATGTGTTCGTTACAGTCGAAAGAAAGTGGTTTATTTATTAATCTATCCATTGCTCTGCGTCGGAATGTTTAAAAATTTAGGAATCAGGATATAGAAAATAGTAGCTCAGTAAAAAGGACATTTTCCTTCAGTCACGAACATGCGCTTGTACGCTCTTAATATTCACCTTTCGATGCCAAATCCCTAAGACATTTGATTTCATGCCATTACATTTTGCACAGTTTCTCATTCTGTGGTTATATTTTGAGTTAACTAATCTTGTATTTATCATACATATTTTGTAAACAATTAAATTAACTATCTATAGTATTATTGATAAATGCTGTCAAATCGTATACAAGTTGCGAAATTTCATCACTTCCGCTTTAACACGCGGCCAAAGAAAACTTTCCCATGCGTAAATGCATATTTATGGATTTTTGTCTTGATGAAATCTCCCCGATTACGGCACGGTTTTAGAGCCCCTCAACATTTTCATCGGAAGGCGCTGACCAATCTGCTCCAGAGTAAATCTCTGCAGCTCGGAATGTGGGTCAAACCGAGATGTAAGAGTGCGTCGGGAGGTGCAGGCCATTGTGATTTTATGGTGGCCGAGGTGCAGTGACGTCAACGAACACTGATTATTGCTAAGTATTTACACAGAATTCGCCCGAGACGAGGCTAAAAACTTGAATTAATTCAAGTGAATTTTTTGGGGGAAATACCTGGGACTTGGGCAGATGTTTTGACTTTTCGTTTGTGTGTGCTCTTCTTGTTAACTTGCTTTACTTCCGTTGATGGGAAAAATGCGAATGAGGCAAAAACTATTTGCCAAAGTGCTAAACGTTTTAGCCGTAAATTCGCAATTGGCCATTACCCAGCTACATAAATTGCTAATAATATGCTTTGATGTGACACTGGCCCGCCTGACTACCAATGAGCCAACGGACTCAAATCACATCCCATCGAGATTATGCGAGGAGCATTCGCGTCCAGTCGGAAGCTCTACTAGCTCATTGACCCGAAACGTGGAATTTTACAGTGGACAATTCATAATTCCCAGCGCAAAGCAAAATGAATAAGAACGTCTAGACCAGAGCCACCCACAAACACAGAAATCCATAAAACCAATTTTTATTCGTTTCCAGTTCAGATCGTAAATCACTCGCCAAAAAGAAACACATCGAAATCAGCAAACTCGCGAAAATATATTAATTGTTTTGTTTTGCTTTTGAGCATTAAGCAATCGATAGGCGTAGCGATTGAAATGCAAAGCCAAAACGGTTGCAGGCTTAAACCGAAATTAAAATTTATAATGGAACAATTGTGATTTTGTTGATAGTCTCCCGTTGATTTGATAGCCGTCTATACTATATGTCAACTGTTTTGTTTGTTTGTCATACTGTATTTGTTGCCCCGTGCGTTTGTTTATTTCCATTTGATTTGTTTCATCTTCCGATACGGAAGACGACACCTGACGCAACGAGGCTCAGCTCAGATCCGCTCAGCTCCTCTCCCTCCTGTTTGTTGTTGGCTCGAAATTGTCGCAGCGAAATTGATCGGTTTATGAGTTTTTCGTTTTTGGCAAATTTCAATGTCACTGGCACTAATTCGCTGTATGCATATTGATTTGCCTCGTTCGATTAATTAAAATGTATCAAAAGATGATCACTGAGTGCGGCTAAAGCGGCTGAGCATTCTCTTGCAAATCTGATGAAATGTTGGTGGAAAATTGGGTTTTAAGGTTGAATTAAAATTAAAACACTACCCTTACTATATGTATTTTGAGATCAAGAAGACATGTACTAACCCACTATTTTTATTACCATTTAGAATCTCTCTTTGGTGCATAAACACAAAAGATTTAAATATTTTTGAACCCTTCCAATTTCATAAACATATATCAAGAAATCCATTATTTGGCTCAGCTTTTTGTTGCTACCGGCTGCAATTGTTATTGAACATGACACAAGAAAATGTCGTTGAACCCGCTAAAGAGGAGGCAATTGTTATACCGGGCCACATGCAAGCGCCGTGTCGGCCTTTTTTCATATTCCAGTATATGCATGAAGTACCGATTTAATTCAGCGTTCTTCTTTCGATTCATGTGACGGGTATGATATGAGTAGGCAAAACACTCGATTATGTGGCATGTTAAACAATGTTCAATAGACGGCGATTGTTTTAATAATTTTTCAGTAGCAGCAACAACAAAAGCGCCAGAAGGCTCGGGCAACGCTCTTCGCGAAGGTCGAGCAACTATATTTACTTGAATTAGTCAAATAAGTATCAAATATTTAACTGACATATCCGATAAACACTACAGTAATTAACGGTGAATATGTTTTTTTCAATAGAATTTGAATGTGCCCAAAATGACACAGGAAGCGAACATTCAATTAGTTAGCCGGTCATTAATTGCCACCAGAGTACATATAATTTATTCACTGGTAATGTACAAATTTCAATCAGGTTAGGCAAGTTGAAGGAGACGTCGAAATTTAGATTACTCGTTACGGTTATTTGCTGTCCACAATTTGATTTCCATTTTCGAAGCATTGAGCTTAATCGATTAAAGTTTTGATATAGTATTTCCAAACTAAACAAGGAAATCAATAAAATTAAGAATTTTATTTAAGTTTAACTTATTTTAACAACATGTATTATTATTAAATTTAAGATTGCAATTACTGACTTATTATTGAGTTTCAATATAATCTTTTATATTCTAATATAATATTTTAATTAATTCTTTCGTTCTGTTTATTTTCTATTTCCAGGTAAGTCCGATATCTAAGTACATAAAGAGTTTTGGAAATCGCAATTAGTGCCCACTTTAATACGGGTAATCTAAGCTATCGAGGCAAACACCTGTGTTTATGTGTGGATTCCTATTTACACAAGAAGTCGCAAGAACTATATTTAGCCAAGTGCTGGAGCCATGTAAATATTATGAGTATGTTTATGGTACTCGATTCTTAAGGATTTCAGTAGAATATCTTAACACATTCCTGAGTGTGTATTAATTTTGTTTAGCTGCCCAGTCTTATACAGATTCCCCTCTTAGTCAGGACTACCCTTATCCAATATTTTCACATTTAAGCGGCAAAAACATTCCTAATTAATGACAGGTTCAATTGCGTTCACAAGAACCCAAGCGGAGACATTTAGAAACGCATAATTTGATTTCCAGTGACGCGACAACTTGGAGTTATTTTGGTTACGTGAACAAATTAATACAGCTTGACATTTTGTCAGTAACAGCGACGAGATAATTGTTTTTAACTCGATTTGATCTTTGCAATCAACGCACTTTGTGACTAATTGTTGTCGTAATTGCTAAACAGTGTGCAGTTCATCTCGGAGCGATCTAAGAGCGAGTCGTTTGGGACCGAAGAGCGAGCCAGCTCTTCGATCAGCTGTTGGACTTCTTGGCCAAGTTATAAGAGACTCAGCACACAAAGGTGGCTCAGAGAGCCATAAAGCCAGAGAGCGGACGGCGAGCTTGGCTCAAATGGCACATACATAGAGGCCAAGACGACGGCAAGTATGAGTGTGTCGGTGCTTTGGCAAGCGGTTAAAACCTTTCTATAAAAATTTCATAAACGTATCAGTTGTCTGCGAAGCGGTGCACAAAACGGACGTGTAAACGGAAGCCGCGCGAAAACGGTTCGGAAATCGGAATTGCGCCTGTACACGCAGCACATAGGAAATCCAATCGAATCGAATCCGAATCAAATGCCTTAATCGAATTCGGTTAAAGCTCGCGTTTCGCGCTTACAAGTTTTTTTCGTTCACGGGCCAACGGATTATCCACTATCTAAAAACTCGCTGCACGCTGCGGCGCATGCGCGACCTGTCTGTGTTGGTGGCATACTTCTAACGACACCACAGTGTTTCCTTTGTTCAAAAGTGCCCCGACTAAAGCCCCACTTTGATATGGCCAAGTGGCAACGAGAGCAGCAGTAGCAGCAAAACTGGAAAAGGTACAAACCCGGGAAAGCTGCCATACGCGGTCTATTCCCCCAAAGTGGATCCGAGATCCGAAAGAGATGGGAGCAGAACTTTCTATTTTCTTTACTGTTTCGCGTGTGCTTCGCTGGTCATTCAAACATATATATTTTCTTTGCCCAGGCACACGCCTCTGGAATTAGAATGGCGTTTTCCCCATGGAATACAAAGTAGAGGTTATTTCGTAAGAGAATTCCTGGGAGTCGCGACACGTTGTGGCTTGATCAGAGGGGGTTATGCAATGCCAGCCTGTCGTCCTCAAGTTTTCGCGAACTTTATCGTTTGCTATGTGCTAAAATGCACAACTGGCTAACCATTTGTGTGAATACGGGTGCGCAGAGTTCCGTGCACATGCCCGTTTTTTATACACCGACAGTGCGGTTCAGTTGGTCGGTGATTTTGTTTTTCGAGCCACTATCCCAGGCCGCAGAAACCATATCAATTTTGACTTACATACGTGACTTGGTCAAACTGCTCCATTTCGCACATATTCTGTGCGTTCGGGCTAAGGTTTAAATTGGGGTTCAAGATTCGAATTTGCGGGCTCTAGGGCCTAGAGCCCCTTCTTTCGCATCGCTTTTCTGTCTTCTCTTCTGACGCAGAGTACCATGGTCGTAAATTTCCTGTGCGATGACTCATGCCAGTCAGTCGGAGTTGGTTAACAACAGCAGCAGCAGCAAGCAGCAGAAAAAAAAAACGATAAAGATACAGATACAAAATATTCAGTTGAAAACACATGAAAATTGCTTTCAAAGGTATTGAGTGTGGAGCGCCAGAAGAGCAAAAGAGAGGCGAAAAAGCTTATTGTTAATGGTGAATACTGCTTTGTTTGTGTTTGTGGTCCGCTCATTGTTGTTGCCACTCCGAGCGGTAACCTCTGCTAGCGTTCCCCCCGATTATTATCGCTGACATTTTGCCATAAGTGCTGGAGCAATTTGCAGCCAAAACTGTTCCTCATACCAATAAATGGGATCGCTCTTTATGCCCAGTAAATAGCAGACTCACTGTGATTTCCCTGAACTTGATGGGAAGTTCCCAACAAAGACTGCAGTTCTTCGCGGAAACATTTCATGGCAAACGGGGTTTCTGCGCGAATTAAATTATCAAGTTTTCTTAAAAATAAAATTAAGTTATGAATTCATAACTTAGTCATCTGGCCTATTGAGATGTCTGTTAGACTTTTGACTTCGTTTGAAAAACGCGATGGTAATGGCTTGCACAGTTTTAATGTTAGCTTGTTAAAGGCTTGTAAACATTTTTATTTCAACCGTTTCGTACATCATTTCATTTACTGCAACCAATTTACAATTCTAGCGTTTAATATAATTAAACTCTTTATAATATAGATATTCAAAGCTGTGAAAGTCAGCACTTTAAAATAAAAGATAAACTTTTACTATGGTAACGCTGTAATGCACAGGGCATTGAAATTTATTGCTTAGTACTTAACTCGGGTTTTAAAATAGATGTGTGGAAAGGGAAAGAATTGGTTTCATGTGGAATGCCATGAGTGGAATGAAATGGCTGCTACTAAATTTAGTCAGTGGTCTCGTTACCATTGTGCAATGACCTAAATCATGGACACAAAATCAAAGCCAAACTCATTTTTGGCCATCAGTTTTTTTTTTTTTTCTGGCTGTTGGTTGTCGGTTGTTGGCTATGTTTTTGGTGGCCAAAAAGCTTACTATTCATTTGCACATAAATGGGCAGCAGCTTGCGGACAACCAACTGATTTGCTGGCTGGCTTCGCGCTTGGACTTGAGCTGACCAATGGTTGTTTTTATGGGAATAAAGTTGATTTAATTTGTGGATCCGCGGAGAAAGTACGGGCCAAAGCTCGAGTTTAGTCTGCATCGATCATCTTGTCACTTCCTGCTGCCCTCTCGTACTAATTAACTACTTATTAGTTTGGGCGCGCCATCTTTTTTAAGGTCCGTTCGCCGTCAAATTTACATCTTAATTATCTTTGTTGATTTCATAATTTTCTTGAGATTGATATACCCTCGCATTAAAGTCAATAATCAGCAAACGGCTTGGCAACATATGCTCGACCACAAATGTTGCAGCAAACAATCAAACATTCCGTTGGCAACAACCGAATAAGTTTGTGTTTGATTTTCGAGGTTTGCTGCTTTTGGTTTGGCGCACTAGAAGGAAACACGAAAGACGCAGACAAACTGCAAACAGCAAACAAAAAAAAACCACTAAACCGGTTCAAATTGGGTCGTAGTACTTTTGAGTGCAATTGTTACCTTTCCACTAACAACAGCAACTGCTCGGCGACAATCGCACTCGATCCACTCGCTCTGCAGCTCATTATGTCCGCTATTATGTTGGTCTTGTTCAGTTTTCTTGGCACGCGCTGCCAGCGAAAAAAACCAACTCCCACACAAACAAACGAAAACAAACCGAGCGATATTTTGTAATGACCATGTTTCGATTCGGTGGTTAGCATAGGTCAGTCAGTGAGCTCGTGTTCATTTGGAAATAAACATTAAAATGACATACTCTTATTATAACTTATATTTCCCTTTGTGTCAAATATTGCTCTCGTTTAAATTTTGGGAGAATTAAAGTGTTGAGGAAATTCGAGACACACTGGATCGGCTTGGGGTAAATACAAGCTTGTGTAAATAATCGCATAGCCCTTATAGTTCCTGATACCCATTAGTGTATTACAATATTGCTAGTGCTTCTAAACAAAATGATATATATATTTTTTATTAGATAGTATATAAGGACCGATCGCACTTGACTAACTTACAACTAATGTTGTGAACTATTTATTCTGGTATATTAGGTATACAGCGCATATCATTAGTGTAACGACAGTCGCACAATTTATGCAGCTACGTTGGGGTTAAAAAAGTTCTCGGTACTCGACTAGACTAGTTTTTGGCGTCTGGCGCGTGACAAATAACAGCTGAAAGGAACACATTACCAGAGGAGCTTTCAATCTCCTTTCAAGAATCTCAGAGAAACCGAGACGGGTTCAACAGGTTTTGCACGACGCCGTTGTTATTATGGTTATTGGTGTTAATCATCAAAGCAGCTGTTTAATTTTAATATTATTAAACTCTTGTTGATATTAAATATATACCCCAGTTGAATGTGATGTTTATTGGGATAAAATATCGATTAGCATTTATAATTGTTGGTATACAAACAAAGTGAATTTCTTGCTTTAGTTTCCCGACTCATTTAGATTTCGCAAATGAGTCAGATTGCAAAAATCTGTATTGGAGTTAGTGAGATAGTATTGGTATAAGGGCTTTCATTTATTCCTTATATAGACCACATATTGGAGTTGTAGGGAAGGGTTTTTGGATGCCAGGAGTACTTGATTTTAATGTTCATCTAAGAGTGTAGTGTAATGTAAAGTTCTTTGTAATTTGGTATTAAGTACCGGGTATCTTATAGTCGAATCACTCGATTAACCCTTTTCATTTCGGTTTGTTTTGCGGTTTTCTGTTGACATTGACATTTGCTGATGCTGACAGTATTGTGACGATCTGCGATTCAGTGCAAGCCCACTCCATTGTTTCAGATGGCGAGATCAAAAGGGGATTTGTCTGCAGGATGTCCAGCTGAATGCTTCCTGTGGGTTCTCATCGCCTTCTTGGCCACTCCGTCTCAAGAGCCTCTTTGTCGGCTCGAGAGCAATCTGCTGCCTTGCCACCGAGCGTAACTCTTAAGTCAGAGTTTTGCTGCCTTGAAATGAGATTCCATCTCGAGGCAGATATAAAATCTTGATTACGTGGTGCATATACGTATAAGAAGTTCAATGATCAGCTGAAAGACACCTTCAACTCTTTCAGCTGCTCATTTTCTAGGGGTCAATGAATAAGCTACCGCGTGACATAACTACTGGCAATCAATTCAAACTCATCTGCCCACAACAAATTAGCAGCCAAATTTTCCATTCGTCGTTAAGTATTCTGTGTGAATCGTAATATGTTATAATAGATATAGATATGAACACACGTTGATCTATTTATTTGTAAATGTTTAATCTATTTATCTCAAGGATGATTACACTGAAACCTTTATGAAGACGGCATTGTAGTTCCTATCCGTCGATTTTGGTTATATTTGTCACGTGCGGTTCTTGTGTGTTTCTTGAAACGATCTATGAATTTCGAGTGATTTGCAAATCGCTCTACTTCATTCCATCACATTCAATTCGCATAAAACATTTCTAACGGCTCAAATGTGTTCCATGCACACGCCGCAAAGTGTTTGAATATGTTTAAGGAGTTTTGCATGCTTGGAGCGAACCCCTCAAAATAAAATTCAAGGCTATCGCAACCAGAATGAAAAAGAAGTTCAGGGCACACAAAAACAAGCACCGTCGTAATTTACATAAATATTTTTGGCCACGCAATATTCGTCGCTGTAGATCTGAAGTAAACAAGAGCCGGAATCGAATTCCTCGCCAATGATCTAGCAATCAGCGGAGCAGAGAAACAGTAAAGAAATCCCCAAGAAAGGCAACCGAATCATTCTCAGTTTTCCAGTACTCAAACGTTTTCTCTCCTCACAGCCGCTAAAATCAATCACCTGTACGAGGAAGCCATCATGACGGCCATGCCCGTAGTCTGGTGCACCGATCCCAATTCGGTGAACAACAAGCCCACTGCTTTTGCCCTGCACGGAATCCAGTTGCAGGGCAATGTTACCGAGAAGCAGGTCCATGCCCTTCGTGAGCTGGTAAATGCCGCCGCCGAGGGTCGTCTCATCCTGCCCTCGGATGGCACCTTCACGCTGCTGGACAGCGGACTCAGCATCGAGAGCTCAATTGTGGAGCAGGAGAGTGGCAGTTCAATCAATCCCGGTGAACCTGGTCAACTGGCTCAGGCAAAGAGTTCCAAGAACACGTACATCCTAATGCCTGTGAGCAAGGCGGAGGGTTCCAGGCAAGGATCAGGTGGAGCCCTAACCGGAGGAGCATCTGGACAGGCGATTGCAGCCGCAGCCGCGCAACTGGAGTTCCTGCTGGAGCCAAAGTACTCGCCCACGCCCGAAACCAACCCAGATGTGGAGGCCAATGCCGAGGAGGCTGAGGGTGGGGCGGCCGGGGAGATTCTGTACGAGTTCCTGTGCTGCGCCAAGTGCATGAACGAGCAGCGGACCGGACGCACTTGCGCTGGGCGACGCCTGCAGCGGTATTTGAGGACCTGCAGCAGTGGAAGTGGCAGTGCCAGTGGCAGAAACAGCGACTACGAGCCGGTCAACGACCCAGCTACGTGGCAGCTGCAACTGGATCCTGTCAGCAGCATTGCCAGCAAGTACGCCCGCCGACAGCAGCGACACAGGCAACACGGCACCGTCTCCATGGGCATTGCACGTAATCGCACCCATCGCCATCACAAATTACCCATGCACAGTGTCAAAATCTTTCATAATCGCAGCACTTACACGCCAGCGACCACAGCAACAGGAGCAATGCCAATAGCTGTGGGCGGAGGCCGAGAGGTGTCGACAGTTGCGATGCCAATGCCGATTCCCAGTCCGATTTCGAGTCCGAGTCCGAGCTCGAGCTCGAATCCGAATCCAAATCCGAATTCCAAGCCCAGCCCAGCGAATAGAGCGAGCGTTGGCAGTGAAGCGTTTAGTTTGCTACCGACAGCGGCGCGATCTACATCGGTGATAGAAACAACGACACTACTGACGAATCCAGCGGCAGCATTTCTGCCCCTCTACGCAGTGGTAAATAAGAATCGCGACTTGGCGAGCGGTGGCAAGACTGAGGAGGTATCCGCAACAACCATGCTGGCCGTGGTGCCCGAGGAACCGTCGCCACCATCCGCCGACGGGCGCGATCTGATCAGCTTCGACGACGACCAGGCGCAAGTGGGTGTGGGGGATGTGGGCCAGCAGGCGGGCACTGCTGTGGACCTGCTGAGCGCCCCCAATGAGGAGGACATCCTGTTGGCCCTGCTGGAGACGCCGCCCGACACTCCGCCCAAGCCCTGCTCCCCGGGCAGCAACAATTCGAGCCGCAAGACCAGCTTTGACTCGACCAGCACCCTCAGCTCCATGGACTCGGGCTTCATGGAGATGCAGAACAAATTGGAAGCCCTGGCAGCAGCAGCTGCGGCGGCAGCGGCAACATCCACTGGCGAAGCAGCAACATCTTCGCCGAGCGGCGAGAAAATCGAGCGACGCAACTACAAGGAATGTCTGACGCAGTCGCGGAATCGCCGAAAATCCTACGAGGAGTTCAAAGCCATGTTTGTTGAACCCGCAGCGGAGGCAACAATGCCAGCGACCATGCCACCGACGGTGGCAACAGCGGCGGATGACGCAACAGCAGCCAGCAACACTGTGATCCCACTTTCCTCCATTTCAGAACAAGAAACCACAGGCAGCCCGGGTGCGAGAGGCAAACCGGATTGCGCAAACGAGTTTGCCGCCAGTGCCGATGAAATGGATACCGGCGACGGTGACAGCGATGGTGAAAAAGGCGCTGCTGCCGAAGGCGATCTAACAACAACAGCAGCAGCAACAGCAACAACAACCGCAGCAGCAGCAGCAACAGCAGCAACACCTTTAGTCAGCAGCACCACCACAGAGGCGATGCGAAAGAATTCGGATTTTCTATCGCAGATTCTCGATCATCAATTTGCGGCCAAGGAGCGAGCCAAGGCGCACAAGCGTCGCACTTCGTACGAGGAATTTAAGCGTCTGGTTAACGAAATTGAGCCGCTGGAATGCCCGGACACCCCGCCACTCGCATCGTCTGTGGTCGCACCCACAGCCTCAGCAGCGGTAGCAACATCGCCGCTAAAGCGTCAGAATTCGCGGCAGCGTAAGAGCTTTGCCAGCTACTTTCTGCCGCGCCGGCACTCGACCAAAGAACAAAAGACTGACAAGGAGAACTGCGCCCGGGATCTGAATGTGCCGGAGCAGCAGCTGGCGGTGTATAGCAAGGTGCCGGCGTCGCAAAGGAATAGCGGAAGCGAAACCTCCAGCTCCCATTGCAGGCGCAATTTCAAGATCTACGACAAGCTGGTGTATGGGACCATCTATGATATCATCCAGCGAAAGAATGAGATCTACCAGAAGTACGACAAGTACATGACCTACGGCACCATCTATGAGATCCTGCACCGCAAGTCCTCGCAGGGCGGCGACAGGTGGCAGCGCAAGAGCCTCAGCTCGATCCTGGAGGGCACTCGGTCCTCGGGAGATGTCATCTACGACATTGTCCAGCGGCGGGAGCGCGAGAAGCAGCGTCAGCAGCGCGCCTTGGAGTCCCAAACATCGCCCACCACATCCGTGATTAGTTCCCACAAATATGGAACCATCTATGACATCCTGCAGGGCGAGAAATTGGATGCGAGCCATGCCAGCAGCAAGCCAGAAACCAAGCAAATGGCCAGTGGTGGCAAACCAACGCGATTCGTCGTTAGCCAAGTGGAGGAGCCCGTTCAGACACCTTCGGTGGATCAGCCGGATGCGAGTGTCGCGGATCCGGGAGCTGCAAAGTCCAGCAAACCGAACAAGATGCGCCGCCTCTCACACATCCTTAGCTACAGCCGAAACAGTGGCGAAGATCAGCAGGATGCGGCTGGAAAGGAGGAGGCCAAGCAGAAGCGCACCCAGGCCAAGCGGCGGATCGGGGTGACCAACCTGTTGCTACCTCTGGACTCTGAGGAACTCTATACCCGCATCATTGCCCAGCAGCGAAGGCTCGAAAAGGAGGAGCGTGACCAGGACGCGGAGGCGGAAAGTGGCAGTGAGCCGGAACTGAGACCGCGCAACGCGTTGACCAAGTCCAGCTCGCTGGATGCCATCTCCCTGTCGGTGGCCATTTCGCCCGCATCCTCGCCCTCACCCCCGCGTCCCCGTCGCAGCCTAAAGCAGCACCGCTGCCTCCAGCAGCGCCAGCAAATTCCCCTTGCCAAGAAGCACTCTCTGGACAACTGCCTTCAGATGGCATCGGCGGTACCCAGTCGGCAGCCCCTTCGTCGCTGGTCCAACCAGACTCCACTGAAGTGCACGTGCCAACACGCTCCCGAAGAGCTTCCGCTGACCGCCAATGAGAAATCCCGCTCGCTGCCCACCGCCTGCTCCACCCCCTGCGCCCATACGTGTGCACACTCAAGTTCAATCGATCATAGCCCGGCCACAACAAAGTCCTTCGGCAAAACATCAACGACGACGACGGCCAAGAAAGGCAAATCGCGTCGACTTTCAGAATTTACGCGCGGTGAATTTTTAAATGAAAAATCGTAAGTTTAGCCTCCCACTACAGCAAGTCCCTCATCCAACTGCCCTTCTCCATTATCAAAAACTAGCAATGCCTATAAATATTTCTGATAAAAGCATTGGTGATAATTTTGGGAACTTCTTCCTTTTTTCACTTTATTCATAAACTATGGGGCATAAATTGATTAACTTATTAGAACTGATGAAAATTATTGGAATTCAAGAGTAAGAACCGAAATAACAAGAAACAGGCCTTGATAAATATATCTAGGTACTAAACACAGATTTGTCCAAATAAGAAAAAAAGAAAAGCCACCGTCTATTTCCACTTCTATATCTGTAACCACTTTATTTGATCGTTATACCAAACTCATATGCAGACGCCATATAAGTTTTTCTTCGCCCACAGCATTGCTTATGCCAAAATTTTCCACTGCAACCGAAATTCGTGAAACAAACGCAACTTCAAGGCCAAAACGCTTCAAATTGGTTCAGCGTTTGGAATTTGCATATGAATGCGAGCAGAAAAAAATGTCTGAGCAAGCTCCAATACACGTGCTGCCCAGGCCAAACCAAATCGGGCTAACTGAAGTACTCGCAGAGGCTAAAAGCAAAAGTCAAGCCAACACTTTCGCACCCCCCTCCTTGCCCATCAGCCGATCCCAACCGATCCACCGCCCACTTGACCATTTGGTGGGGGAACATTCAAAAATGTGTCGAACAATGTTTGTTTATCGTTTAATTAAGGAAAAAAAAAAAACGAAAAACGGTCACGACTTTCGTCGCCTAATGAACTTCTTCTTCGGCCTGTAAATGAACGGTAAATGCCCCCCTCCCAAAAATGTGGTCGTTCATTCGGTAGTCAAATATAGCAGGTTAATAACGTTAACATTAACGTTGGACGTGCCCGAGTGTCTCTCTTACTTCGCACCCACAATCACACATGTGGTTACAACACTCGATCGAACTGACCAATAGACGCATATCGTCGTCGGTGAGTGGGAGAGGGAAAGACAGACATTCGGCAATTTGGCTATATGCTCTCCCTCTTTCATGCTATTTCACTCCCCAATCTCTGGGTTCTTATTCATCCAAGCTTACCGTTCCGGATGAAATGAACTGTTCACCAGTGATATTTGCACGTTTTTTTTGGTTTCTCTCAATACTTTGCTTTCAAACGATTGCCTTCTCAACTATGGTGAAGCGCCTTGTTATTGCCAATAGCTTTGGCATTACTCACCTTTGTTGTTGATTGATTTTCCCCAGAACGAATCCGAGTTACCAGATATTGGTCAACTTATTAGCAGTCCAGTTAGGGACAGATTGCCAATCAAAGTTAATGACTTGGGACAGCTGTTGAATTTCTAAATAACTGTTTGTTGCTGGGCTTAAGGAAATTTAAATAGGAAAATCACTATTAATTTAAATTTTTATACATATTCAATGCATATATAATCGTATTAAAGAATTTAAACATTTTCTAATAAATGTTACAGTTCTTACTTGTAATATTGTTTAAGATGTTATATATTTTTGTATTTGGAAAATCCCCCTTAATTGTTTACATAAGTATGATAAGAGTTTGTGCGCCATTAACCGACTATCTCAAGTTGTGCAACCAACTTTCAGGTATCCCACCACCACTCCCACTAATGTCAATCATTTCAGTGACTGTCACTCATTAGATTATGCACAGTTCTAGCGACCAGTTATCAATTGTCTTGTTGCGGTCCCACAAATTAAAAAACCATTAGAAGTGCAACTGAACAGGCGATTGGCGTGCTAAAGTGCAGTTTCGTTTCGGTGACAAAGTTTCGAGCATGCCAAAAACTAGCATACGCAAACACTGTACTTAAATGCTATTATGGCGGGTACTAACTGAACTCGGCCCAGAACAACAGAAAATAAACTGGGTGCGGTTAGAGGCTTTGTGTTCGCCACTGATTAGTATTTACTTTGTCAAATTGGTCGCTTCTCGGTCGATCTAAAGTCGATCATTTCCTGTGGTACGTCACTTTTTGGTTTCAAATGAAATGCATTGGCAGTGGCAGAAGTGCTCGCTAATGATGTGTTTCGAATGCTATCAGACGAAGGCAGGTTATTATCAAGTACACGCAAAGAAAGCCTGGGCAATTGTTTTTTCCAAGTGCCCTGAAGCGGAACGCAGTTTTAGACCTGCCCAAAAATGGCCAACGTAACTGCAATTTATCGCAATCCGATTCGTTCTGCTTTTGCACATGTTACTCACGGAAAATTCTCGAACGAGCATTCAAATCGTGTCAGGCTGTGGATATCGAAAATGACATTGAATTGCCTCATGTTTTAATCAGTACTGGTTTCAATCAATTTTCCGCCACGAAACTCGAGAATTTGTCAAAACCATTCTCCAATTGCACTCGCGTGTTAGCCAAATCACTTAGAAAAGAGCCATTTCTGGGAAAGTGACCAGTGAAATCGTAGCCGGAACTTGATAATTTGCTAGGCTGCCATTTTCTACAGCATCGTTAAAGGGAATGGCAATGCCAGTCCTGGTTTGAACGATTCTGGACGGGCTGAGGGAGGTACCCAGTCCGCAATCCTAGCATTAACAAATTATTTATCCATAAAAACCAAATCTATTGCCTCGGCCGGACCAGACCAGACCACGCCAAGCCAACTCAAGCCCGGCCTGGCCATATTTATTTTTAGATGCACCGAACTGGTTGCCTTCCCAGCTGCTCGTTGTCTGCACTGATTTGGAATTTGTGCAGCAAGTGTTTCTGTATGTTGTGTGCTGCGTACTCCGTCTTAGGCATCCTGTCCAGCCCGCAGTCTGGCTCAATTAAATGAGCCCCTGTCCAGCAGCTCGCATTTCACAGCCAAGAAGAAAAACTGCATTTGAGCAGGGGCACATTGTTATTATTCGATCTATCCATCTATGCATCGCTGTGTGTTGTGTTGTGTGCTTATTTAACCAGCATATCCCGATCGGCAACGCCGGCAGCTATGAAATTGCATTGGAAATTCACTGCAATTGGCGCCATCCAACAATTATGTGTGGCTCCAATCGCCTTAACTTGAATTGGCTTGGCTTGGTTTGGTTTTAAAAATAGACACACGCTCCGAACGGCCAGTTGTGGTCCACAACTGTCAATTGCCGGAGTGCGTCTCAAAGGCTCGAGATGGCCAACAACAGTAGCTGCTGCATTGGCAAGCTCGAATGCCGGAAATGAATTACACTTTAAGCAATAGATAGACAATACAGGAGTATTTCTGTTCAAAGATAGCGATTGCAATAGAAAGGGGAAAAATGTGTTTACTTATTTTGCTTAGGGGTAAGAGCTTTCAGTTTTCGTTAATTACACACTATTCAGAAGGTGATTTACATTTTTCGAAATTTTACTGTGTTTAAACTATTTCAGTTTACATGTTTCTTTCCAATCTATTTTTTAATTTTTTAACGGAGTTACATGCGAAAGAATGTGACTACCTCATTTTCCAATCATTTCTCTGTCATGTTTGGTCGTCCAACTTTTCTAATAATCCATTAAAACATCTTAAAATTGTTTGGAAAGGAATATTTGAAAGCAAAACGATTACACTTGGACATGTTTTTAAAGAATATCTATATTCTTTAAAAATTCTAAAAATCTAAATTGGTAACTTTGATACCAGTTTTCATAAAACGCTTACGTTTTAGAACATTTTTTTTGCCTGATTCGGAATGCCTAAATATTTTAGAAAAGAGTATTGCTATTAATTTATTTTAGTTATCTTTTGGAGATATCTTAGATATCTTTTGCTTATCTTTTCATATTACCCTTTATAAATATTATTGAATTGGCTTATTAGGGATCAATAAAACAAAGAACTCTTGAATTTGCTTCTCAACGCGCTTGTTGACCGCTTTAAACACCGCAGATGCAATCAGCAGCTTTTGTTATGTTTGTGGAACACATGTATTCCTCCCCGCCATTCAAAGCATTGTTATTATCAATCGTAGCAGATTGCATAGTGTATTATCGCTTTTGCAGTCTCCAATTGTTGGCGGTTGATTAAAAGCGGTTGAACGATACACAGCCCTCGGATTTCCTGGTTAATCAATGAATCATTTGCGTGATCTGGTATTTTCCCGGGGACGTCACTACTCTTTATGTTTTTGTTTGTTCTCATTCGTAATTCCCATGATGCGGCTATTTCAACTTCTTATCGAAGGATTTTGATTTTCCCAAAAACTGGATCTGCTAGTGCCCCTTTTTTTAGTAAGTAGAACTTATCAGACGTGCTTTCCCAAACAATTTCTTATTTAGCTTAGACGGAATACAGTAATCTCTTAAGCGAACAATCGCGAAAGCTGTTTTTTGTTTTGTCGCTCAGAATGTTGCATTTGTGAACGATAAATAATATTTATTTTAATTAGGATTGTGGAATTTCAAAGTTCTGACAAAGCAGACGTTTTGAAGGGATTTACCAGTGCCTTTGCTATTTTTAAACACTCATTTCTAGGAAAATCATTTAAATTATGATTTTATAATTGCTCATATTTGGACTGGAACTTGGGAATAGTTAATAAGTTGACAGCTTAATAAGCCTTTACTGTATTATATATTGACTGGCCATGATGATTGCTCAAGTGCTTCTAATTAAATATGGCAAAATACACATGTGAGGCCTTCGGCGGATGTTGGGTCTCTGTGGCCAGCATCCAATTATAGAGAAAGTGACAGTGTAGTAGCCGGACCGCATGTCTGCGTATCAGGTCCATTTCTGCCGGTCGACCAATGAAAATTGTACTCCAATTAATAAGAGCTTGAATGAGGAGAGGCAGTGACGCTGTTTTGGATTCGGGTTTTTTTTTGGTATGTAGGAATTCACAAGAAATATCCAATAGGTAATAATCAACTTTAAAATTGATTAGTCGCAGCCCGTTCGGGGAAACTACTTGGACAACAAATTAGCAAATGCAAATTCGGAGTCTATGCCACCTGATAATACAATGAAGATGGAGATCATCGCCAGATGGGTAGTTCACACCATCGTTTACTCATACTCGTGACGTGCTGAGAACCGAACCGAACCAAACCAACCCGTTTCGAAGGTGTCCGCTAACAGATTTCACAAACAATGCCGGACTCCATCATGACCTGCTTCAATGAATTTTAGTAAAGGCACCTCCAGAAGGAGGAATAGAGAGCGACCACAGACGATTGACAGCGGCTGACGAGGCCAACCGTTGCTCGATTCCATTCGAGTTGCCAAAGTTAGACGCGTCTGGCCCAATTGCTGCGAGTGAATGGAAACGGGTACGAGGAAATTAGTCCAAAAGGCCCAGCCAAAGGCTCCAAGGGGCGGCAAACTCATGTCAATCAAGTAAACTTTGGGCTCGTCATGTGGGCCAACTGCCTATCTGGCCAACAAATTGGAGCAGGTTCCATTCTTTCCAGTGCTTCCAGCTAAGAGGCCTCCAAAACGGTCTTGCACATGGCCAATCGATTCGCCAGCTAATCTAATTTTAACTCAAAAGTGCATGCGTCCAGGCAGGCTGGCCAAGTGCAATTAAGTTAGCAACTAAAACTAGCCAAACTTGTTGCGACAAAGATCGTACATGCATCTCGCCATCGCCGTTCCATTAGCCATGGCCAAAAAAAGGCCCAAAGCCATGTTGGGGCGTAGAAAAATTGTAGAAAAAACGAATATCCTCCACGCCTCGAATGTTGTATATATTTTTAGACAAAATCGAATAACATTGTGCGATGCCGTGTTTAAAAATAGCTCCAAGTTGCTGCCACTGCGGCAAGTCGAGCCAGCAACCAGAGTCCGATCTTATGGAAGTTGCGCATGCGCGCGGTTCGGCCATTTAATTTTGGCTTTGGCATGCTTTGCCAAGTTTGGTTTGCTCTCTATGCAGTTTTCGTTGCCATTCTGTGTATAGGTAAAACCTTGTTCTCAACCAACCAAATATAAAAAGGAATTTCTTGGTTCAGAAGCGACTAAAATTATTCTCAGATGCACCTAGATTATTTCATTTAATAGGTAAATTTAAAACAAAGGTACAACTAATGTACAAAGGTATTTAGTTATTGGAAAACTTTAATTAGATACAGTTTTACTTTTGGAATAGAGCATCTAGTATTCGTGGTTGTAGATGGTCGATGGAGAGGTATCATGTTTTGTTTGCGCTTCTCATCCGGCTGGATCGCCTCGCCACCGGCATTAGCTGCTCCTAACAGCTCCGACAGGATGCCCATTCCCGTCGTCGACTTGTCTTGTGTGTAATTAAATCGTGTTGCATATTTATGAAAGTCATGCATGCACATAAATGGCCGGAGCACACACCAGGCCAGGAGAGCGTCTATAAATACGCATGGCTCACATGGCTCTTCGCTGGCCAGCAAGCAGCCTCCACTGGCAGCGCATTTAATGGCGTCTAATAAACGCTTATTGGCGTAATAGACACGTGCTGGCGAGGATTCAACCTGCCCCCCTGCGCCTTTGCCTCGTCAATCAATCAAACTGTATGCAAACACGCCTTCCATTCATGCGCATGTTCACCCAAGGCATCATCCTGTTGACTGGCAAATTGCTAGATGACTTTGTTGCAACTTACAACTGGCAACGACAGTGGCTGCTGCATCTCACTGCTGATGATAATAATGGCGGTGGCAGTCGGGCGGTGCTAGCGATTTGCTAAAATCAGACAGGCCGTTCCGCTGGCTCCTGGACAAACAGACATCAAATTAAAATTGCCCGGCCTGGCGAGGACTTTGGCTGCGGGAGACAAGTTCTGTTAATAATACCTTTAAATGGCTTTGCGCAATCAGAATTGTTGGCTCTGGGACTTGAGTGCAGCTGCAGACCACTGAATCAATGCCAGAGTGGATTTCAATAGAGTAGTCGTGGCCGAAAGTACACTTCCTACCATCTCATTTTGTCCTAGCTGCTTTTGGCTGCTATGATTCGGATTTTGGTGTACAGATTTTGTAGTCGCTTTTACTTTTTGAGCCCCATTTAGAACCCTTGCTCAACCCCCTACCTACCACTTGTGTGTGCATTGAAAAGAAAAGTCCCCCTTTTTGTGTTGCCATACACGATATGTATACGAAGATTGTGCCCTGTTTATTCGAGGAGCGGCTAACCCATATACAAAGCATACACATCACGACTTCATCATTTCTCGGCACACAGATTTGGCCACGCTTCTGTCATCATCCGTTATCTGGCGTTCGTCACGTCACGAACTTCAAAATGTGAATTGGACTGTTATGTAAGAGATCTGTCACACACATCAATTAATTGACCACCTCCTCCTGCTGTCGCCGCTACGAAAAGAAAGAAAAATAGACGAAGAGAGCGGGTTGAGACCACATCCAGTTACTTTTCTTTATTAAGGTCAATGTTAATGTTAATGCTGCATTAAATTGGATTGAAATATTTCGTGTTTTGACAGTTTTTGTGTTGATCCATGCTTTGTCAATAGAGTAATAAATCGTGGCGAATCGATTGCAGACTTAGTGATTGCAGTGAATCTGCAGATATTATTTTCACCGTTTTATTCCCCTCCGACTCTAAATTCACTTGCTAATAAGCAGGTTTAGACAGCAATGAATATGCATACCAGACACCTACAATTTCCTTAATTATTAAATTGTTCGGAAATTCGGAAGTGCAATTATACAGCTCGCTCATGACACCTTCAGTAGTACATTTAAATTGAATGGTTATTAGATATATAAAATACACAAGCAGCTCGCAGACTCAATTGTATAATGACTAAATTATAACTCGGGAACGGGGGCGCAAAAAAGAATATGAAATTGGCTACCCAAAATAGGCAGCACGTACCAGATGATACTTGTGTGACTCATGGATGGGGAGTATCTCTAGGTCTCCCACGCGACACCTCAGAGCGACAAAAAATAAAAAAAAACTAGCTCAGGGGGCGGCAGAGAACGGTGTAACCTCGATAGAGCGGTTTCCTTAATAAATTCACCCGATTTATGACAAAAACTCAGCACTTTTTGTTATTTTCTTGCTCCGTAAATATTTTCACTTGCCTTCCATACTAATAATTTCCTTCTCGGCGATTGTCGCTTTAATTGCAGTTGGTACTTCCGCAAAATCAAACGCATTGAGGCTGAGAAAAAACTTCTACTGCCAGAGAACGAGCACGGTGCATTTTTAATTCGAGATTCCGAGAGCCGTCACAACGACTATTCGCTATCAGGTGCGTGCCCAACAAGGCATTCAATTAGCATTATTGTGCATTATATTACGGGGTATTAATGTGGTATTGTATAAATGCATTTTGCAGTGCGCGATGGCGATACAGTTAAGCACTATCGCATCAGACAATTGGACGAAGGCGGTTTCTTCATTGCCAGACGCACGACTTTCAGGTGAGTTTTCATTAGTCGATGGCTCGCAGGAGCCTCATTGAACCAACCTAATTGAAATATCTTTTTACCCCGAAACAGAACTCTCCAGGAGCTGGTCGAACATTATTCCAAGGACTCGGATGGCCTGTGCGTCAACCTCTGCAAGCCGTGTGTCCAGGTAAGCCTAAAATCAAATTGGGGCCGCTGTAGCCATTGTTTGCTTTGGTTTAATCGCGCATTATACATCAGACTTGCCGCCAAATGTGTGGATGCGTGGTACAATAACATTTGCATTTGACATTGTTATGCCTTGGTTTGTTCATTTCGAAATGCCCAACACGTGTATACTAAAGAACTGTTTTATATATTTTCCTTGTATTTCTTTCATGTTTCTTTAATTAACACCAAATTATGTCTGTAAAATAATAACAATACAAAACGATAACCAAACCAACTCGAATATAATCAAAATCAAATAAGACTAATTCATTTTCGGGTGTCTTTGAGGTAGGATTTCTATCTAAGACGTTATGATGTGCGTGTGTTTATTTCCCATTAACACAACAGTACCAAAAACCAGAGTCCATTCTGTCACCGCCAATCAACACCCTCACAAAGAATTAAATTAACCGATCATATTCCATTATTGTAAAATCGACTCTAATGCCGAATTCAGACAAACCCCATGTGTTATAGACATACAGTCAGCGTTCAAAAGCAGTTGAGACGATCCCTGGCACATGACATTCCTCACCACCACCCTTCCGCATCAACAGTCACAAATAATTTGGCCATATCTTAATATTGCGTGTCTAATTAATGCCAAAACGCAGTGAAGGGAAACCGAGATATGTGCCTGAGTTGCTCGGCTAAAATGTTTTCAAGTGTGCACTTAACATCAATATGTACAGGTTGAAACTGATATTTTGCACTCTGACTGTTTGCCTTTGAACCCCCGAATAATGACCCCGCAATCTTTTTTACATCCGTCCCAACTAATGGAACAGATGCTTGTAATTTGTAAATAAGGCCTAAATGTACGCTACAAACTCATTACTCAATTGGCACAATCATTTCTCCAAGCCGAACACTGCTGCGCCTGAAAATGTGCAATAGAAAAAGCATTTACTAATTGATTTCTTTATCCACCATGTAATCATCGCATCGCAGATCGAGAAGCCTGTCACCGAGGGACTCTCGCATCGCACTCGCGATCAGTGGGAGATCGACAGAACATCCCTCAAGTTCGTGCGCAAACTGGGCTCTGGACAGTTCGGCGATGTCTGGGAGGGATTGTGGAACAACACGACACCTGTGGCCATTAAAACTCTGAAATCTGGTAAGTCAACAGCTCGATATCAAGCCCCCAAAACCGTCCGCTAATGTTAGCTTCCGTTTTCAGGCACAATGGATCCCAAGGACTTCTTAGCGGAAGCCCAGATCATGAAGAAACTGCGCCACACCAAGCTCATACAGCTGTATGCGGTCTGCACTGTGGAGGAGCCCATCTACATTATCACAGAGTTGATGAAGCACGGTTCACTGCTGGAATATCTCCAAGGTATGCGGAGGAATAAACCTGCGGGGATGAGTATCATCCCAACCCTTTTGTTGCTTGCATTAACCAAAATTGAACAAAACATTTTATACACCTTCTTTCATGCCACGCAACGTCAACCAACCAACCAACCGCTCGCTTATCATGTCATGTCAATTGCTTATTTTTGTTTTTAATATCTTTTAGCCATTGCAGGCAAGGGTCGTAGCCTCAAAATGCAAACACTGATTGATATGGCGGCGCAAATAGCTGCTGGCATGGCCTACTTGGAGTCCCAGAATTACATTCACAGAGATTTGGCGGCGCGTAATGTGCTCGTTGGCGATGGTAACATCGTCAAGATTGCCGATTTTGGCTTGGCCAGGTAAATGTCGGACATAACGTCGTCTAAGAAAAATATCATTAATGTTTATAAATTCCCTGTGCAGGCTCATTAAGGAGGACGAGTACGAGGCTCGAGTGGGCGCCCGCTTCCCCATCAAATGGACTGCTCCCGAGGCGGCCAACTACAGCAAGTTCTCAATCAAATCCGATGTCTGGAGCTTCGGTATTCTACTCACAGAGCTGGTCACATACGGACGCATACCATATCCAGGTTAGTCACAGCCTCTACTTCTACGAAATTGGATGTCATCGAACAATCTAATCAACCGACTTATCTCCTTGCTTAGGCATGACCAACGCCGAGGTCCTAACACAAGTGGAGCACGGCTACCGCATGCCGCAACCGCCCAACTGCGAGCCGCGCCTCTACGAGATTATGCTGGAGTGTTGGCACAAGGACCCGATGCGCAGACCCACGTTCGAGACGCTCCAGTGGAAACTCGAGGACTTCTACACATCCGATCAGAGCGACTACAAGGAGGCGCAGGCCTACTGATAAATGCTTCACCGAGTCACGGACGCGGCCAGCAGCCGTGACGAGAAGCCAGACAGCTGCAAATAATCGCGGGGCATCCCAAAACGGACAATTCTTACTAAGTTACTTACTTGAGTTTTGCATAGATTTTCTACTGTTGCACACCCTGGCCATGGGCCCTCGTTGGGTGCTCTTGGGTGTGCTCGTCTAGGTGACTCCATACGATACGATTCATGTTATTAGCGTTTAAGCTAACAAATAGTGGCTAAGGTGGAATGCAATTTCAAAGAACGTTCCGTTGGGACATTCGTTTTTTGTTGTTTATTATGACAAACATATTGATACTTTGTCGAAATGATACGTTCTGACACCCTTGTCGTACTTTTCGGTTAATATATCACATGTATTATTATTCATATAACGCATATAGCATATACATACGCGCATACACACTTATATATATATGAACACTTATATATAGATATACAACCGTATAGTCAGATGTATGCCGATGACCCTCCATTATTCAAATATGCAAGCACATACTTCCCCCACCCTATTTTTCTTTAGTCGATAGGCCAATCTGAGAACGATATTTGCAGCACACAAATATAAACGAATGTTTCGCTTTAGTTAATTCATTACATACGTGTCTTACCCAACTCTCACTGAACATTATCAACGACATTATATGCTTTATCACAAATAGAAAAAGTAAAAAAAGCAACACAAACGCCAATCATCAAGTGCTAGCTAGCGCGCAACAGCAAAAATCCATATGATTAATTTTTTTAGATTTTAATTGTAATTTGTAACCATTAATAATATTCAGCTTATGATTAAAACACATACACATATACGAAAAACATGTACATTTAGAACCAAGAAAATAAATTTCTTCATAATTTATAAATCTAAAAACCAAGCATAAAATTCTATGAAATTGAATTCGCATGTCAGCTCTCTACTTAATGTTACGCCCTTGTAGTGGCTGATAAAACCTTATAAAAGCAGCGAAAGAGCCAACGTTGGAAGGTTCTGTGCGTTGAGACAGTCAAATATTTCCAAGATGTTCCATCATGTTTAAGTCATAATGATGTCAATCAAAAGGTTTTTTCTTTAATGGAATAAAAAAAAGTCAGAAATTCACTAAAGGTATCCTTGCAAAGTCAAAGGTATCCTTGCAGAATAAATTAAAATTGGTTTGGTTTTTGATTTTGATAGTTGCTAAAGTTCTACGAATATTGAATGATAAAAGTACAAAAAGAGCGTTTCAAACTTTTTTAATGTTGGCGAATTTGAAAATGGCTTAAGAAGGGAATTGTTTAAGAACCAATTCTCTTCTCTGCCATGGACAATTGCCTTTTCATAATTCAAAATATAGTAGACGACTATGTGCAATAGATGTTTTCGTAGGACCGATCGTACCAAGTTATTAGATTGGCTAATTAATTTTCCTTAGGGCTTGATGAGTGTAAATGCTAAAGATGTCCAACCTGTGCTTTTTTGTCACATTTCATTGCTTTGGTGAGTATGCTTATAGGAGAGAGCGACGGGCAATTCTATTCTTCCAGAAAGCTAATACATTTTAACCATTTTGAATGAATAATCAACCCACATTTACTCTGAAGAATGCATTAAACGAAGGCTGATTTTATTAATGTATGCTAACCTTAGAATGAGTTTTATGTAGTCTGTAAAAAGTACTCTAAAATCTGACTTTGAATCTATATCTGTACTAAAATGCACAAAGTATTCAAGTATGTTTTTATAGAGGCGTAATGCCACCCAAGCAACTTTAATCAAAACATACCGAGTTCACCGAACCTCTCGTTTTATTTATCCAATTTGGTGCGCCATACGACATAAGAATGGTGATTAATGCATGGATCACTTAGACTTTGCAATTTATTTAACTTAAAAACACTGTCATATTTAATATGTAAAGAAATTATATTGAGCAAATAGTAACCATGTATAACGATCGATTTCAACATCTAATTAAAGAAGACGGATCCCACGCGGATCTATCTTCCAATCCAAGTAATATAGAAACTAAGAATATATGCTAACCCCAACTGACGATATATGAATAAAGTAAAATAATTATTTTTAAAACGTTTTGCTTTGATCTATGACAGGCTCCATATTTGGGCATTGGCGGTCAACGCAGTCGGCTCTACTCACTAATCGACTTCTGGCCATAGTTGATTAAATTTGGTCAATACGATTCCCCGGACTAGATCACCTATAGACTTGTTAGAGATCTCCCTAAAATGTCGATATGTGCGTTTCACTGCCTCCCCAATGGACAATGGGGATTAGGGGTGCGCCCGGCCCCACCCGTAAACGAACAGTCGGACAAACAATGCCAATTGATGGCAACGACGACTACTCCAAACATTCGTGAGTGAGTCAACAATGCGGCTTTGTTTTCACCTCGATTTGCAGTGGCCAGTGCGAGTGCGAGTGCGCGTGCGATTCTCCTCCACTATTTCCTTATAAGGCAACGCTGCTGCAGCTGTTTTTGGGGTTTCACTTGCTTCGCTTGCAATCAATCAACGTAAAAAGTACCGCTAAGCATGGGCGGGGTCGCACGATAAGCGGAGCGAATCCAAAACTGAATCACACCCCCATGTCCAGATATCCGTGGCGGCGGAAATCGAAGTCAGAGCTGACCAAGTGATTGGTTATCAAGTCACCCACTTCCTGCAAACCAATGTTTGTTCGCATCTGACTCAAACACAAGAGCTTGCCTTATTAGTAAGCGCTTTATCGGCGATAACGCCTTCGCCACCGCATTCCAGTGGAATGAGCGCATAGCCATCGGAGTAGTATGTATCACTGCCGCAGATCGCCGGTTAGTCATACATATTTTAGCCAAATGCTAGTAGCTACCATCAACAAATGAATTAAGACTTGGGGGTTTTCAGTTCTTTTCATCGCTTTATTTTTAAGAAGCGGTTACAAGTATTTTAGTGGTATGGTGTGCTTTATTTTAATACATATGTAGGAATGCATGGAAGTAATGGAAATGCCAAATATGAATCAATTTTATAGAGGCCAATGTGCATATGAACTTGAATTTTGAATAGAACACAATCTGGGCCAATGTGCATATGAACTTGAATTTTGGATAGAACACAATATGGTTTGCTTATGCGTACGTGTACAATTGTGTATAAAAGTAGATGGAATGCATTCTTCCGGAAGAAGCGGGAATGTTGTGCGCTTGCTCCCAGTGTTAATGTACGTAGCCCAATACTTCCGACTCCAGTCCTTTGTCTGCAGTGGGCGTGCTCGATGCGACACGACCACGCCCAGCTCGGCTCCTGCTTAGAAGCACTTGCGGTGGACAATGGATGGGCCAGACTCGTCGTACTCCTGCTTCGAAATCCACATCTGCTGGAAGGTGGACAGCGAGGCCAGGATGGAGCCGCCGATCCAGACAGAGTACTTGCGCTCTGGCGGAGCGACAATCTTGATCTTCATGGTAGACGGAGCCAGCGCGGTGATCTCCTTCTGCATACGGTCAGCAATGCCCGGGTACATGGTGGTGCCGCCGGACAGCACAGTGTTGGCGTACAGATCCTTACGGATATCGACGTCACACTTCATGATCGAATTGTAAGTAGTCTCATGGATGCCACAGGCCTCCATTCCCAGGAAAGAGGGCTGGAAGAGCGACTCAGGGCAGCGGAAGCGCTCGTTTCCAATGGTGATGACTTGTCCATCGGGAAGCTCGTACGACTTCTCCAGGGACGAGCTGGAAGCAGCCGTGGCCATCTCCTGCTCAAAGTCCAGGGCGACATAGCAGAGCTTCTCCTTGATGTCGCGCACGATTTCGCGCTCGGCGGTGGTGGTGAAGGAGTAGCCGCGCTCGGTCAAGATCTTCATCAGATAATCGGTCAGATCGCGGCCAGCCAGATCCAGACGCAAGATGGCGTGGGGCAGAGCATAGCCCTCATAGATGGGAACAGTGTGGGAGACACCGTCACCGGAGTCCAAAACAATACCGGTAGTACGGCCGGAGGCGTAGAGCGAAAGCACAGCCTGAATAGCCACATACATGGCCGGGGTGTTGAAGGTCTCAAACATGATCTGGGTCATCTTCTCGCGATTGGCCTTGGGGTTGAGCGGAGCCTCGGTCAGCAGGACGGGGTGCTCCTCGGGGGCAACGCGCAGCTCGTTGTAGAAGGTATGATGCCAGATCTTCTCCATGTCGTCCCAGTTGGTCACGATACCGTGCTCGATGGGGTACTTAAGGGTAAGGATACCACGCTTGCTTTGGGCCTCATCACCCACATAGGAGTCCTTTTGGCCCATTCCGACCATCACGCCCTGGTGACGTGGACGGCCCACAATCGAGGGGAAGACGGCACGGGGTGCGTCATCACCGGCAAAGCCGGCTTTGCACATGCCGGATCCGTTGTCAACGACCAAAGCTGCAACCTCTTCGTCACACATTTTGCTGTAGATTGGTTGGGATCTGCAATAGACAAGAACGCCGAATATGTACACTCGAATCGAGAAACGACTGGACGGACAGCGGTATCTGCCGCAAAAGAATATCGCCAAGTACAGGCAAAAAACGCAGACAGACTCGCCACCACTCCACTCTACTTCCCGGAAAACCAGGCGGGTGGAGCGGAGCGGAGGACTCGCGCACGCACAGACGAACAAGGAGACGGAAAGGAATCTTACCTTTTATGGAAATATGTAAAACGAGTAGCTTTTAGTTCTCCGCTGCGCAAACTTGGCACAATGACTGACGCTCTAAGATTGAATTGACCGACGCCTACTTTTTCGAGTTAAAGTGGTTGAAAAGCAGTGTGACCATCAGCTACGCAAAATAATGTGCTATTTAACTGTGGGAAAATGCCAGCAGATCTAGTATGTTTTGTTATATCCTGGTGATCCTGGCTATATCAGACCAAACAATAACGCCAATAGCTATTATAGTCAAAAAGTAAAAAAATATGCAATGTCTTATAAACTTACGGTGGACTATTTATTTTTATAGCCACTCGCAATACATTGGTGTTTTTCTAAAAAAATATGATAAAATTTTAAATTTGACTTATGTATACTCATATTAAGAATTTTTAAAATAACATATTTATATAGGGCAGAGATGACACGGATCTATCTAAAGATCATAAAATACAGTATAAAACCGCCCTCCAAATTATTCATACAAATGAAGGGTGAACTTGCCATAGAATTTTTGTGACCACGGATGTAAGGGATGAAAGGTCAAAGTCGACACCCCCAAATGGATCGCTTAGAATTAAATGTTTAAAATATGGTTTCACATAAAATCCGAGGTCTATTTTTGATGTAAAAGTAAAATATATTGATTTGGGAGAGCTTTCTTTTGAAAATATTAATATTATTATAATAATATTTATTACTACAATTCTGTCAACAGGTCCAACGGCAAAAGACAGGAGCTGACGGGTTAAAGTCGATCTCTTAAAATTACATGTTTAAAATTATTTAAAAGTAATATTCCTTTTTTTAAGGGACCTTTATTTTGATATTTTTAATATTATTATAATAATTATAATTATAATTCTGTCAGCGGGTCCAAATGCGAAATTCAGGGGTAGCTCCAATTGTAAATATATGTACAAGCCAACATATGCTCCGAAGTACACATTCGGCGAAATGTGAAGATATGTATGTGCCAGTGGAATCATGTTATTTTGTTATCGAATTTATTTAACTAAAGAAATCGCGTTTTGCAACACTGAACACCTTTGTTTCGGCCACCCCACCCGTCCAACCACCCCCGCTTGCCAGACACCGCCGAATTAAATCTGATAGCGGCAGCTACGCTAGTCATCAACATGGTGGACATCAACTTGGAGTGTGTGCACCAGATAGAGCCCAAGAGCCGCACCACGGGCCAGCAGCAGCAGGATCTGAAGGAAGCCTACCTAGAGGCGGTGCGGATTCTCCTAGTGCTGCTAGAGAATGTCTTGGCACAGCCGGAGAACTCCAAGTTCCGCACCATACGGCTGGAGAACAAAACGATCAAGGAGAAGCTGCTCACCCTGCCCGGTTGTGACAGGCTGCTGGACGCCATTGGCTTTGTCCGCGCCCCCGGCTCCAACGCCTACATCTTGCCCACTGGAGTGTCCCTGCAGCAGGTGCAGAAGTACCGGGATGCCCTGAGCGAACGGCGCTCCGCCTGGCTGAGCGGAACTGTGCCGAAGAGTAAGATTGTCTTTCGGGGGAAAAGAAGTGAGCTCTCTAATCTTGAACTAGGGTCTTCCATAGGTCCGCCCCAACAAAGCGCCGCCAGCAACACGCCCTCGCCGTTGTTCATCAAGCCCTCGGTGGAGTATCGCCAGCGAATCGCGTTTCCCCTTGTACTGGTAAGCGAGCCCTCAAATATGATTGATTGCAGCTGTATTCTGACATGGAAATTGTTTACAGCGCACCTCCAATAACTTTCTGCAGTCGCTGGAACTGTACTCCGATGCAGTCATGCAGTACGAGGACGTGCTGCTGCTGGCCACTGGTCGTACTTTAATCCCCGTGGACGAGCTAACCGACAAGGCGAGCGAGAAGTTAGTAGACATGCAGGAACGGATTGCATCGGGCGAGTGCCAGGAGAAGGAACCCTGCGTTCGAGACCTGCTGCTCGTGGAGCTGGTCAACTGGTTTAACACGGAGTTCTTTCAGTGGGTAAACAATATACCCTGCCGCGTGTGCGGCAGTGACGAAAGCAAGCTGCGACGCACCCAGCGGGAGGGCGATGTTCGGGTAGAGGTTACAGTCTGCTGCGGCCTGGAAACCAAGTTCTACCGCTACAATGACATCTCCCAGCTATTGGTCTCGCGCAAGGGCCGATGCGGAGAGTATGCCAACTGCTTTACATTCCTCTGCCGCTGCCTGGACTACGACGCACGCATTGTGCACTCACACTTTGACCACGTGTGGACCGAGGTGTACTCGGAGTCACAGACGCGATGGCTGCACGTGGATCCCTCCGACAACGTGGTGGATTCGCCGCTGATGTATCAGCACGGCTGGAAACGCCATATCGACTACGTACTTGCCTACTCGCGGGACGACATACAAGACGTAACTTGGCGCTACACGAACGACCACCAAAAGATCCTACAGTTGCGCAAGCTGTGCAGTGAAAAAGAACTGGTGCAGACGCTGGAGGCGATTCGCACCAAACGACGACGAAATTGCACCGCCGAGCGAAGATTGTTCCTCGGGCAACGCAATATGTACGAGGTCATCGGCTTGACCCTGGAGCGGTAAGCTCTTAAAGCAATTTGTTTTTTAAATTATTTATACGCCTTTCTTTTTAGCACACCGACGGAAAACGAGCTGAAGGGCAGGAGCTCTGGCAGTCTGTCTTGGCGGCAATCGCGGGGAGAACACACTTTCACTAACGTGAGTTAAATTCGGGAGCTGCTTGGGCGTTTGTGACGACATATTTATTTACAGATTTTTGTATTCACTCCGAAAGAAGCCGAGTCGCAAAAACGACAGCTTAATTTGCGTTACAGCTGCGCCACCGACACATACGAACGATATGTCAAAGGTGGGTAACGAATCTAATCAGTATCTATGAGACAACTATAAACATCCATGCACGCAGATGAAGAACGTGTCACTATTCTGGATACCTATAAAACCTGGCAAAAAGCGCAGTTTTCCTCGAAGAATATATTTCGAAAAGTGGAACGCGATTGGAAGATGGCTTATTTGGCGCGAGTGGAGGATACTGATTGCGCTGAAATTGTCTGGAAGTTCGATTTCAGCCAAACCAATCTGAAGGTAAAATCCTACAGCTTGGTTTTCGAGACGAAAACTTTTGGTGAAGGAAAAATCGCTGTGACCGTTGAAGCCATCGATGGAAACACTTCCGTTGAAAATTCCACTGGATTCCAGATTGTGGCCAAGCTGTCGGGTGGCAAGGGCGACGTTGCGTGGCAGCACACCCAGCTCTTTAGACAGAGTCTGAATTCCCGAGACTACCCCTTCGAACTCCAGGTGGACTTTCACTAAACTTTCCTAAAAATATATTCCAAATCAAAGTATAATTGTAAATAAGCATGTACGATTCCCAGTCCGGATGAAAATGTTGAATATAATAATGGATAATTTATATTATATGTAAGATCATGGCACATAGTGTCGCAGTAATAATACATAAAGCCTAAGAGCATTGGTCTTAGATCCCAGAAACAAAATTCAAGTAAGAACAAGTTTGTAATCTATGACTAACTATCTTAACACTTTTATTATTTCATTTAAAGGGGGTGGGTGAACTTACCAAGAAAGTTGGGGGAGGAATTAAACTTAGTACTTACGCTAAGAAATTAAAATTGTGAAATTCCGCCACCTTGTCTATATTCAAGATATAGTTTTGGCCATGTTTGTCTATACACAAATACAAAATAATAGGGTAAAAACAGCTAATTAATCGAAAATATCTTTAAAAACTACCAAGTTATGTCGGTCGAAAGTCAAGATTTAAATAGATTGCAAAAAAAATATTTTTATATTAGAACTCTATTGGCTCGCCGAACAATGCATTTGCAATCAATATATGTATACAAACTAAAAAACTGGATTCTACCTCCAAAAATGTGAGTGCCATAGACTTTAAATATTACAAATTTGTTTGATTCTCGGGACTTTGAAGTTGTATAAAAAAGTTTACTTTGGCAAAACATTTCGAATAGCAAGGTATTTTGGCCTTAATCAGAATAGGGTATATGAGCTTTTGAAGGCTTATTCTAAAAGCATGGCTTAAAGCTGAACATATGGATATAAGAAAAGAGTGTCAGAAAGGAATCTCTGTCAACTGAGACCATGTTTGACCCGTGAATGAAAACCGTCGCCTCTATAACTAACTAATAAACTAAATGCCCCTCAATTATATTTTTGATGCGCTATTTATAAGTTTTCTTGAATCGCAAAAGAGGAAAAGGGTTGCGTGCTGCTAGTTATCAAAATTACTTTCACTTTTTTCGTACCAAATCGTGTTGGCATATTTTATCTACTGGCTTAGGCTTTGATAACGAGTATACCAAAAAACATCCTGTCTACAAACACCCAAGATAAAAATAACCGTAAGTATACTTATCGATGTTGATTCGAATAGAATTATCAATTTTATTGTCAGTGAATCACAACGATCATAGCGCCTCCCGGAAACAATTAAAGTATTATTGATTTCCTCTTAGGATTCTTATATATCATGACTTTTTCGTCCATGTTTTAGATTGAGGAAAAGTTGTGTTAAAAAATACTATGATGGATCACATGTAATCTCCAAAAACATACTTTGAGGTCAGCGTGCTGGTAACAGATGGAATTTGGCCGTCTCTAAAACAGGGAAAATTCAATTATGTATATTTTTTCTTGAAATATTGTGCATTTGGTCCACTCACTTGGTTTGCGCTTTCACGACGCGCCGCACGTCCGTCATGATGGTGTCAATGTCTGAAGTCTTGCCCTTCTGATTGAGAGCCTCACACAGCGTCTGAATAAATGGAGTACCGTCCTCCGTGCGGTAGGAGACATATCCCTCGTAGGTGCTGTAGCACTTGAGAATCTCGTTGGGGGACCCGTTGGGCTGGGCGGCATCCGTCATGAAACCACCTAGCTCGTTGGCGCCCTTGCAGGCCTGGACGAAAAGCAGCTTGGGCTTGTCCTTCAGCGTACGGTTGCGCAGGATGGGGAAGAGCACGTCGTAGTCCAGGGAGTAGTCGTCGTCCTTCGCCGCCAGTCTGTCGTTGCGCGTTCCATGGCTGAGCACCACCAGGACCAGAGCGCTCTTCTCCTCAAAGTCCTTGGTTTCAACTGTAAGAGATGGGTATTTCAATACGGAACTATCAACAAATTCGGCTTTACATACGCATCTTGACCGTTCGCTTAACGGTGGCCAGAGTGGCGTCTGTGATGACCTCCACCTTGCACTTGAGCTGCTCGAATGCGGCGCGCAGGACTCTCACATCCTGGGCACTGCCCGTGCGGAACTCGTTCTTGCTGTCAAAACGCTCGTGGTTGAAGATGTATACCCTGGCGGGCTTTAGCTTACTCTTGGTCAGGCTGGACTTTGAACTTCCCAGGCTGGCTGGTATGGTGCCCTGGGCATCCAAGATACGTGGTGTGGCCGCGACCTTGGGCTTAGCGTTGGTTGTTGATCCGCCAAGACTGAAGAAGGGTTTGGGCACGGCAGTGGAGGTCAGCGCCTTGTCAGCTGGCTTGGGCGATGGAGCACTGATATAGGGTTTGGGCACTGCAGTGGAGGTCAGCACTTTATCAGCTGGTTTGGGGGATGGCTTAAAGAAACTCGTAAAAGAAGTGCTGGATGATGTTGGTTTGGGAGTACTGGGCAGACTTGTTATGGAGCTGACACTGGAGCTGGTGGATCCTGGTGTGGCCTTGGCGTACGGAGATGTGTATGTTATGGCCAGACTCGGCTTCTGGGCGTATGGAGAAACGTAGGTGGAGGCCGAGCTTTTGGCCGTGGAGGAGAACGGCGGCCAGGTGGTCTTGGTGCCCTTTCCCTTAATGTTCACGCGCTGCGTCTCCACGTGCTGGGTGACCGTGTTCCCGTTCTTCTTGGTCACGGTGGTCTGTTCGGTCTTCACCAGTGTGCTGGACCGCTTGCCGCCATTGCTGGCCGTGGCCTTGAATGGCTGTGTTGAGCGGAATGAAACGCCGTTCAAACTGGGCGGCCGGGAACGCGAGGTGGTCGTCGTCGTGGTGGTGGTGGTGCCGGTGGCTCCGTTGCCACCCATCCGCAGCTGGGCCATGAGCGTCTCCAACTCCAGCTGGTTGGGCGTGCGGCGCGTCGTAGTCTCCGTTATTTGAGCCGTTTGCTTGTGCGTCACCGTTTGTCGGGTGGAAACGAAGGTGACCGTCTGCTTGTTGCTGTCCGTGATCGTCGAGTTCTGCACGGCCGTGTTGGTCGTCTCCGTGGCCGCACTCGTGGTCTTGACGCGCGTGCGCGGGTCCTGCAGCACCAGCGCCTGGCTCTGGCTCTGGCTGGGCTGGCTGCGATCCGTCTCGGTTTTCTTGCTCCACCAACCCATTATCGCTCCGGTTTGCGTGTGCTGGAGCTTTCAATCTTTATCTCGCTTTCTCGCCCTGTTCCGCAGTAGCTTTTTTCTGGCGTGGCGCACTTCTGCTCCGAACGACGATTCTCGCGGCACTGAAAGGCAAAAAGAATTTCGCATAAAGAGCGCTTCCGAGATAAGGTGCTTATTCATCGCTTGCCCCCTGCCGCTCCGATCTGATTTTATCCGGCTCCTCGGCTCCACACCATTGCATACTGGGCTGGAACCCTTTTATTTGGAATATCTCAAATAATTTTTTTCAAAACTATCTTAAAGTATAAAAGAATCGAATCGACAAACATAAAATTAAAGCCTCAACATTTTAACAACTACTTTCATTAACATGTTTGGGATGAACAAAAGAAAAATATTATTCATCCGACGTGTTGATTTTGCGCAACGTTCAAATTTTTGCCCATCGACAAAACATTTTGGTCGGTGTTATCGACAAAAATGTGGACGTGGCCGAATCGGCATACAATTTTAGTTTTATGTTGCCTTAAGTCTGTAAATTAATTGGTTGAGCTTATGAGACAGAAGACAATCTGGCCCAGTCTCCACTGTGCAGCACAGTGCTACTAGCGCACCGTTGTATGGGTTATCTACCTCTGAGGCGGCTGATAACCAGAACTCGCCATGGGTCTCTCTCTTTCGGTGCTTAGATAGTATCTCCGGGTATACCCCCGTCACACACTTACTCATGCTCTGTTGGGACTTATTGAATTGATGAACTTTTTTAAATAGCAAATTATCTTTCCTGTTATAAACAGGCCAAACAAGCTCGTATTTCTTAACAACACCTGTGAAGGAAGTTCTCTCTTAGAGTCTGCAAGGTGCCCCATAAGAGTATCTAGCCCTAGATATGTATCTAGCACTAGTCAGATGAATATGTGAAAATGATTAGTATTTATTCGATTGCTTTTTTGTTTATATCAAGTTTGCCTGTATCAATTGGGATGTATTTTATGTTTCTTATTCATCGCTGCCGCTTTCTTTTGTTGACAAAGAGCAACAAATTCCGAGAACCATACGAAACGAACAAAAAAATCAGCTGTTAAAAATAAAACAAAACACTGTTCTCTTATGTGGAAAAGCAACTACTCTTTGGGTACCTACATACATTAATACTCTTTGGATTTTCAAATACACTAGCCTACATATCAAATGTTAGCGAGCTCAGCTCCAGGTGTGTTAAAATAACAATAGAACGCTTTAGTTTGTTATCAAGTTAAAACAAACATTTAATAGACGATTGCTAAAGTTTTAAGACTATAGCGTTACCAACTTCTGACCAAAACTGGTAAACCCTAATTGCAGACAATGGTGAAATTATAAAATCATAATCATTGCGGATTTTGAATGATGTTCCAAATAGTTAAAACATGATAGGTTTCAATCGTTTTCTTAGCCATTAAAAGTCCTTGATTATTTGTTAAAAATAAAGAAATAAATATATTGATTAGATTCGCTCATTAGTTAATTATTTGTTTAAGGTCAACTAGTCACTGGCCTGTGACTTAGGGTTTTCCAAAAACAAGCACGTATTCTTATCTCAAGTTTGCTCTGCATAAAAAAATCCGAAAGTAAACAAATATTTTGTGGAAGCAATAGCCTCACGTCTGCCAGACTGGAAAGAGCCGTTGATTGTCCAGTGTGCATGGCCGGCGACTTAACTATCACTTTCGTTCCGATCCTTGTTCTCCGAATTTGATAGCGTCAGGTTATCGACGAAATTTCGTGGGAATTTTATATTTGTATTAATTTTACCAAATTGGAAATCCGAAATGTTATATATGTATATATATATCATATATATGTATGTTCCTTATATTTTACTGAATATTTTTAATCCGATGACATATAACTTTAACCAATGTTTCTACAAATGTTTTTTTTTTGTTTTTAAAAATGTTGGTTCAATATTGAGTATTTAAGCGAATGTTAGGCTTAAAATGTATTTTCCGGTTCATTTAAAAACTGTGTAAAAACCAAACTGGTGATGCATACTTTTCGGCGCTTAAGTATTTTCAGGCCAAATTAGGTGTTCCTAAACTGAAACAAGTTGTCAACAACAACAACCACATTTATTTTATAAAAAGTAGAACATACGTTTTCAGCTCGAGTTTGCTAATACAATAAAAATAATTCCAGGGACCTTAAACAGCGATTTAATTGAGAAGAACAAGAAAACAAAGCGACATACTTTATCATTTTGGAGTGGACGTTCAAATCATGTTTATTAAATGGATTATTGGATTCTACCAAGTATATGTTGCAATACCAGTGGAATGCAGTTATTACAAAGCATTAAATTCGCAGGTGGTACTAAGATCGCTACTTCCCAAGACACAGCAAAAAAATCAATAAAACATTCACTGCTGACAGTTATTCTTTTGTAAGTTTTACTTTTCGTATAGAAAATTAAGCGTAGGTGATTCTAATAAATATAGTATTTAATTTAACATTTAGTCATTTTATGTTATGCTGAGGCGCTTTAAGACACTATGTAGTTTATATAGTTATGCGAAAATATATGTGTGTATATTCTTTTCATTTAGTTTAGTTCCTTAACCTATCGATGTTTCAGCCGGCGGCTGTTACACCCAGTGTCTGAAAAATTAAAATGAAATCCTAGCAAAAAGTTACGCACAGTGCATTTGTTTAGATAGTAAAATCCTGCGAGCCCTAACAATGTATAAATTAGTGAATGCGTCAATGGCTTCGAGGCGTTTCAGAGCCGAGAGTCAACTTATTCCTAGAGGCTAGCGGGCAACGGAAAATTCATCTCTTCCTGCGCTTCAGTGACATTTGTCAGCCACAATGGGAAAGCGGACGACGCGGATCTCGTTTCCGTAGTCACAAACCACCGAATCGCAGGCGAGCATCATGATTTTGGGGCACAGCTGGAGATTGGCAAAGTCCAGCTTGACCTCGCGGGCCGGCTGTCCAGTGCGCACATCCCACACAATAAGTGACCCTGCAGAAGAATTGACGGAATTAATTACAATCCATAAAAGGCGACAGACAAGAGGAGGCCTTACCCATTTTGCTGGTTACCAGCAGGGACGGTGTCAGCATCAGCAGACTCGAATACGCGTTTGAGATGTTAATGGTGGTTAGCAGGTTTCCCTGAAACCGCTCCCACACGCAGATTCGCTCGTCCGTGCCCAGCGAGATCACATAGCTGGGGGCGCAGGCCAGGCAGCTGACGGCGCCGTCATGAGCTTGGATGTTATACATGCATGCACCCGTAAAAAGATCCCAAACGCAGAGCAGACCATCCTGGGATCCAGAGCCCCCGGTGCCCGGTTGCCAGCGGTCCACGAACAGGCAGGTGACGGGTCCACAGTGTCCGTGCAGAGTATACTCCACATCCGATTTGTTTAGACAATACACCTTGGGGGATCAGCTAGAGTCAGCAAATTATATTCAATGAAGTGTTCGGACGCACCTTGAGAGTGTGGTCCTGACTGCCGGTGAAAACCATGTCGTTGACGACCTGCATGCAGGTTATTGGCTGCTGATGAGCTAATCGCACGCCCTCCAACGTGATTTTCATCTCCTCCTTAGTGGTCTTCTGGGAGGCATCCTGCTGGCTGCGGTGCTGCATTATCAGTCCCAGGCTTCCAGTGGATCCAGTTCGGACATGAGCTATGAAGGGTAAAGCCTTTTTTAATAAAATACATTAAAAAGGTGATTCGGAAAGACGTACTTCGTCTGTAGGCTGAGGTAAAACCCCAGTCGATCTGCTTTCCCTTGTAATATGTCTCCAACCGGTAGAAGTCCAGTCGCCCGTTCAGACGGGCCACAATCACTCGATCGCCGTTCAAGTGGATGTGGGTTATACCCTGGTTTCTCTTGGCATCCTCCTGGTAGGCACACTTAAGCAACCCGGCCGGGGATTCCCACAGCTCTACGCGTCCATTGGCGCAGCCTACGGCGATGAGATTATCATAGTAGTCCAGACACCACACCGGTGACACTGGCAACTTGCGCACCAGCGTCTGTCCATCTGGTCGCGGTTGAGAGATCTGGATGTCGGAGCGGGCGATGCTGGTCAGCTGCTCACCACTGCGTGCGTCCCACACACGTATTTGGCCCTTAAGGCAACAGCTGATGATGTAGGAACCATCGGAGACCAGACATTCAATGCGGTGCTTGTGGCCGGCGATCTGTGTGGGTACACCCTCGAGGATCTGCTCAGTCTGCTTGTACGGCGCCTCGGACTCGTGCCAGCTGGAACGCCATTCTGCATAGTTTCTAGTGCAGATGCAGCGGTAGAATACCACCATCGTGTAGCACAGCACGAAGATGCTAATGCAGCACAAAAGGATGGCGAAGAATATTTCCATGGGGCTCTTAGGAACCAGCGGCATCCCGCCGGCCATAACCATCGGGGATTCGCGCCGCACGTCGTCGTCGTTAAAGTCCAGCGGATCAAGGGCGGCGGCCAAGGCCTTCCACTGGAAATTCTGTTGCAGTTGCTCCTGCGGATTGCGCAGCAGCGTGGCCAGTTCCGGCGTGATAGCATGGCTCAGCCGAATGGTGGGCAGCAGGGTCACATAGTGCCCGCTCAGTGAGACGTTGTACTGCTTCATGATCGTGGACCAGTGGAAGTTCGAGAGGAAATAGTTTAAGTCAAAGTTGGGGTAGCGCAGGCGCAGCAATTCTTCGGCCGTCTCGTTGATGTCGTTCGAGAGTGGAGCTTGCAGTGGCGTGGAAAAGCCGCTGCTGCTGGGAGCACTTGTCTTTTGCCGCTGTCCATCGGCTTGCCATCCTTCGAAGAAGCTGCTCACGGCTCCGCGGCCCGCCTGTAGGCGCCGTTGCAGTTCGAGAGTTGCCGTCATCGTGCCATTGCTTTCCATGCTAAACAGCTGCTCCAGACATCCCGAGTTATACACTATAGAACAGATCCATACAATCATCCAGATCATGAAAGCCCGCTGGAAAAAGCGGGTGCGCGCCCAAAAGTTTACAATCTTTATGCGCTTGGGGATTCGCTGTTCCTGCGGCGAGTGGCCGTTGACCAAGTTTGTCCGATCGTTGACAGATGCGGGATCTGCAAAACAGAGTTTCGGATGCGACTGCGAGCGCTGGAAGGTGCCGGGAACAAAGGGCGGCATCGTCGGGGCAGCACCAAAGAAGCGGAAATCCTGGCGACCAGCTCCCTGCGTGCAACTCAACAGCATCTTGGGCAGGTGCTTTGCCTCCGTCGTATACTCGGCCCGCTTGATGTTCATGGCCAGGATGGTTGAGAAGAGCAGCATTTGTAGCATGAAGTCCGAGAGCAGACCGACTATGGCGAAGATACAGAACTCCTGGATGACTGGCACGAAAGTGGCGAGTCCAATAGTCAATATTGTGATCTCCGTCAGCAGCGTCTTGGATATATGCCATCCCTCCTTGCTTAGTGCTTGCGCCACGCGGATCTTTACGTCGAACGTCTCGTCCATTGACACTACGCTCTTCGTGATAACCAAGCTGTTTTCCAGTCCCACCAGGATTACCAGGTAGGGAAATATGTCCTTTGACTGCAGTGAGATGGTCAGGCCGAAGAAGAAGCACAAGCCAAGGGACATGGCCAGGCTTCCGGCCGTTGTAATCACGCTGCACAGAGCCAGCAAGAAGCGGGAACGAAATACATCGATTTTACGGACAGAGAAGTAGACGTACGCAAACACCAGCATGAAGGCTACTGTGTAGGGCACTAACTCCCACATCCTGTATTCTCCAGGGTAGAATATGTACGTAACCGTCGATGGCTCCTCAGTTGAAGCACCTGCCGACGATGCCAATGGCAGCGGCGGATAGTGTCGCTGCAGCTTCTCCTTAAGTGTCTCTAGGTACTCCACGTCGTTGTGCTTGAGGACCAACGTCAAGGCATACTGTATGATCCGTGAACGAGCGCGGAGTGGGTAGCGCTTGAAGCCAGTGTCCTGCATAGGCAGGCCAAACAGCATTTCCGCAGCGGATACCTTTGATTTTTGCAGGTTCTGGAAGAAAGGTAAGGATTGTTAACAACCAATCGGATACAAATAAACTATTTGTACAGAATTTTTGGATTAGTGAACTCTATCTAGCTCTTATGAAACCTTGGTGTTCATTCGGACAATATGGCTATATCGGCTAGGATCATGATGCTGATCAAGAATATATATACTTTATAGAATCTAAAACGTTCCTTCACCCTGTTACATAGTTATCAAGGAACACAATATACCCGTTTACTCTATAAGTAACGGGTATACAAATACACATTCTATTGATAACAATACGTTCAAGATTTCCTTTTTTAGAAATGTGTCAAATAAATATAATTGTTTTTAATAAATTTTCGTTTTATGTTGATTCACCAGTAATCGACCCTTGTGAGAATTTTAGCTCGAATTAATCGATCTGATTTGCCAGTAAATTATCAAGCCGCTTATCAGCAAAACTCTTAATATATGCTACGAATGGATTGCGGATTCACTTCTTCATTGTGTCAATACTTCCCATCATGATAAACATGAGGGTTATAGCTAGAATTTTTTGTCTGATAGTTGTGTTATCTTTGCTTTAAATACTTCCCCGATTTAACAGAGGCCAATTTCCTTGAACTTGACCATTATCATATCCACGAAATCAGTTTATTTGCCGAGTTTCAATAATGTTTAATAAAAAACTTTCCGCAGCAAACATTTTGGGCAAGTGAGATAGAATTACACATCAATTCGACTCTACAAATTTTTAATTGCAATTTTGAGTCTTTATTTGAAGTGGCCGACATAAACTCTTATGAATATATTTGTGTACAGAGCGGAATGAAGTTATCGTCAAAGCAAATCGTGTCAAGTGTGAATCACTTTTAATAGATCGGAGCGATATATGCGGTATCTGAATGCCCATTTGCGAGTACTTGGCGTGTAAAGCTATTACGCAGCGTGTGTGCCTTTCATTAGCTCAAAACCAATCGGCCAGACAACACTGTAGTGCACATTCAAATGCATGCATTTGAAAGACCAAAGGTCTGGCTTGCCTAGAGTCTAGACTGCTTCACTGTTCTCGAAAGCGACAGAGTGTAATATATTTACTGACTGCTAATGTTGGGTGAGCCCGTAGGCCCTGACGTATATGGGATATGCTCTAGAGTCTATTCCTAATCAGGCACTTCAATCGAAAAGCAACCAGGTGGTGATTAATTCCACCTATTTCGGCTCTCTCTCCCTCGAACCGTAGCTGATAAGGCCCGGGCAAGGGTTAAGCTAACCAATTTTCCCTAAGCACATTTTATGTGCATGAAATTTAGGGGTCAGGGAAAACGAATTAGCTAACTCGTATAAAAGGGCATTTAATTATATTTTCTAATTTTCCCTTGAAACATTTAATGTGCATACTAGTGACTCCTTAGCTTACTCGGATAATAGGGTGCATTGGTGTTTACTTACATGGTACTGAAATATGGTGTTCAGGATGTTCGTGTCTCGGGTGAAGTTCTGAGCATTCTGAGTCCACAGGTTTGCCGGCGAGAGCAGCAGGCAGCCATATTCGGGGAAGATCTGGTCCAGCTGCCCGTGGGTCCCGCGCTTCACGTTCTCCACATGCAGGCAGTTGTGCTCCAGGGTGCGCTGGCTGTGGGATAAATTCGAGTCAATTAGCATACTCCAGAGTTTGCGTACTACTCACTTTTCGCTGCTCTGGTGATTGCGCACAATTTCGAGCAATTTAAAAACTTCGTACAGCGGCGCACGAAATGCATCCATCAGCTGCATCCCCTCGGTCCACGGGAGCACGCTCGCTCGGAGCGTTATCTGTTGGACGTAGAAGAAGGCGGGGCTGCTCTGGGCCCATGGCAGCAGGGGAGGCGGGCTGCGGTCCGTGGCACTGCCGTTGAGAATCTGGGTGTGGCCGGCAGGCGGAGGTTCCCCGGCGGTGGGCGAAGCCTGCGTCGGAATCGTGGAGTTACTGTGATTGTACGTCGTCAGAGACCCAGAACCCGCCTCGTAGGGCAGCACAATCTTGGTGGGTATTGTCCCGGGCAACGGTATGTTGATTAGCGGATAGCTGCACGAGAGAGGGAGAGGTTCGTTAATAAAAGTGCTCCGCTAATTTTCTATTTTAAGATCGACGCGTGGCTTAAGCGCCGTAGAAGTGCTTTGCAGCCATCACCTATCAGCAAATAGCGTTTAGAGTATTCAAGGTCAGCGGGCCATCGAGTGTTTGCCTAAGCCCAAGACAACAGAGCTGCCAACGACGACCAGCCGGTGAACGGCGCTGACCACGTCGCTCTCCAGTGATAAGGGCGCTGATAGGTGCCAAAACACTGACCGTGCAGCTACTGAAATATACAACGCTCCCGATAAGGCATCCCGCTTACAGCCGCCGGTTGTCAACTCAAGTCGTATACGTTATCGTATAAGTTATCATGAAAATCAGATAATTGGATTCAACTTAATTGCTTATGAGCATTGATGTGTATTAAAGTTTCGCTTCAGGCATTAGCAATTCGTTTATGAGTAATATTCAAACATGTAATTTGTTAAAATCGCAAATATTTGAAAAGTTAGTGTAAGCATATTTTTTTTTAACTTCGTGAAAAATTCGAAACAAAATAAATTAAAGAAGTTTCAAATGTTCGTCGTTATTAACCGTATAACAGGAATTTGAAATTTTTCCATACTTTAAAATATTTGTATGTCTCTCCAGTCTAGACATTGTTTATTAAAAATCGGAAGCACAATCAAAACATTTACTTTATGCTCACGCGCATAGCATATGTTGATACGCATAGTTCTAAATTTAAAAATGTATTTCGTAGGCTTTATGAAGGTAATATTCATTACCTAGAAAATCTGAAAAACATTAAATTCTATAGATCGATATACATATATGTATTGACGCACTTCGAACCCCCTGTGCGAGAGCTTCAACAAATTTCCCTGATAATCACTGGCATTATCAAATTAATCAACGAGAGTAGCGTATTCCTGCATTTTTTTTTTGCTGACTTCACTGCTTTATTATTGGATTCAGGAAGCTTACATTTAAATATTTTTATATTTCGCACTTGCCCCTAACTTTTATAGTATCTGCTTACCCCATGGGTAATGAATGTTCAGTCACGCATTACTGACCGACGAGAAAAGGGCAATTAGGTTTGTTAGCTCTCTTTGCAACTGTTAAACCCCATTAAATAACTCCGGCGGTAAAGCAGAAACCCTTAACATTGTTTAACCCTATAACCAAATAAGAACTACATGCACATTTGTAAATAAATTGATAACACAGCTTTTATAATTGGTTCCAACGACTTTTTTCTTTTTTCCAAAAATATTATGTTTAGAAGACTGGCAGATTTTTTGTTTTCAAATGAACCTCTTTTGAGAATTGAACAATTCTCTGAAAATATTTATTATTATTATTCAATTTTTTCTCAGTAAAATCTTTATCTTTGATTTTTATGAACAATTATATGGTACGTTTCCAGTGAAATCATTTCATTCAAAATCCGAAATAGGGTTTCCGAAAAGTATTTGCATGCTAATTTAAAAACTAGATCCTTATCAGAAGGGGGTTCCAAAGGATTCGGAGATAGTTGATTGGATTTTATTATTTAAAGAGATCCCCTCAAAATATTTTTAAGTCCGCCCCTGGATTGATTTAATCTATGTGCACATTTTTGGCACTTACCACGAAAGCAAAATCGCCATGAAGGCGATGCTGGAGGCGCACGTCGGATAGCTGGACAGGAAGAGGCCGTGCTTGTAGTAGAAGTGCGAGACGGAGGCGGGAAGTCCGGCGGAGGAGGAAGTGGCAGCGCCCGCCACCGCTGCTCCCGCCCCAGTCGCTGACGAGGGGGCGGATCCGGGCGGTTTGCCGCTCCCGTTGGATGCTGCTGTTCGCGGCGACGTCGACGCCGCTGCTGCGGCCGCCCTGGCAGAGCCATCTGTTGCGGCGGCCATGTTGTTGTTGGCAAAGAACTGGCACTTACACCGGAGTAAACACACACACGCGTCACACAGGCACACACACACACACGTTAGAGAGGAGACTCTGGCCACGAACTTTGTTCTAACGTTTTAGCGGCGAAATACGAGTTGTTAGTTAGTTGTTGTTTTTGCACGGTCTCGGATTCGGATTCGTACACTTGGCTGCGGCAATTACGCAACTTGGCGTTTGCAACGCATCATCTGCGTAGGCGACGCAGCGCCCGCCCCAATATTGCGATATTATTTTTGTTTATTAATAGCGCCGTCTCGCTGGCTCCTTGTGGCGGTGGTTTTGACTTGGATCTGGGCTTGGGCTATATATCGATACATTTTCCCCGGCGATTTGCATTCTATTCCTATTGATTTTTCTTTTTCTTGCGCTTCATTCGCACCTTTTGGCCCCACGTTATTTGCGCCGTGCGATTGTTGTTGTTGCTGCAATTAATTGACGATTTCGCGCATCTTCAGCGCTTACTCACTCACACACACGCGCCAAACCCGTATGGTTTATTCTTACAAAAAAAAATACGACATAAACGCCGCCGCCGCGCTCTCTTTATTTAATTGAAATTAAGGCACCGCCGCCGCGTATTGTTATCAGATTAACATTTGCAAAAGTCCCAAGAAAAGTACAATTCACTGGGGGCTCTTTTCTGGGCGGATGTGTCGCATTTGAGTGCAGGGCACAAGGAAAACGAACGGGGGGTTGCAGAACGGTCTGCCACAGCACAGGTACAAGGTAAACGCGGCCAGACGAGTCCTTCGATCGGACTTAAAAGCCAACTTTTGCATTAAGCACGTTTTTCTTCGTCAAGCAGCAAAATCGTTGCGCCGCGTCGTTACTCACGTTAGAACAAAATGCTCACTCGTCGTGAGTCAGCGTGAGCGAACTGGTTCGCAGCCGAACCAAAACATTGAACAGCTGAGACAGCGTGATATTGGCCAGAAATGATTTTCCTGCGGTACTTGTGACAGAAAACTGCTAAACTTCTCTTGGGAATACAAAAAACGGGGTTAACTATTTGCGCCTTTTATTATTGACTTTTCTGCAGCTACGGAAAAAACGGTTGACTCTTTCCAGTTCACTTTATCAGAGCTGCCGGACCGTCTGCAAACTTTCGGAGTTGCCCAGCCCTTGGCGCTAAATTTGAATTTTTAATTTATTTGTTGTTCGCTATGGGCTTACAATTTAAGAAATGTACACTATTATTAATCCTTGCAGTGTTGTATCTTTTGATTTGCCATCAAAGTAAGAATTGGTTTCTATTGAACAAGTATATAACTTTAAGAAGTGTTTTCGGTTTTGTTTAGAAGTATAACCTCGATGAGCATGAAAATTAGCCTTAATTGTTATTATCTACACGTTTTTGTTCAACACATTCAGCTTTCAGTTCTCACATGAAATCCTTCATATCGGCTATCTGAAAAACAGGGACTGAAGTGGCCCTACGTGGTTCGTGAATTGACAGCCATAATAGACGCAGTAGGCGTTTCTGGGCCCCTCGCCGCTCCTGTACTAGTCGATCTTAGTTGTAGGCATGGTGTACTCCGCCGAAAGGGAGGCCATGTCGCCGGCGTCATGCTGATGTTGTTCCTCCGCCGCTTCTTGGGCGCTGAAGCGGTGCCGCATGAGTGCCTCCCCCTGCCCGGCGTACTCGGCCGTAGTCAGTTGATGGTACTGGGCCGCCTCGTTTCTATTGTCCGGCAGTCCGCCCGATCCGTTCAGGCCGGGACTGCTCCTACTCCGTCGGCCGAACAGCAACACTGTGCCCTTACTCAGCAGCGGACAGAGCAACATCTGGTGGCAACACGCAAACAGCCGGTAGTTGGGGCCTTGGAACGGATCCGACACCGCCGCACAGAGCATGTGGTCCAGATTGATGCCGGTGAACTGCAGCGAAGAAAAATAAATATTAACTAGGAAATTTCACATAGAAATTAAAAACTTTTAATGGTTTCGATCTACAACAAAATGTGGAAAAAGTTGCATAATTAATCCTATGTCAACTGCTGCTTTTGAGCTATACTGTCCATACTGAAAGACAAACGGATTTCCTAAAATCGACTCGGCTGGTAATGTCTGAGATATTTCCTCCTCGTTTTTCAAAGATTTTAACAAAATCAATACCCTCTGCAAGCTACATAAGCAATTTTTTCAAATCTTTTCTATGGCAGTATTACCATGGTCATTCCATTAAGTAAACTGAACTGAAGTTTATAAAACCATTAAATTCAGATTAAAAACAACAAAATTCTGCGAGTGTTGTCATTACTATTTTTAAAATAATTTCCACGCACTCAAGGGCGTCTAAATAATTGTAGTAACAATGCAAATGTAAAAATAAAATTATTTTTCGTTTCTGGATTTAAAACTGTATTGACCTTGTGCCGCTTCGGTATGGAACTTTAAAGTAATTTGTGTGGGATCACTTACAATGGAAAGCGGGGAGAGCAAGAGGAAGTGGTAAAACAGCATAAAGGCTGTACCTATGTGGGACCAGTGGAATTCGCTGAGGTCCTCGACAGTGTACGCTCCTGGAAGAGAAATAGCGGGTAAGTTCCAGACCAAGCAAAAGTCGTCTTATTATTACCGCTCCGAATAATGTAAATCGGGATTATATAGAGCAGTGCGTGCTGAATCCAATAAGTGGCCTGCTCGAAGGGATATGTTCGACCCTCCACCTCGGGGAAGAGGAAGGCCAGGAACGGGCCGTTGAGATTGCTCATCTGTATGCGAAAGAGCGCTGTCGTCGTCTTTGTGGGCTTGGCGGCCAGGAGATAGATCTGTAAGAATCAAAGGTAATGTTAATCATTGTTTAGCGAACCGCTTTCGAATTTTCCAACCTGCAGACAGGATTGCACGTGACAGGGATTCAGTGCAAAAATCATTGACTGGCCAGAGAGCTTGAAGCCCATCTCGATGCCGAAAATCATGGACAAAGCGATTAGGAGGAACAGCCTCGTGGGACTGTGTGGCTTTTGGATCTCGTGGAGCGGCGGCAATTTGATCGGCGCCAGGCGTTGCCAAGAGCGATGCATTATGAAGATGAAGAGGGCGGACAACAGTATTGTCTCCACCCAACGCCGTCGGTCTGTCATGTAGTTGATGCACTCTGGCCCCGTCGTCCTCGGAATCTCATCGGAGATGCCTCCTACTGCCCAGTCCCAGTCCCATCCCATTTTATGGCGTTGTTATCGGTGACTAACGATAGCTTGACGACGTCTTTAGCTTGTGGGTTCTGAAAGAAAATATTGTTGCTAAGAAATTCGGCTGTGAAATGTTTATGAACGAATTGTTTATTGATTCGATTCCACTCCTGCCCTATGATTTTCATTATAAATTAAAATGATTGCGTGTCCTCGACATGGAATTTCTATATAATTACTTACAATGGCGCACGGTTTAGTTTAAAATAAAAATTGACTTAAAATATTAGAAGACCAGCTGGTCTTGTTTAAATGTGCGCAACTGTTGTTCAATACTAATTTCACAGAACTTTAAAGTGCACGTTGATTGAATCACAATGCAGCTTAAGGAGCAGAGCTTTTTCGATTTCGTTAGTCGGTTATCTTTCCTGATAATAAAACCTAATATTACTATACCATGTAATTCTATTTGTGATAATACCTACATATATATTATTAGCTTATTCTAAAGATTGGACTTTAAGTAAAATCAAATCACTCTTCGCTTTTATTGAGGCCGGATTCACGTGCGGAACGGTGGAAGTTGGAAGGGTGTTCTTTGCCAAGTGATGTCCGTTGGCCAGTCGCCATGACTGCTTGTTGAACAATGCTAACTAGAAGATTGCAGCAGCAGTGGTTCCTATTTTAGGGGTTGGGAGGGGACTGGAGCGGGCCGTAAATATGCAAGCAAACTAAATGGGCACTGACTTGCCGGCAAAGAGCAAGATAAATATGAAATCATGTCGGCGTTGACAGTTGCCGCAGCTGTCCATTGGCCACTTGCCAAGGGCCGAAAACCTAAAGCGGAAACCGAAGGCCGAGACACTAGTCATTTTTAGCCGGCGACGTATTTGAAGTACACTTTTAGGCGCTCGTCCGCATGAAGACTATGAATAATGCCAGATGAGGCCACTAAGGTGGCCCAAAAAGGTACAGGTGCCGGTCTATAAAAAGAAAACAGGCAGAGAGGCGGTCAGTCGCCGACATTGCGCTTTTCATTGTCAAGAGCACGGGGTAAAGGGTTGCTTGGACCCACGCAAGTGGAAGCGAGACCAAAAGCTCTGACTGAAAAAGGACACTCAGGCAGAGATAACGGACTCAATTAGAGCCCGTTTATTACCAAGTTAGATGATTTCTGCATTTACATGCTTGTCAACCAATTAAACTATCACTATCAACTATAGCAAAAAAAATACCATATGGCCATGAAAGGGAGGTAGAATATTGATTAAATTTGACTCATTTGTAATGGAAAAGTATTGTTAGAAATGTCAATTAAGTAATCAGCTGCATCGAATGATAATTTCCTCATTTGCAAACACCCGTTTTGTAAGTACGTATATACAAATTGGAAAACTTTAAACTCATAGCAATTAAGTATTGACTTAACAGTTGATGTTCTTCCATCAAGGGTATATAAACTTTGATCTGACGAAGGTGACCCCCATTAGCCCAGTTTGCTATAAGACCCAAAAGGAAAGAGTTCAACGACTTGCTTACAGATATGTAGAAAACACTTTTTGTCGATCTAATTGCTGACTTGAGCCGTCTGGCGACAGGCGATTCGATTTTTCCATCCGTTACCTATAGGTCCTCCGCCTGGAACTGCCACGTGGTCTAGTGAAAAGCTCGCCTCCTTTCCCTCCTCTGAATCACCGAAGCACTTTTAACACTATTCTGCGAAAACAGCGGATATCGCACATTTTCCTTTCCTTCTTCTTTTTTAATCACATTTCGCCTGCATATCTGCATTTAGCATGCAAATTGTGGGGCGGAGAAAAAAAGGCGGGTAGCGAAATAAAGCGCGACGTTTCTGCTGGGCGACTGGCTGCGGGCAACTGAGGCTTTGAGTACCGTTGCCTCGCATTGTCCTTGGGCGAGCTTTCACCTTCTCCTCTCCCTCGCGGCGCAAGCGTTCTCAAGCAGTGCCTCTCTCCGACTCTCTCTCGCTCTCTGATAAATTGGGCGCCAAAAATTATGGCACCGGCTGCTTTGGGTCGGTCGAGGGGTGGAATAATATGATATTCATACGCCAAGTACTTGCGCATGCAAATATATACATACGGATGTGCATTCGAACTGCCTATGTAGTGGCTGCGGCCACAGACGGTTGCAAATTGGATTAGCGGTGGACGATGGTCGAGGGGCGAGTGACCCAGAAAAGATAATACCTCGGTGCCGCCAAACAAATATATCCACATATTCAATAATGATTCATATAGTTTTGATTATTCCTTATGACCGGATTATTTGATAAGATATACATTCGTAGAAACCAGTCTAACTGATTAACTTTTTATAGCTTTTAAAACTAACTAACTTCTACACTTTCTAAACGGATTTAAGCTTTAACTATTAACAACCTTGAATATCTTTGCAAATGGTTTCTAAATGGCTTATGGTTAAGCTTACTGAACCTTGCGAATGACAGTTAATTTGGATAGTTTTTGGGACCAGGTACTAATTTAGTTACCGTTCCGACAAGCGAACACACGTAATTGTAATTAACTGGTGATGCAACACATCGTCAATGCCATGGAAGAACGGATCAAGCCAATTCACTTTAGGCAATGTACATAAAAATGCACAGGGCTAACTAACTTATTTTATTTTTTATATAATTCATTTAATTATATTTTTTTGTTCAAACAATCAAAAATGAAAAATACAATCAAACCAGTTTTGCGCCGGCCTCGCTAATAGAGAAATTTGTGTTTGAATTCAAAATAATTCAACTGGTTTGGGGAATCCCAATCCATTTACTTTATTGAAGTAAAATCCTCTTTCCGAAATAAAAACAAAATTAACGGTATTACGCATGATTGTTACGCTTTGTTTCGTTACGTTACGTTGTATCTTTTGGCCATCGCAGTGTGACCAGTCTGCGTGTATAATAGGTAATTCGTTACGTTCCGCTTACGACCACACTCGGCTCAACTAAAATAAAAATAACAGTTTGTGACTCAGAATTAAAGCTGCAGAATAAATCCACAAGCCCAATTCTTCACTTTCAAGGCTGTTATGTCGATGTAAAGCCAGGACAAATCAGCTGGACTTCAAATCAAGCTCAAATTGGGAGCAGCTGCGAAATACAGACACAAAGGCGTGTGCGAGTGTGTGACTCGTGTGTATTTGTGTGGGCGCCGCGGAAACCACAACAACAACACCCAAAGAGATGGTGGGCATTATCGATGAGGCGCATCTGTTTTATCCGCTGGGAACCCGCATCAAGATAGCCGACAACTATGGCACAGTTCGATATGTGGGAGAGGTAAGATGCAGGAGGAGCTTTTCCGTAGGAAAATATACTTATACTTCCGTGTTCCAGGTGAGCGGCCACATGGGCACCTGGCTGGGTATCGAGTGGGATGACGGGTTGCGAGGCAAACACAACGGCATAGTGGATGGCAAGCGCTACTTCCAGACCACGACGCCCACGGCGGGCAGCTTTATCCGACCGGGCAAGGTGGGGCCGTGTGCCACTTTGGAAGACGCTGCAAGGGAGCGGTACCTGAACTACGACTCGAGCAACGTTGACGAGTCCCTCATCCGAGAGGCCCAGGCCAGCCTGCAGGCCTCGCTCTTCGAGGTCGTGGGCATGGACAAGATCGCTCGCAAGCAGAGCAAGTTTGAGCAGCTGGAGGAGGTGAGCGTTGACCAGACGCCGGTGAACGCGGCCGGGTACCTGAAGGAACTGACACAGCTGACCACGCTGAACGTGAGCCACACCTTGATCTGGAACTGGGAGATTGTGGCCAGCATCGCGCAGCAGCTACCCTCCCTTACAATCCTGAACCTGAGGTGAGTTAAGGAACGGTCAGGCACTATAAACTGTCACTACCATTCTGACTAACTTTTTAGCTCCAACCGACTGGTCCTGCCCACAACATCCCAAATCGCGGAACTGGAGCCTGCCTTCCGGCAGCTGAAACGCATCAATCTGCGCAGCTGTGGATTTTCCGACTGGAAGGATGTAATGCAGACTGCGCTCCTATGGCCTAATATTGTGTCACTGGGTCTTCAGGAGAACTCTTTGGGTCAGCTGGCCGAGGTCGATCGGAAAAAGATCTTTAGGCAGCTGCAGGAGCTTGACTTGCATCGCACGAACATAATGGATTTTGACCAGGTGGCCAAGTTGGGCAACCTGACGACATTACGCTTGTTGAATCTCATGGAGAACGGTATCGAGGAGATCAAACTTCCCGACTGTGATCCCCAAGAAAAGCTTAATATGTTTGTCTCACTGGAACAATTAAACCTTCTTCACAATCCCATTTGGAATGAGGTAAGACGTGGTCATTACTCTCAATCAAAAAGTTTTAAATAATGTATTTTTCAAAGGCTGATGCGTTTAACGAATTGGACAAGCTGCCGCAATTGAAGCGTCTAAGTATGACTCCACACTTAAAATCCAATTTCGATGAAATGGCCTCCAAGGCCGTGGCTAGCATATCCGGCCTACACTTCATCAACAAGGCCGAGGTGACAGCGGAGGAGAGACGTGGTGCCGAGTACGATATTTGGAAGAAATATGCCCTGGACTGGATGCAAGCGACCCATCAAGGATCGGATTCCTTACGCGAGTTCTGCCGGCGGCATCGCACCTACCCATTGTTGGTTAAAAGTAAGTGTGTAGTGTTTGTGTCTAGGTGATTCAAAAATTATGACTTACTTTTTCCACAGAGTACGGTTCGCCAGCAGACTTTGTACCGCGCATTCAAACAAAGCAATCGAATTTAATAAATGTTTGCATACGGCATCAGCTGACGGGCGAGACATGGGAGAAGAAAGTTCCGAGAATGATTACAGTGCAGACTCTACAGGGACTGATCATGAAGCGATTCCGGTTAGCCGGTAACGTTCCGCAGCTGTGCTACATTGATGCAAAGCATCCGGACCTAGTTGTTCCGCTGGATAACAATGCAAAAACGCTTGACTTCTATTCTGTACAGGAGCACGACACAGTTTTGGTTCAATAGCGTCCCACATTTCAACATTGGCGTTCAATCCCTTTTCCGTATTCAGATGTGGTATTTTAATTTTAGGCAATTGAAAATCAAAAATTGTATGTTCAATTTAACTTGGTCCCCCTCCACGCATTAAATTGCTAATGTTATCTTTAGGTACTGATAAGTTGAAATTTCCACTAAGCAGTTAAAAACGCATATTTATATTTTGTTTTGCTTTTTAAAAAATGAAAATATGTTATTTAACCAAAAAAGGTTTTTTATTTTGTCTTCGATTGATGTAATCGGATGTAACTGGTAAAGTCATATAAACCTCTCGTCCTCAAGCGATGATTATTATTGGATAACTGATATTTCCCCGTTTTGTATCTTATAGTGTTTTTAATCCTATGCTTCTCCGCCTCAAAAAACTGGATATCCTCGTCAGCATTTGCATAATTCGGCTGCAGCTACTGTCGCCTGGCATTAGCATTGCTGGCAAATGTTTTGGACTTAATTGTTGCCAGATTTCAAGTTTCTGATGTAACAAAAGAAGCAGCGCCCACGAACACGCAAGTGAGCTTGTTTATGGTTCGCAGACAATGCATTATTAATGAGTGTCTACGGCGCGTGGCCGAGGAGAAAAATATGCTCGCTTAAGGGTGGTGGGAGTGTGGAATACAAATTTGGTTGCTTTACAAAGGGGAGCTTTCTACGTCGCTTCCTTGTTTTACATGACGCACTTGTCAAGTGCACTTAATCACATTTCTGTATGCAAATTGTTGCCGGGAGCAGCGCCATTGCGCCAACTGGCACACCGCGATTCGATTGCCAGATAATTTAAGTCTTTTGTAATCTCTGGTCATCGAAATATCCTCAGGAATGGATTAATTACATGAAAAATTTCAGTGAAGTAAATGTCATCACGTTTAATTTTTTTTACCGAAAAAAGCGTCGAACGGCCCAAAAGTATTTAAATTTTACAATTCGTTCAAAAGCTATCCAAAATCAAAAATTTCTAGGCCATTTACAATTTTTATTCGCCTTATCGGTTTTTGAATTATTGTCCTTAAATATTGTTCGATTATTTCAGCTTTGGCTAAAAACCGTTTTAAAAATATTTATAAATAGCTGAATTTCCAACGACCACTAAACTAGTAAACATGGAAAGGGTTTATCACTCCACCATAAAATAAATTTGTATTCTAAAAGATTATAGCTAAAATTAGGACTTGAAATTGGTTTTTATTTAATTTTTTTTTAAATTTTTATCTCAAATTTCGATTTGGTATAAATCAATTATGTCAGAATACGGTAATTACCAATTATCTGAAGTTTCAGCAATAAATTCGTTCAGCACACAATGCTTAATAAAACAAAAAGTATTCCAGAAGCCTGCTACAAAGACCACAGTTTTAAAATGTCCCAAAAATCTTTTAGATGGAATCAGTTTTGAATGGAATAGTGGCCTGCGATGATTTTTGTACCGTTTGATGGTACGGTCTCCCCAGTTCCCATGTTTTTTTTTCCGCATTTTCTCCAGAACCAAACGTTTTGTTTATAAAAATGTAAGAAGCCCAACAAAACTTTTCGGTCATCGTTTTAATTAATTTACCAGGACTTCATAGAAGATTCCTAATTCCGGGTGCTTATTGGTCTCCTCCCGCACACTTCCAAAGTGAATCGTCACTTTGTGGATTTCCTTCCACAGTGATACATACACATGTATATCCAATATACCATCATTAGACAGAAGTTTAAACTGTTTAATATGCATTGGGACACATTCGAGAATAATTAACAGCCAAATGAGATTTATTCGATACCCGCCACATTTATACATCAACGAATTCAATTTGTGGCCTCAAAGATAATCGTGAATGTGAAATGACAGATCAAATTCTGTAGACTAATTGCCTTAGGCTCATTACAGACATCTGACATCAGGCCGAAAGTAATTTAATTTCGATGAGTTGAAAATGTGACAATTGCGTGTGAGTAATTGCGTTTCAGGCACTTTTGTATGTGGGTGGAGAGGCCTTAAAGGTTGCACTGCCCATGGGCTTTATGGGGCTCATCGCTGTAGGCTGGGCAAATGTTTACGTCCTGCGATTCAGGTCAAAGACTTTTGACCAGGTTGCATCTGGTCAAATATAAACGGAGCCAGCCGACGGGCCTATAAATACGCACTGAGCGATCAGTTTGGCCACTTCCTCGCTTCAACTCGGAATCATGGATATCTCAGTGCTGTGGCTCTACGTGCTCCTCGTGTCCGTTCTGCTGCTCTTCCTGGTGCCCACTGCCGAGTCTACCGTGCTCCTTTGGGCCTGCTTATACCGGCTGCAGATCTGTCCCTTCGTTACCACCACCACCACCAAATAATCGGAAAGAAAATTATTGAATTTTATTACAACAACCGTTCCCGTTGAGCCCACAGAAAAATGTTCGCAATCTAAAATATATGGAAACCTTCTCTTAAGTCCAGTTTATTGACATTCAGGCAAAATGCTGGCCACAATCGGATACATCATAGGCTGAAACAAAATCCAGCCCTACACCTTTCTAGCCCCTTTACGTTCTGCTTGGCCAGCTTCTTGAGTAACAGCCGAAGTGTTCTGGCAAGTGCAAAGTTTGTCATTAGTTATTTGCACTAATTAAGTGCAAAGCTCGTTCGGCAATGGCTTTCACTTTCGCCGCTGTCACTACGTGTTCTGGTTGCGAAATTCAAAGGCAAACTCCTACCCAGATCTCCTCATTTCGGTTCATTTGAGTGGATTGGAGGGGAATTAACCCAGCTTTGTAATGAGCGAAACTTGGCCAGGTTCAAAGTTTCGAATTTTGCGGAGATTTAATAGGCACCTTACGACCTGGGTGCTGTAATTTATTTTGCCTTTTATTAAACATGTTGTTGTTGTCTCATTCAATTTGGTAAAACAATAGACAACGTATTGTCAACACGAATTTAAGTATATGTTATAAGCGGCGTAATCACCATACATTTTTATTGGCGTTCTTTAACATTTTGTTGGCTTCACCTACAATTTGCATTGAATTTAAACCAGCATTGAATTAATAATTACCAATTTAACTCTTTGTAATATTGGCATAAATAAAACTCGTGCATTTAAAAATGAAAAAAATTATTTTTCTGAGTTCAAATAGTCCCCTTTGTAGTAACATGTGTACATAGGTATAAAACAATATTGCGGTTCGACTGCCTCAAAGGATATGAGAGCTGGAATTTATTTATCATACCCACATATGTCGGTTTCAGGATCCATCCCGACGGGAGTTACAGTAAATGTGTGTGTGTACAATTAGCCAATGAAAATTCCATTGCCAGTTTTGTTTAACCAACAATCCATCTTCGAAGAGTCAGAGGACACGCCATCTATGCAAATAACTCCATTTTCATTTGCGGCAGCGCCAAAAATGTGTGCGATTCGCATGCGAATCAAAGGAAACCGCAGGCTTTTTGTCGCTCGAGCATCGCCCCCCATTCCATTACGCCAAGTGAAAATTAAATTTACAAAACATTAGGCACCTCAGGGTATTCACTTAATGTGAAAGATGAGTCAAGCTAAAATCAATAAATGCTGCGAACGTAGACTTTACTTAGTGGCGTATAGATGGATTCCCCCATTCAGCTTCTGTTTTCCTCCGAGGAAGCTGAACCGAAGCAAGCCAATTGGCATTTAATTAGCATTATGCGAGGACCAACAAAATGCAGCCAACAATGGCCAGGAAACAATGCTCGTTTAACCTTGCAGGTGGGCGGAATAATATCCGGTCAGGAGTTCGTACCGTTTGGCACACAAAGGATAACATTTTTCCAGCCCACTCAGCTCCTGCGGCCAAACAGAAATGGAATTCTAGCCCCAGACCGCAAACCGATTTGGCTTGAATGGAAAGGCCACACAGGGTACAAAAGAAACAGTTGGGGAAAACACAAGGCGTCCGAGCGAACAAAAAGTGTACAAAAGTTTGGCTGAGGAAAGCGACGCTTTTGTGGTTATAGGTTAAAGAGTTAAAGTTGTTTATTGATGGCACATTTAGACCTATGGTAGCATTGTGAACATAAAAAGGGAAGCTCGAGGGAGCCGATTTATTCTGACTTAAACATATTTTATATCTATTTATTTTGGGAAGAACATTTGTCAGCATTAACATTTAAGTAAACCTTTGATTTTGTTAGAGCAAATTTAGCGGTGAAAGAATCAGCCCAGTAAAAGGTAAGTAAACAAGTATTTTAAACTTTTTATTTTTTTGAAAAAAGGGCACAGGCACGCTTACCATCGCATTTACAACTAATACCAACGATGAATAAAAATTCAGATTTTGTTTTTTTTTTTTAATTTTTTTTTTTTTATAGAGGATTAACCATATTTGCCAACAAATTGTAACAATTCAAAAATAAAACAAGAAAGGAAAGCTAACTTCGGGCGGAGCCGAAGTTGATATACCCTTGCAGAATATTCTGTAAATTATATTCTCCAAAATTATTTATATGATGCATTCTTAATACTCATAAAAAATCCCAACTTCCTAACTTTAAAAACACCAAAGTTATGTCATTTCCAATCGTTCAGTTATATTGCAGCTATAGGATATAGTCGGCCGATCCTTATGAAATTTGGCAGGTCGGATTGATTGGCCAAAAATAAAACCCATAGATAATCCCAACTTCCTAACTTTACAAACACCAAAGTTATGGCATTTCCGATCAATCAGTTATATGGCAGCTATAGGATATAGTCGTCCGATCCTTATGAAATTTGGTAAGTCAGACTGATTAGCCAAAACTAAAACCCATAGAACTTCCTAACTTGCTAACTTGAAAAACACCAAAGTTATGGCATTTCCGATCGTTCAGTTATATAGCAGCTATATGATATAGTTCCGACTTATATACTACCTGCGATAGAAAGACAACTTTTGGGAAAGTTTCAAGCAGATAGCTTCAAAACTGAGGGACTAGTTTGCGTAGAAACGGACGGACGGACGGACAGACGGACAGACGGACGGACAGACGGACGGATCGACTCTCCTGGTGATGCTGATCAAGAATATATATACTTTATAGGGTCGGAAATGTCTCCTTCACTGCGTTGCAAACTTTTGACTGAAATTATAATACCCTCTGCAAGGGTATAAAAATCGATTGGCTATATTACAAATAGGATTTATGTGTTTTTCATTCATTGTCGTCATCAAGTGAGCAAGCATCAACAATAGTAACTTAAAAACTGTTTTTTGGCACATTCGGTTGTAAAACTTAGTTCGGTAAAGGACGAATTGTCAATGTAAACTTTATCGAAACGAAACATAGGCTCTTATTAAACTGAAGGAAACGTTAGCCTTGACTGGACAGAATTTCCTAGAGTGGAACAGAGCAAAACGAAATACTTAAGATAATGTGTCTTTTTAAGCCATTTGAGATGTCAATGCTTAACTGGAGTTCATGGACTTACCTTCAATAAAAGTAAATTTAAATTGCTATTTGATTTCACAACTTCAACTGGGTTCATCTCTGGTTTTCTCAACTTTGTGGGGGAAATGGTTTTCCAATTTCGGGGTGACAATAGAAGCAAATCGATGTAAAGTCAACTTTAAGTGTTTGAAAAAGGTGTAAAAATCCGAAGTGTGCAGTAGCGGCACATACCTAGAGGCGCCACAATGTTGCTAGCTGTCGTCGCCAAGTTGTGTCAAAGTCTCCGCCGCACTCTCCAAACAACTTTTTGCCTGTCTTGTCATCCCAGAGCAGACTGGAGCCAGCGGGGGGCGGTGAACTCCGGGGGTGTACCCACACGTGTGGCATGGACGTGGATCACGGGGGTAGCACACACACACACACACACTGGCGACTTCGAGCTGTGTTGACTTTCCCGGATTGTAATTCAAATTTACTGACTGCAAACAGCAGGCAGTTGGCAATTAATTAAATATCACTCATACGTCAGGTATTACGGCGTTGGCATTCGCAAGTTGGCCAAACAATCGCTGGGAAGAGTAGTCGTGGGCACACCGTGCGTATGCGTAATGGGATTGAAGCGAGCCTGACATTAAGAGAGTAATCTTGGGCTATTTCCAAGCGTGGGAAGTAATTTTAAACACTAATTTACAATTGATTGACTTCCGGAAACCGAAATAGACACTGTCTTGCCAGTGGCTTTGTATAAAGAATTCCTGCTTTGAGTAAAATAGTACTTAAGAGACCGAGGACTCGCCTTTCGAATTTGTGGTTTATACCCTTTTTCGAAAGTTAAACGACCGCGAGGTTTTTATTCTCTATATTGTAGTTCCATCATGATTAAATGTATTTTCTCAATTCATAATCGTATTTATTGGGCGTGGGAAAAGGCTACAAAGGGGCTAATAGATAACTTTATCATCCTAAAGCAGTGGTGTTGAATGGACACAATGGTGATTCCAGGAGGCACGCCAGCAGGATAAAGCAACCCTCCGCCGACGGGGACAGGAACACCATGAGAATGGCCAAGAGCACCAAGTAAAAGCACACCGTTGTTGCAATCATCTTTGCTTCAAACTCAAAGGCCAAATGACGGCCCGCCGGCTTTATATATCATCCCAATGAAGCTTTTCCGATCGTACTCGTAATACAGATGCTATTACGAATGGCAAACATTTACAAAGTATTGATCTTTGCTTGATCAGTACATATTTGTAAGGTTATCCCTGACTTTACTTCTTACGTAGTTAAAACTATGTTTGCATAGAGACCTCACTTCTTTTGTTTATTCTTTTAACTAATAAATGCAATTTATAATGCTAATAAGTTAAACGGGCTAAGCAATCTTCGGAAATGTGCCTATCGAAATCGAACTTGGTTTTCTTGACAAAATACAATGTAGATCACGGTGGGATGTTCTCTTAGGAATCCGCTTAGATTATGCACGACAAATGGTAATTGCTCTGTAACAAGCCAGTCAATCAAGTGAAACATTCCCACACACCAATAAAGGTTATGCTAAACAAATGCCAAAATAGCAGCTATAAATAAAAACAAATCATTAGAAATAAGCAAAAGCGACGCGTGTAAAGGCAAAATATTTGTAGAAAAAGAATTTCCATTGAGAGCGTGAATATACTCGCCCTCATGAATGAAATTTCCGAGGAGCACCAGCAACAGATGGCTGCCAAAAGTAAACTCAGGCCGACGAAGTGAGGGGATTGGGGCACTTGCAAATGGAATTCGTAGAGCATTATCCACAGTGCTTGGTTTTCCGACGCAGCACATGCGCAATTTCGAGCACGTGGTGGATTCCGTTCGAAATTCCTAGCAAATTGGATTTGGCGCACTTTTTAGACGTCGTGGGTTCGTGTGGATCCCATTGAAGAAGTAGACTTTGGCGCCGGTTCCGCAGACTTGGCCAAGTTAGTCCTGTGCACGGATTCGGCAGAAACGGTCGAGGTCGCTGGCTCGCTAACAAAACCGCGCCTGGTCGCGAAACGGAAATTCAAAACTCGAGAGTGAACCAAAAAACCCAACTGACCGTCGGTCATTTTGCTACCAGCGCTGCCAAAGCAAATAGTTTTCTCTGCTTTGGGTTGAGTGCCAAATATTTTTGGGAAAACGTGTGCGAAGCAGCTGCCTCTGCTTTTGATTTAAAAACAAACAAAATCGAGACAAGTGCTAAAAAATAGCCAAACAATTGTAGTTGACTGGCATCCCCCTTGTTGGCTGCTTTGTATTCTCGCATTATTTACAGTAGAACAGAGACTGACATCCCTGTTGGTGAGTATTTGGGATAGACCAGTAACTGGAAAAGGTTTACATTAAGTTTTTGAAAGATCATTTAGTCAGAAACAAATTAAAGTGCTGTCAGAAAATGTTGTGCTATTATTCTCCATGCTTTATTGGCCATTGTGGGTAAAGCTTTCATTACAAAATTCCATTAACCCATTCCTGTGAAAATACATTTCCTTACCCTTTGCTTACCCCGAGGCTTTCATAAATGCCATCAGAATGTTAAAAGTTATTTTGCTGTCAGACCCACGGAAATTTTAAATTATTTATTTTCTTTGGAGGAAGACAAGAAACTCGTTGTTTGAATGCGAAAAAGTTTGACGAAATTAATTAAAGTATGTCAGAACGTGTCGTCATGCGGAGGGCAAGGCTAGCATTCCATTATTATTGGGTCTGCCTCATTGTCTTGACATGCCTAACGTTACTTTTGCCTACTGTTATCCTAGAAGTCTAAAAATTATTCAAATCAAGTCTTAACTTGCTACATTTAATTATATCCCTAATAATTAGCCTCCTCTGCAGATTTCAGACCCCATTTTGGTTATTAATTATTCCATAATGCATCTAGGGTATACGAATGTTCCTTTTTCTGGAATCGTGTTTGTAGGACGGTCAAAACAGGGGGAGAGCGGATGTTAATGAGTCCCAAAAATAGTCATCGTATTCCACAATTTCTACGCGCCTAAAAATATATTTAAATCGAGTCTTAACTTGATAGATTTAATTACATCCCAAATCAATTTGTAACTAATGAGATTCTTCAATCGACTTAAGGGCCCGATTCTGGGTAGTAATTATTCCATAATTTAGCCCAGAGTATCCAATCTTCCTTTCCTGGACCATTGTTTCTTAGGCGGTGAGTCCAGGGGTCAAACGGAAGCTATTGAGTCCGGCAACTAGTCTTTGTATTCCACCATTTCCCTTATTAAGCCAGCGGGGTCGCCAATCTAATTAACTTCGGACATTCTTGGACCAGAACCTAGAGGCTAAACGACCAAATTAAAGACAATCTTGGGAAGTCCCCACTACTCAGCTGCTGTTTACAGCTTTAAGAAAAGGAAATGTTTCATGTTATCGGGGATAAGCCTCCTGAGGGAATCGGATCGATTTCGTTTGTGTCAGTGTCACATCAGGTCGACGAGTTTTTCGGATGAACTCCGATCTGCTGCCTGGCGGGAAATTAGCATACTCGTTAGTCAATCAGTCAACCGAAGCCAAAATCGGGACGTGACAGGGCCACATCAGCAGAGATCAGATCAAATTTGTCACTCACCTGGTGATGCTGGAAGGTATGCTCCACGGATGAATGTGTAATTAGGCAGTACAATCAGTGCCACAGCCAGATATCCAGTCCCTAAACTCATAAATTTGCCTAATTAGTGTGTATACTTTGTGTGCCTTTGTCTTTGTAATTGTTTGTTGGTGGCGCCACAATGGAAATTATCACGCATACGCCCCGTTGCAGCATCGCGCTTTATTTAATGGCAAAAAGTTATCCGTATGTTGTGGAAGTGTCTTTTATATGTGCCTCGACTATCTGATATCCTTGAAAAGGACAAAAGTCTAGAGGCCTTGCTTGTCTAATATCCCCCAAAATTAAATTCCACGGTTGTCGCCGCGCAAATATGGTTTTCTAACCCTTTTCATCTCCGTTGGCGGCCCCAAAACCTCACCTTTCGGTACCAGAAAAGTTTTGCGGTTAATAAAATTGAAATAGCGCTCGGCGCACACAACGCGTGTTCGTAATGTGCCCTTAGGGCCATATTTGTTTACCGCCTGCACTTGACTATCATATGATTGGAACGTTTTTCGGGTCGGTCTCTGTTTGTGGCATATTTGCTCACATTTGACAAAATACTGTGCAGTCTGTAAGAACCGAAAAGAGGATTTGTCGGGTTTTAAAGCTGCCCCGGCAGTTGTCAGCTACCGACTATGTCCTCAATGGATTCTCTGTGATGACAGATGCAAACATTATGGCCATTCCATATCCGTCCTGTGATGATTGAGTGGGTTTTTGTTGATGCTAATGGATTACATGATGCAGGAAAAGCAGTACTGCATTCGTTAAAAATCAGATTTTTAAGGCCGATTAACAGGGGGATTTATTATGTCATGAATGTCAAAGGAAGCAACTGCAAATTTATGCGAGCACAATGTGCAATCTTTCGTCTTAATGGATAAAGTTTCTTTGATTTCCATACCACAGCATTAATGTTGGCAAAGGAATTTTCACCAGCAATATGTCGCAACAATTTCCATAGTAACTTTCTTTCACCCACGGCCATCTGTAGTTACCACGGCTTGTTTGTATTTGTCTTTGTTGTTCCTCGATACAAGTTCTTTCAACTTTTCCTTTTTAATTTGTACCATTTAATTGCCTACAAATTGCGGCAAAATTGTATGTGGGTGGAGGTTTGTCAGGGACCATAAATTTGTAGATGGCTTTATCAGGTGTTGGCCATGGTTTTCTTTGATTCCCACGATTTTTAATCTCACGCCGAGTAAGTAATAATAAATTATATTTTATTTACGAGAATGTCAATGCGACCCCACCAAATTGAAATTTATGTGTATACATAGCCATTTATAGGCTTTTATTTGGGATCCAAATTGCTATTGATGAGAACATTAAACGTTGGCAACATTCCAATCTTCTTATTGAGTTTTTCTTAGGGGATTCCGTTTCCGAACTAAGCTCTTAAAACTAAATGACATGTTTCCTTTAATGCCGTTTCCACGGCTGCGTATTTCTAAATGGGGCGTTTTTTGTAATTTGACAAGGACTTAAAAGAAATTTATACAATTTGATATTTAAATAAATATAAGTTAATTACTTAAATATACATCATTTTTTGATGAAAAAAACATTACAGTCTTCTTATTGAATTTTGGTTTTCCGGTTCCGTTTTCCACATACGCTCTTAAAGCTTAAATGAAAAGTTTTCTTTAATGTAACACCAACGATACGTTTTCTTAGATGGTGTGTATTAAAATATTTATTTACTTTACTTAAATACTTTAAACAATATAGAGCCATCAAAAATGACTTTAAAATTTTTGAAAAATTATAATTCAACGATTTTAAAGCCATTTTCGCTGGCACTATTATTTAATTCTCTATTGTTCAAAGTATAATTAAATAAATTTGATATTTAAATTAATATAAGTTGAATATAAAGATATATATAATTTATAGCTATGTTTAGCAATATTCCAATCTCCTTAAAGAGGATTTATCCTGCGATTCCAGCTATGCTCTTAAAACGTAATGACAATTTTCCTTTAAAGTTATTTCCTGTAATTAGCTAACGACTTTAAAGCCAGTTTTGTTGGCCCAACATTTTTTTCTCTGCTGTACAAAGTACGTTGGAATTAATTTGATATATAAAACTGATTAATGTCGGCGCTGGTTATTAATAGCCATAAGGAAGCAGAGGCCCAGGTCCAGACTCGGGCTCTAGCTCCTGCTCGGATTGCGGTGAAGATGAGCTTGACCGCCCGGCATAATTAGGGCGCTGGTTTCTCCGCGCGGAGTCGTCTATTAACTGATGAATATGCAACAGCCCCATTTGCGCAAAAAACTCATCCATTTTGTAAACGAATTCCATAAAGCGGTCATTAGCTTGATTCGAATGTTGCGCAGGAATCTCGGACTCTTAATTAGGTTTATTCCCAGGGTTTGAGCGCAGCCTTTGTCTTCCTGGTTTCTTTTGACGTCACAGGGATATCTTATTGGTGCAGGTCTATGACAGCTGTTCCATTCCCATCTTCAAATGTCATTGGGCTGCAGCTTGCCGACACAGAATGGAATTCAATTACCGCTCCAGTCAGCCGTGCAGATGGAGATGGCGAACGACGCGTGGCATAAATAGGATATTAAATAAGCCAAAGGGATGAGCGAAGGAAACGGTGGGCATGATTCGATCTGACGAGCCGTCAATTCCTGACACCCGACACATGCTATAAGTCCTGCCTGCCAGGTGAAAGGAGTCGCCCACAGGAATCTGTCTATTGTCCCGATTACAGTACCCACCTGTCTCATAAGAAGTTATTACTCATTCCCTGCGAGTTCCCCTCTTGCCTGATTTTAACCGCAGTTTGCCGTTTGATAAATGATTGCCTGGCTGGTTAGCAATCATCGACTTTGCTTTCTACGAGTCGTCTACTAATGCTCTTCATTTGACTGAATCTCGAAACACCAAATGATTTATTGAAGGCCCTCCAGGTCTTTGAATGTTTTTGCTAATGTTGTCACATCGGGCTCAACTAGTTGAAGAACGATGATGATGATGAATTTTTGATTGACTGCACGATGGGAATTAATCAAACAAGAAAAGTTACTCCTAAAAGAAACAGGACCGTCCCATCTTTTATTTGCTCAGGTCAGGTGGACTTGGTTGGAAATCAGAGTCCCACTTTTCTGCTTCACTTTCCGAGCTGGACTATCAAGTCAGATACCCTTCCATTGAAGCTCATCCTTTGGTCCTTTTGTATTTCAAGATTGACCGGAGTCATTTATCATAAAACCGTTCTCCGTGTCAGCCCCTATCCCAATTCTTTGGGTCTGGCTGGACACGGACCAACAGAGGCCATAAATAATCCCAAAGAGCTGTTAAAGAAAGACGTTTGTATCTTGTATCTTTTATTCTTTTTCGTGTTACACACATTGGTTCTACCTCCTTGCAACATTGTGTGTTTCGCATTTCTGTTTTTAGCCAGCAAATAATGCGATTGCAGGGGGAATGCAAATGAAAAGCAGGAATCAAATAAAAGAACAAATGATTAATTTGCATAAAGATTTCGATTTAAATTCAATGTAGGTGACCTAGGTTCCCCATTGTGTGGGCTTACTTAATTTTCCATTAAGCGTTGGGAAATGTGTTTTCATTTCCCCAAGCTCACTGGCCACTTTATTCTGTTGGGATCTAATTTATTTCGGGCTGACCAAAAGTGCCTCCAGTTAGACCGCAAGCCACAAATTGCTGTGTCCCAAAATCGAATTTTCTCCTTGCGGGGTGTTAAATTTATTGAAAAGTGTGGGGATAGCCATATGTTTAGTTCTACCGGGCAACTTATACAATTAGTGAAGAAAATTTTTATCCGGAACTCATAAAGTTAATGAGTATATTGTACTCGAGTATAAACCCCAAAAAGACCAGGTGTATTTCAAACTTGTTATTAGTCTTTATTTGGCCAAACTTTTTGTAAGAGAGCTATAAGAAAACTCGCTAGATATATTTCGACTCGAGTAAAAGCCTTAAGAAGTCTATTTTAAACTTTTTATTACTCTTTATTTGGCAAATCTATTTCTATGAGAGCTAAAGTAATTCCTTTAAAAGTGTTATTCTATTTTTTACTTAATTAAGCTAATTCCATTTGCACAGTTTTCGGGATCGTTGTCAACAATATAGGTTTGTTTTGCGCATTGAAAGATACCAAACAATTCGCAAATTGAATTAAGTGATAACTTAAACAGTTTACTAGATATTTTTAAAAGCTGATACCTGTATGCGCCAAGTTTAGTTCAAGCAACAAAATTCATTTCTCAACTCCTGTCTAAGAAGCTTTCCACATTTCAGTTCTTGTTTACGTTCTTCTCCATTTTTTTCGCTTTCACTTTATTTTTTTTAGAAATCCCCCTACCTATCCTGTCATACCTTTTCCTACGGCTTCCCCTTTCTTTTATTTATTTTCCTGTTTTGCTATACAGGACTTTATCGCGAAAATTCAATGGCTCAGGCATTCCCACGCTCGAAATTTGTGTGTGAGTGGCAATTACAGGCTGCGGAAAGCCAAAAGAACGAGCGACAGAAAATGCCAAACCATCCTGTGATACATGGCTCTCATGGGGGCCACTTGTCATAGTTAAACAATTTGTAATGAATTTTCAAGTGAGCGTCGGAAACGCAAGGTTTCATTCAAGAGCGAACCCTTGGAAAAAGTGATTTAAATTATCAGCGGAAAGGGGTAACCAACTATATTGACAGACTTTAAGTTCTCCAACGAATTTTTCAAGGGTGGGAAAATCATCTTTAAGATAAATGGCCATTAGCTATGTATAGCAAAATAAAGTATGATCGGCTGCAGCACCATGATCATTAGACGATCTGACATTAAGCAAATCCATTTTAGATAAACAGTCTATCGTAAACAACTCATGAAGATGGACATGGATGTCTGGCCGGAAAAACAAATATTTACAAAACACAATATTCGGATCGGGCAGAGTCCTGGCCAAATGGCTGGCGTCGACCACATGAAATCAATTAAAATATTTGGCCAACTGCTTGCAGCACATAAAACAGCGTTGAGGGGGAAACATGGGCCATGATAATAAAAAGTAATTGAAAGTGCGCCGCGAGATGCGACTATAAAAAATTGTGTATCCGCAGCGTGGCAACATTTAGGAACCAATCAGGGAGGGATGAAAAAATGAACTGCTGACTGCGGGAAATATCAGCGATAAATGAAAATTATCCAAATAATGAAAATATTCGGAAATAAAGTACTTCGACCGAAGCCTCAACTTGTTTATTTCGAGAGCAATCACGCGCCAATGGAAACCAAAACAAAGCAAAAATACAAACCAAAAACCAAAAGCCTCAATCAGAACCGGGCCAGTGGGTCGTGCAGAGGGGATTGTCGAGCAGGGGGGAGGGGCACTTGGCCCATTGGCCCAGCTGTCCATCACATGGCCGATGGAATGCCCACTAGTCGAACGAAAGTGAAAATTAATTAAAATACTCAACGCTTTGGGTTTCCCTGCGTCCCAACCCCCCTTTTCCGCATAAAACTGCGAGTACGCATATATTTTTTTGTTTTTGATTTTCACTCATTTCCATAGTCGCGCCAGCTGAGCAGCAAGCACGGCATCTCAAATATTTGCCAAATAATTAATCATGCCACTTTGTGGCCCAAAATCTCTGGCAGATCGGCGCGAAATGCCTACGTCAGCCCAAGTGACTACACCTACACCCTTCACACTCTGCCCAGTGGATTCCAATTCCGAGACACTCAGCCTGCGGGCCTCTGATAAGGGCGCACAGCTTCATCATCGCAGGCTGGTACTCTGGCCCAGATTACGATAAATTTTTAAATAACAGAGACAGCTGAAGTTGTCCACACGCCCCGCGTTGAGTGATGGCCCCAGGGCCCGAGTTCTTTTGGAACGGCTTCCTGTTGCAGCATTAGGAGCCTTGTCCGCCGATTAGTCAGCAAGATGCCGAAATTAACGTAATCAATTATTGCCCACGCAGCTGTTCCCGCCTCATACCCACTTCTGCACCCACTACCAAGCTGGATTGCTGCTCATAACTCAGTTTATTTTGGCCAGTCAGCGGGATTGCGTGGGCATATACAGGTACTCGCTGTCCGTCCAGAAGTCCACCAGAGTTCGCGGCTGCGGTTGGGCATCCAAGTGCTTGAAGCACCGCGCGAAGAGTTGGCCTTGCCGCACGTGCCGCAAGTGCCCGGCTGCCACCTCCGCCATGAACTGCTCCACCAAGGCATCCTGGCCACTACTTCCTCGCGTCGGCACTGCCCTCATGCGCAACGTGTGCGTCTCGGCGGCATTCACGTCGATGAGCACGGTGCTATTGGCCCTCAGGTTGTAAACACTTCGACTCCGCTTGTTGTCCACGAAGAAGTCAAAGTGGTCCACGCTGTCCAGGTCGTGGGCGAACCACTGCAGCGACAGCGATCCACCGTCCAGGCGGGAGGCTCCGCAAATGCTCACCGGGTAACTGACCCGCGACGAAGGATGCCGACGTTTCCCATGAAGATCGGCCTTGATCTGGCTGCGCACCTCCGACAGGGCGCAGAGGTCCATGAAGAAGTTCTTGGCCAGCAGCTTCGACTCCAGCCTTTTCTGTCCCTCCGGCGACTGGAAAAATTCGGCCCTCTTGACCGCCCGTCGCATGTCCTGGCAGTGGTGACATTTGCAATCCTCCTGGTAAGTCCGGCAGCTGGTGGAGGCGTCCTCAATGTCGCCACCAGTGCTCTCCCTCGGCTGGCCACCGTCATCCTCCTCAGGGCTGACCAGAGTGAAGGTATACTCCATCAGGGGGAGGGGGTCGAGGACCTCTTTCTTCTGGTGGAGGTTGTCCGGGATCTTTGACGCACTTGCTCGCGATCCTGAGCGGGAACTTCGCCGTGAGCTACGGTGAGAGCTTGACCTCGATTGAATTGATCGGGGGGATTGCTCGCCCCCAGACTTGGCTAAGCCCGGTTTTAGAATAGAGCTAACTGCTTTTCTGACCGTCATGTTTTGTGATGCCCCACTTGAGCCTTCTCCGCTCCTTCGACTCGACCTGCTCGATCGTTCTCCCTCCGAATTGGGACCAGAGGAACTGACCAAGGCGAATACGGGTTCCACTGCATGTGTGGCATGATCGTTTCTGGGTGACATCTTGGGCGTCCTTCTAGGTGAACTGGCGACGGAGGATCTCCTTTTCTGGCGTATTGATTTACTGCTTGACCTTGACCTGCTCCTTAAGAAATCGCGGACCTGACCCGGTGACATCGTATATTTCCGTTCGAAAGCACTGTGCTCCTTTGACTGTGACCTACTCCCAATCATTCCACTTCCCGAAGGAAGCTCTGATTCGCTGGCCACGTCGTGAACTAGACTCTTCGACGCGGTCTGCATTGAAGTGTCAGTTCGGTAGCCAGCTTCCTCTGTTTTGGGCGTATAGCCCGTCAGTGGGGTAACATCAGAACGAAGACTTGTACGGTCGTACATCGCGTTATTGAAGGAGTAGTTGGAATGGTGAATACTCGGGGTCATCTGCGAGGTGCTGGGAATCGTAGGCTGGAGCCCCAAGTCGGACAGAAGCGTATCATTAGACTTGCTAAGATAGGGATTATCCTTCTTAGTTCCTTGAGAGGAGGTTGAGGAATCATGGGGTGCCGAAAGATTGGAATTCGAGCCACCGGTATTTTTGATGAACTTGTGGAATAGGCGCTTCACAGATGTGAAAGATTCACCTGCTTTAACGAGCGCGACTGTGCTGCGGAGGAACTGCTTAATCGACGAGGTGGCGGATTCGAAATTAGCCGATTGCTGGGAATTTGAAGAGCCAGTTTGGACCAAGGCGCTGCCTTCCGGGGTTGGTGGCGCTTCAATGCTTGATGACTCTTCCTCCTTCAGTTCATGTTCGTCCTTGACCGAATTTCTGAGGGAGCTGTCGCTATTCGTACTGGTACTGATTTGCTGACTGGAGGTCATCGAGAGTTGACTACTCTGCGGACTAACGACAACAAACACGGGGGGCACAATGTCCGTCCGAACGCTGGAGCCGCTCTTGATGGAACTCTTGACGGTGAGGTTCTTCTTTGGCGGCTTCCTACTGACCGACGGAGCCGAAGGCATCTCCTCCGGCAACACGATGCTCACCCTCTTGGACATACTGATAATTTAACTGCGACACTGGAGGGCGATTTATAAAATCTTCCGTGATTGCTTGAGACGTTTATCAATCGAAACATTAAGTGTGTGTAGACATTTGCCAGCTTGCCATCTAACTCAGGGGCAACTTTTCATTCCCAGCTGGCATTCTGCTCCAGGAAATGCAAAAGCGTGGCCTGTATTCAATCATCTCCAATGAGGACTTATGGCTGGACCTTCGGGCGAGGCAGGGATATTCATCCATGATTCTGTCCCCGTGAATTACTGTCCAAGAGCCCCAGCAGCGATTGCGCATAATTTAGTCAATGTTTGTCCCGCTTAATGGACGGGGGTGAATTTGCATAAGTCGCGGACCTTTCAGCCCACATTTAATATGGCCAAGGCCCTCTTTTTCGGGTCCTCAAGGCACACCAGATATTTTTGACTCTAATTAGAGCAGCGTGGTCCTTAATGAGTGTTGCCGTAGGGCGATGTTTTTTGCAGTGATGAATTTTTGTTAAGCCTTAAAGAGTTCAGAGTGTGGCTTTAAGTTTGCCTCTTTTGCTAGGCTTATTATTCGGCTTGGCTGCTCACAAAATACGACATGCCATATTGCACATACGCCGCGTTGCCACAGCTACAACCGGAGCACGCAAGTGTATTAAATTATTCTTGCTTTATGATTTATCTAACACGTATTATAGCGAAACGATGCACAGTGTCTTTTTTGGCTGAATATGGAGGGAAAAATTAGTCGTTTTTGAACAAACTTCAACAAAAATGTAACACAATAAAAATTAGAAAAACAAAGTTTTCTTGCCAACGGAAAAATAAATAATCTATTAATCTTGTTTTTTTAGTCAGTTACTAAGCACCTCAGTTAAAAAACTTTTCAAATAAACTTTAGATCCTTAAAAACCATCGGGGAAAGACATTCTTTGTATTAACTTAACGTATAATTAACAAGAAAGGAAAGCTAACTTCGGGCGGAGCCGAAGTTGATATACCCTTGCAGAATACTCTGTAAATTATATTTTCCAAAATTATTCATATGATGCATTCTTAATACTCATAAAAAATCCCAACTTCGTAACTTTAAAAACACCAAAGTTATGGCATTTCCGATCAATCAGTTATATGGCAGCTATAGGATATAGTCGGTCGATCCTTATGAAGTTTGGTAGGTCGGATTGATTGGCCAAAAATAAAACCCATAGAAAATCCCAACTTCCTAACTTTACAAACACCAAAGTTATGGCATTTCCGATCAATCAGTTATATGGCAGCTATAGGATATAGTCGGCCGATCCTTATAAAATTTGGTACGTCAAATTGATTGGCCAAATACAAAACCCATAGAAAATCCCAACTTCCTAACTTTAAAAACACCAAAGTTATGGCATTTCCGATCGTTCAGTTATATGGCAGCTATAGGATATAGTCGGCCGATCCCGGCCGTTCCGACTTATATACTGCGTGCAAAGGAAAGAAGGGTGTGTGCAAAGTTTCAATTCGATAGCTTTAAAACTGAGAGACTAGTTTGCGTAGAAACAGACAGACGGACAGACGGACAGACAGACGGACAGACGGACATGGCTATATCAACTCAGGAGGTGATCCTGATCAAGAATATATATACTTTATATGGTCGGAGATGTCTCCTTCACTGCGTTGCACACTTTTGACCAAAATTATAATACCCTCTGCAAGGGTATAAAAACATTTGTCAGCTAAATCAAGGTAAATTTTATTGAATTACTTACATAGCTTATAATCTATCGACAAAATAAATATAAGCTTATTATTATTAAAAAACTTTTTCAATTGGGAATCATATTATTGCCATAACTGCTTGAAAAGTAGCCACTGTGCTGGGGAGAAAGTAATACATCCCAGGTCATAACGTGTAATATCTGACTCGGTACTATGTGGTGGTTCACAGCGGGATGCCCAAGATATCCTCTGCTAGACAATGGCAGCGGGGGGCGAGCGCTTCCTCGGTTCGTGTCCTGACATTTGAAATCGCCTGACTGCCTCCTTTTATCTGGCACATACCGAATTCAGCTCGTACAACAATCCTTAATCATAAATAAATGTGTTTACCTATGCTGCCGCTCTGAACACCTCTTAATGGCTGCCGCAGATGCGATTTACAGTCGCATCACCAAATTTTGACGCAGTTAAAGAGCCGAAACGGTTGAAACACATCTGAAATTAGTAAAGGAAGATTACCTTATATAAAAAATTCAACTTAATTGATTGAGGTCAATCGAAGACATTGAGTTGTCGTGACTTTAGGGCGTGTCTGGTCAGTCAACGTCAAGTTTAATCATTTCTCTTGTTGATTGTCTCGATGACGCCTATTGCCTACCAACGATCCCCTGGGACATCTCTTAAACTAAATTGCAAGTCCACGGGCTCGGTCCAAGCGGAAACTTTAACTTTTCCACTTTCGCTTATAAAAAAAACTTATTCAAAAGTTTCGCTCAGTCAAAAAAAAGTTTCCTTCGTTAGAGGGAAAAAGACTGATGTGCTCTTTGTTGTTGCCAGCAGCTATTTGATGTTTTTTGGACAGTTTTTTTAGTGGCATAAATAATTGACCAGCGGAGTCAATTTATAAGGGATAAGATGATTAAGTACGAAAAAAACGGAAGACCTTTAAACTGCTGGCAAAGAAGCTTTTTCTTCTAAAAATTTATACCGATCCCTTTCGTTTGCAGGCCGTTGTTAATGTTGAACTCATCAACAAAGGAGGGATAAAATCATAAAAAGTCAAGACCCCAACGATTACATGTGCTTGACTGTGTGTGAAATTTTATTTATTTCCATTCCTTTCATCAACACATTTGTGGAGACTATTAAGCCTGGCCCAGAGTTCCATTTGCCGACACTTTTGCCCCAGCCACACTAAGAGATTGGCAGCCATTCTGGCTTGGGGTCAACGGGTTTTGTCGGGGGCGGAGGTCCTTAATGAGAGGTTGTTGGGTCAAACCCCCTTATAAGGCCATTCAAGTGCTCTTGTACATTGCGTTTAGCGATGAACAAAATGGATACAACATGTTATCTCGGAACTGAACGACCAAACCCTCTTCCTGATTATACCACTTCAATCATCTTCAAGTATTTTTCTTTAAAAAAAATTATGTTAATGACTCTTGGTGCAGCTTTTAAGGAACCTGGCTCAAAAAAGATCCTGGAAATGCACCCTTACATTGCCCGGTTGATTAGATTTTTTGGTAGAAATAGTCTCACGAGCTGGCATTTGATGGAATTTCATTTGGCAAATGGGGAGACACGCACTCGTAGGCCACAATCAAAATAAATAAATAACGAAAACGAAATCAATAGCAGCCAGCCAAATGGCACGATAGCTGGGGCAATCTAGTATCAAATTGAAATTGAAACAACATCGGGCCAACAAAACAGTGGAAGTGAAGCAGCACCCTCGGAAGCTGACAGGAGCCAAGATAAGCCCGGCTCTGTCGCCTCCTTGGAGTCGCTCCCAGTACCAGTCTTAGTTGGGCATCAGTAACAGAATCAGATTCAGCCTCAGCCTCTGACTCGCTTTCTTTTTAGGGGATATACGCATTTGATTGCGACTTGAAAGTATTTGCTTCTACACGAATGATTTTGTATTAGTTTGCTGTGGGGGAGTCCGGAAATGGCAAGTGAACGCCGTCAGATAATCACAGCAGTGGGGTAAGATTGAAGGCCAGAAATAATTGGATGTTCGAAAGGCTGTGATTGCCCCGGAGCAGATAAACGGTTAGTGGAAGTACATATTTCGCAATTTATGATTATGGGCGCTGTAAATTCGTGTTAAATGCAAACATGGTCAGCGATTGCATGTTAAGGAGATTCTTTATTATGCAGATACCGATACACACGCACACCAGCCCTACCTACACACAGCTAAGTCATAAATTCAATCTGCTCACCCCGATGCACACGCTGCGTATGTGTGATATTTATGTTCCTCGTAGGTAATGCATTCGCCTGTCTAGATAAGCCGCAGTTTCTGCTTTATGGGCAGGCAAATGCACACCGATTAAAGTTGTTCGAATTAGTCCAAACTGACGAAACCCCCATCTGCTTTCTCCACTTTCTCCCCCACAGCTTCCGGCGCCAACTGGCGAAAGTCATGCTGCAGAAGCAGACGGGCAACGGCAACGGCAACCGCACCAGCGAGCTCAGTGGTCACGGCCAAACACAATGTGCAAAATAAAACACGGACCTGTGGCCACACCCTCGACATAAGCACAGAGATCCGGGCCAGAACCTGCGCCACTTGGCTTTTGGACTTTCGGCTCTCGGCTTTCGGCGGACGAAGGCAGACAGACCCACGGAAACGGAAGTGGCCAAAGCGAGGCCATAAAACGCCACGCATAGCAGCAGCAGCATTGAGACATCAGGCCCGGGAGCAGCTCCCCCGAACATGTTTGCCGCCCTAATGGACGTGGGCCAGACGTTGGCGGGCAGCCTGGCGGAGGGCAACGGGAGCGGAGTCCAGGGAGAGGGTCTGGAGTTGGGTCCAGGGATGGGCGTGGAGGTGGGGCAGCACAATGCCAGCGCCGACGGCGGCATCGTGCCGTATGTGCCCGTACTGGACCGCCCGGAGACGTACATTGTCACCGTGCTGTACACGCTCATCTTCATTGTGGGAGTCCTGGGCAACGGCACGCTGGTCATCATCTTCTTTCGGCACCGCTCCATGCGCAACATACCCAACACGTAAGTGGATAATGTGCACCCCGTCGGGCTCCCCAGAGGGTGGGCCCCCAAATAATATTTATTGACGGGCTTCCGCTTTGAAACGGTCGGCTTCCTCGGAGGCCCATAAATAATAATGCCTTTATATGGCCGCACATTTGGACCCAAAATGAGCTCGTCTCTCCGCGAAAGATGGCTTGAATTGCTACTCAAAATTCATGAGCTGTCTTATGGGCTGCATTTGATTTTATTGTTTCGCCACAAATGACATCCTTCCCCAGCCCGATAAGTAAATTAAAAAAAGGCCTGATAACTCCTTGTAAGCGAACACCAAAAATATTGTCCAACCATCTGTTGTCTGAGATTCCCTAATATGTAAGTAGCGACGGCTGCTGGCATAATCTGAATATAGTTCTTCAAATTTGAATTCTCGCCTGAATTTATTCGTTTTCCATTTACCCATGAAGGCTATTTGACCCACAGCAGGCTATTCGTCATCCGACTTTACAGACTTTGTCATTTTACATAAACATTCAAATACTTTCAAAGTATGCCGTCCTATACGCAATGTGTGTCTTACAAATCCGATTTCTTATCCAGCCCAGAGACACTCATATTTTTATACCCTTGCAGAGGGTATTATAATTTCAGTCAAAAGTTTGCAACGCAGTGAAGGAGACATTTCCGACCCTATAAAGTATATATATTCTTGATCAGCATCACCAGGAGAGTCGATCTAGCCATGTCCGTCTGTCCGTCCGTCTGTCCGTCCGTCTGTCCGTCCGTCTGTCCGTCCGTCTGTCCGTCTGTCCGTCCGTTTCTACGCAAACTAGTCCCTCAGTTTTAAAGCTATCTGCTTGAAACTTTCCCAAAAGTTGTATTTCTATTGCAGGTAGTATATAAGTCGGAACGAGCCGGATCGGGCCACTATATCATATAGCTGCCATATAACTGAACGATCGGAAAAGCCATAACTTTGGTGTTTTTAAAGTTAGGAAGTTGGGATTTTCTATGGGTTTTATTTTTGGCTAATCAATCCGACCTACCAAATTTCATAAGGATCGGCCGACTATATCTTATAGCTGCCATATAACTGAACGATTGGAAATGACATAACTTTGGTGTTTTTAAAGTTAGGAAGTTGGGACATTTTATGAGTATTAAGAATACATCATATGAATAATTTTGGACAATATAATTTATAAAATATTCTGCAAGGGTATATCAACTTCGGCTCCGCCCGAAGTTAGCTTTCCTTTCTTGTTATTTTTTGGCTAGAAAACTACGGGCAGAGTCAAACCAACAGCTGGCGGCAAAAACCCTGGAGGGAGGCCGTCTGCTATGCAAATGTTTATTAACTTTTCAAAGTTTTGCAGTCATGTAACTGCCGAAATTCAAATGATTCAAATGTAGATTCAATCAAAAGTTTTCGTGCCAAGATGCTGGCTTTTCAGCAGGAGTTTCTGCCCCAGTTATGTTGCTATTAAAGTGAAACTCTTTCGTGGGACAAGCTCACCGCTTTTGACTAAACCAGCAACTGCAGGTGGTCATAATTTCGCACTGATTGCCCGCAAATTGCCACTTTCTACACTTGCTACAATTGAGCCGGCTGATTGCAGTGGTGGGTCAGTAGTTGTGGCAGTAATTGTGATTGCTAACGTAATCGTCCTGCCATTGATGGCCAGGTTGGAAGTTTGTTCGGCGACTTTGTCGCGACTATTTGTCTAGACGCGATGGCTGGGAGGGTGTCAGGTTGGAATTCATGTCACATGCAATCAGCCGAATCCAGCAGCTCTAATGATTCCCCCGTCCAGAAGCTCAAACTGCTGTCATGGCTGGTTCATGGGAGGTCGTTGGTGTCAATGTCAAGCCGATTTGCTCTCAGTCGTTCCTTTCCCTTTTTTTTCCGAACCCCATTCAGTCAGAGGACGTGGGCGCCAGGACCTTCTTGAGGGTTTGCATTCCAAAGGAATTCCAGGCCAAACAAGATCCCGTTCCGAGTGAGCGAACATCCAAGGAGCAGGGGTTAGAGGGAGGAATAAGTAACCCATTCCCGAATCCAACTGTATTTGCAGCTACATTCTGTCGCTGGCTTTGGCCGATCTGCTGGTGATTCTGGTGTGCGTGCCCGTGGCCACGATTGTCTACACGCAGGAGAGCTGGCCCTTCGAGCGGAACATGTGCCGCATCAGCGAGTTCTTCAAGGACATCTCCATCGGGGTGTCCGTATTCACACTGACCGCTCTGTCCGGCGAGCGGTACTGCGCCATCGTGAATCCCCTACGCAAGCTTCAGGTATAGTAATAATAATAATTTCGAATGGAATAACACTAATCCCCTAATTATTGCACAGACCAAGCCTCTCACCGTGTTTACTGCGGTGATTATCTGGATATTGGCCATTTTGCTGGGCATGCCATCGTTCCTCGTCTCCGACATCAAGAGCTATCCCGTGGTCACGGTCAAAGGCAACATCACCATCGAAGTGTGCTCCCCATACAGCGACCCGGAGTATGCAAAGTGAGTTTCTTCCGCTTCCATTTACTTGGCACTCATCCAGAGGAGATGAAGTCACCTGGCAGATGATGCCTTTGGTGGTCAAACAGGTTGAATCGATGCAAAGCAACTCCGATTTTATGGCCACAGTAAAGTGGGCCTCAAATGTTATTAATCATTAATGCACCCATACCCAGAAGCTGTTTTTCCTGCCACCTGGTGCAGCTGCTCTTACCTGCCGTCCTCCATCCGCCTCCTAATAAAGCTCCATCCCCGATGCCCTTCGCTCCTTATTGACGTGCTTAAGCCCGCACAACCCCCGGCCAGTTGAACTTAATTCCTTTTCCCATCAATGTAGCTGCTGTGGCGCAAGTTGGAAATCCTTTCGTGCGGCTGGCGTCAGCTGTTGCCACATAATCTGGCTGTGATGTAATTTACACACAGCCGCCGGAAGGGAGGCGGTGTGGAGCAGGAGTAACCGCCTCTCAACTGGTCGCTAATTTTTCATTTAAGGCATGCCGACACGCTTTATTTTTCTACCACTTGGTGGCATGTGTTTCGACCACATTAAGAGCTGGAAAATGGCGAGGAAGTGGGATTCAGAGATTGTAAGTCGGGAGTACTTCCTTTCGCTTTAATGGTCATCCGTGCAGTGACGCAATTTAATGTCGCTTTTTTGGGCAGTTTTATAGTCTCTCATGTCGCTTGAATATTTGGCAAAATTCTCTAAGTCCTCTTAAAACGAAAATTGAAAATACTTTTGGGGGTCAGTGGTGCTGACCATGACGAATTTGGTTTATGGCATTTAGTGGCCTAATTGGTTCCGGGTGACTCTCTTGCAGGTACATGGTGGCGGCCAAGGCGACTATATATTACCTGCTCCCGCTGTCCATTATCGGAGCGCTCTACATCATGATGGCCAAGCGGCTCCACATGAGTGCTCGGAATATGCCCGGCGAGCAGCAGAGCATGCAGAGTCGCACCCAGGCCCGAGCTCGTCGCCATGTGGCCCGCATGGTGGTGGCATTCGTGGTGGGTAAGTCATCGCACACCGCATTCTGCATTCTGCATTCCGCCATCCTGGATTATGCATCCCGCATCAGGAATGCTTAATGCCATGGACACCCTAATTGGCTCTGGACTATCTTTGCAGTGTTCTTCATCTGCTTCTTTCCGTACCACGTGTTCGAGCTGTGGTACCACTTCTATCCCACCGCGGAGGAGGACTTCGATGACTTCTGGAACGTGCTGCGCATCGTGGGATTCTGCACGAGGTGAGTGGATGTGGATCAAAAGCTGGAGCTGAAGCTGAAGCTGAGCTGCAGGTCGAAGTTTAGTCGCGCACTATCAGCAGTTTTCGGTGGCTTTTCTTCACCACTTACCCTCTTCAACAGGGACATATATCTTGAACCCCAGCTTGCAGTTGCCATCCGAGAGCATTCCTTGAGGGGTACAAAATTTATGGCCATGGTGGCACTCAGTCTCAGGAGGGGGGTTTGTGAGGTTGTGTAGAGAATGCATATGGCGGTTGTTGCTGGCAGTAATTTCCTTAAAGTTTCACCACAGTCATTTTCGCTGCATTGCCCTTGGCATCGGCTTTTGGTATAATTTTTAATTGAAACAGATTATGCAAGCACACACCGCTCCCTTCCCGTTTGCCAGTACATTTATTTTTGTTGACAGCCCCCCAACCCCACAATTTTCCGAACTACCTCTCTGCTCTGGCAACCAATTTGGGCGACACTTAGCGCAGTAAAACTGGGAAAATAATGTGTCAGCAATTTGGGTGGCATCATTCACTGAAGAGCGGCGGAACTAAAAGCAATTTGCATTCCGCCCAAGCGGGTGGAAATAAGCCCCAATATAGTATCGCAAAATAGAGCAGTCATCGGAGGAATGGTGTTACTATTTTATTGAACCTTGCTCTTAGTTTAATAAAATGTATATGGCTTGATGTACCATTTGACACAATCAAACAATTTGTTGAATATATTTACATTGCGTTATAGGAATTTAAGAGGGATTGTTTATGTTAATTTTGATGAAGATAAAATACTTTGGGATATATAAACTGAATGATTGATGAGTGGACTTCATTTTGCAGAATAGTTTTACTGCCTGTAATATCTTCCATTTTTCATTTGAGTAATATAACCTAGGGTCTTTTTCTCGTCCTGATAGTAAGGTAAAAATGGGTTTTTCAACTGCCAAATACCATACATATTGTCGGCTCAAAAAATACTTTTAGCCTATCATGAGAATAAAGTTTAAAACTTTCTTTTCGCTTGTCATAAACATAGGTTTAAAACTAAAGATAAAGTTGGCTTTAAAATGTCAAACTCTGTATGTTTTCTCAATTTAAAACCCATTTTAGCTTATCATGGGGATATAGTAGGTTTTAAACTGTCAAAAATTCAAATTCTTTTTTCTTTAAAGCCTTTTGGCTTATTATAAAATAAATATGATAAATATCATATGAAGAGTGTTAAACGGTTGTTAGGAATACATTCAGGGACCATTCACAGCTGAAGTTCGCACCATTGATTGGCACTAACTGGGCCGTGCGTTTCCAATTTGCAGCTTCCTCAATTCGTGCGTGAACCCAGTGGCCCTCTACTGCGTGTCCGGGGTGTTCCGGCAGCACTTCAACCGCTACCTGTGCTGCATCTGCGTCAAGCGGCAGCCCCACCTGCGGCAGCATTCCACGGCCACGGGGATGATGGACAATACCAGCGTGATGTCGATGCGTCGCTCCACCTACGTGGGCGGGGCCACCGCTGGTCACCTGCGGGCCTCCCTGCACAGGAACAGCAATCACGGAGGAGGAGGTGGAGGAGTAGGAGGAGCAGGAGGATTGGGGTCTGGTCGGGTGGGCAGCTTCCACCGGCAGGACTCGATGCCCTTGCAGCACGGAAATGGTCATGGTTCTGTGGCAGGCGGGGCAGCCTCCGGATCCGGTGGACGTGCCACGGCCGTGGGCGAGAAGAGGTGAGGCACGCTAATCGTGGAGCTGCTGGAGGAGGAGGAGGTGGTGGTATCCTTGCAGGCCGACGAGCAGCTCTGAGCGCAGACAATGGGCCTGTGATCTCACTTTGTGCTTGCACCACCCGCACTTCACATCTCGCACTCTGCACTCGACCCACGACACTATTCCCCTGTCCCACTGGCATTTGCCAGGTAATTTGTTTATTGGCGCGAGACTGGACTAATTTGAAATCGCATCAATGCCGAAGCCAACAGGTTAAGCGGATTTTATGGCTACGTTACCTTCGCGGAAATGCCTCTATATGTGTATATACATGTGCTTCAACTATGGGACATATGCCTGGATGGAAGGGAGGGTCGAATTGGGCGCCATTAGCATTTTACTGAACTCAGTGCCATTGTATATACATATGTTTCAAACAAACTTTTACTAATTAATACGCAATTTATGTAATGTTATTCTGTGACGTACTTTAGCCGTATGTTATTTGTTAATTAAGTAAGTCACTAAGCACATTAAATGTAACTCGTAATTACCTGCCTCAGTGCAATAAAATAGTATTATATAAGCCACGGACTCAAAAAAAACAAAATGGAAACACAGCCCCAGCTATTTATAGAATATAAAAATTGCATATATCAATAGGCTTAAGGGACTTTAGCGTACAATTACTGTAAATAAATGAATTCCATAAATGTTAAGAGCATAAATGTTGTCCTGGATAATGTGAAATTTCAGAGCCGTAATGTTGATATCATGACACCGGACACCGGATATCCAGGTAAGAGCTTGTATATACACAGTTTTGGACTAATTTATGTACTTTTGACATTGATCTGTTTTAAGGATAAGCGGATTCTGCTTAAGTAATTTTCTCTGTTGAATAATTCCAGCCTAATAAATCGTTACGAAAGTGACCGCATCCGTTACTGATGTATGTAAATCATGGCAGTTGAAGACGTCCTAACTCAAAAAAAGAGGGAGCCCACCGGTTTACATGGAATACGTAAATCCTAGCCGTCGACGGATAAGTGCGCTTAAATATTGTACAACTATTTGCTATTAAAATTGTAAATTGAAACTTAAAACGTAAATAAATCGACATTTTATGTAAAATAGGATTATCAATCAACTGCCCAAATCGACATGTGTCATCCAAAGTGCAAAAATTTGCTGTTATTGGCACATATATACACATATTATTTGTATTCAAGGACAAAAGGAAATTGTTCAAATGTTTGCTACAGGGATATAAAAAAATAAATAAATATTTTTAGGAGAGACGTGGGTTTTGAGCAAGAGCCGAAACTATTATAAATCGACCAAAATGAAATTTTTTAGCTGTGAATGCCACTGGATTGGAAATTTTGTAACGAATTCAACGAGGTATACTATTCCAAAATTTGACAATTATTTCCCAGGGTTTTGATCCAAAAACAGAGATAAAAGTTGATTTTTCCGGATCTTTCGGATTTTGGCATTTTTCATAAGGGGTCATTTTTTGCGAAAAATCGACCAAAACAAAATTTTTTAGCTGTGAATGCCACTGGATTGGAAATTTTGTAACGAATTCAACGAGGTATGCCATTCCAACATTTGACAATTATTTCCCAGGGTTTTGATCAAAAAACTGAAATAAAAGTCGATTTTTCCGGATCTTTCGCATTTTGACATTTTTCATAAGGGGTTACATTGACATTTTTTGCGAAAAATCGACCAAAATGAAAGTTTTTAGCTGTGAATGCCACTCGATTGGAAATTTTGTAACGAATTCAACGAGGTATGCCATTCCAACATTTGACAATTATTTCCCAGGGTTTTGATCAAAAAACTGAAATGAAAGTCGATTTTTCCGGATCTTTCTCATTTTGACATTTTTTATTCATTGTCATTTTTTGCGAAAAATCGACCAAAATAAAATTTTTTAGCTGTGAATGCCACTCGATTGGAAATTTTGTAACGAATTCAACGAGGTATGCCATTCCAACATTTGACAATTATTTCCCAGGGTTTTGATCAAAAAACTGAAATAAAAGTCGATTTTTCCGGATCTTTCGCATTTTGACATTTTTCATAAGGGGTTACATTGTCATTTTTTGCGAAAAATCGACCAAAATGAAAGTTTTTAGCTGTGAATGCCACTCGATTGGAAATTTTGTAACGAATTTATTTCCCAGGGTTTTGATCAAAAAACTGAAATGAAAGTCGATTTTTCCGGATCTTTCTCATTTTGACATTTTTTATTCATTGTCATTTTTTGCGAAAAATCGACCAAAATGAAATTTTTTAGCTGTGAATGCCACTCGATTGGAAATTTTATAACGAATTCAACGAGGTATGCCATTCCAACATTTGACAATTATTTCCCAGGGTTTTGATCAAAAAACTGAAATAAAAGTCGATTTTTTCGGATTTTGGCATTTTTTATAAGGGGTTACATTATTATTTTTTGCGAGAAATCGATCAAATTGAAATTTCTTAGCTGTGAATGACACTCGATTGGAAATTTTGTGACGAATTCAACGAGGTATGCCTTTCCAACATTTGACAATTATTATACCCTTGCAGAGGTTATTGTAATTTTGGTCAAAAGTGTGCAACGCAGTGAAGGAGACATCTCCGACATCTCCTATTCTTGATCAGGATTGCCTCCTGAGTTGATTAAGCATCCGTCTGTCTGTCTGTCCGTCTGTCTGTTTCTACGCGAACTAGTCTCTCAGAGCCGGAATCGGCGTTGATGGAATTCGCTGGATTTTCAACGTCTTTCCCGACGCTTCAATCTGCGAATCGTGCGCTTCATCCTGGACACACCCGCCCTACTGGTGTCGGAGTTTGTGGATAAAAGCGTCCCAGAGTGTGGAGGACTGCTTGGGGAAGTTGGCATGGTAAAATTAGACCTTATCGGGAAAAGACAAATCGTAATCCGCACGTTATTTATTTTATTGATTTTTGTGAACATTTAATAGTGAAGAGTCCTTTTTGGCGAGCCTAACCCTGACGTTGGCGTCTTCCTCCACGACGCCTTAATACGACGACTCCACGACGCCTTCCTCCTCGACGGGCTTCTTGACGCCGCTCCCGGCGACGTTGCTGGCGCTGTTGACGTTCCAGCCTCTCAACATCGCGCGTCAGCTTGGTCAACTCCGCTTCGAGGGTTTCGGAGGACGTGGGTGAAGGTGTTGGGGACGGCGAGGGGCTGGGCGGCGAGGGCGGTGAAGGAGAAGGAGAAGGAGGAGTCACCGGAGGAGTTACTGGAGGAGTCATCGGGGGAGTCGTTGGAGGAGTGGCTGGAGGAGTGACCGGAGGAGTCGCTGGAGGGGTCGCCGGAGGAGTCGCTGGAGGGGTCGCTGGAGGGGTCGCCGGAGGGGCTGATCCTGTGGCGTAAGCAGCCGCAACGAGGGCGGAAAGCCCAAAGACGAGGATAAACGGGGATCGCATCTTGAGCTCTGTCTTTCACCTAATGAAGAACTGTACATATTCCGGTGTTAGTTCGAGTATTTATAGGGGCGATCTCACATTGTGGTCTAATGGCAGTATCTGTATTTGCTTAAGATCGCCGTACGCATGGGACAAATAAGGATTTGTTTACAGAGTATAGGCTGTGTAAAGAGTTCATAGATGAGATTATCTTTTTCTAAAAGACCTACAAGCTGAATAGCTTTTTTGTGTTCTGATTATACAGCAGACAATTGAATTCATACTTGTGAAAGCGACTGTGCAAACACAGCCTGAAATATCAATAGATTTAGATAATATTTGGACAACCGCAAGTAACTGAAGCTTTTTTAATCAAAAAGAAAGCTTTCATCAAAGCAGTATTAAACAAAGAACTTAAGGGGGTTTTTTAACAATTAATAAAGAATAAGCAATAGATATTTTTACTATCCATTTTTTATCATTTGTTTATTAAACTTAAAGGAGCACATAAAATTAATTTTAAAAAAAAATTGGTTTTCGTTAAGTTATTCGTTCTTGAAGAAGAGGGGAAAAAAAGAGGCCGTGTCCTCGTCGCCATGATTTCTATGCTTGTCGTTATTTGAAAAATAAAAAAATGATATTTTCTTAATGAGTACAAATGTCGCTATGGCATGAAGCGCCAAGAAAAAAAATACCCTTGCAGGGGGTATTATAATTTTGGTCAAAAGTGTGCAACGCAGTGAAGGAGACATCTCCGACCCTATAAAGTACATATATATATTCTTAATCAGGATCACGTCCGTCCGTCTGTCAGTTTCTACGCAAACTAGTCTCTCAGTTTTAAAGATATCGAATTGAACTTTGCAAACACCCTTCTTTCCTTTGCACGCAATATATATGTCGGAACGGCCGGGATCGGCCGACTATATCCTATAGCTGCCATATAACTGATTGATCGGAAATGCCATAACTTTGGTATTTGTTACGTTAGGAAGTTGGGATTTTCTATGGGTTTTATTTTTGGCCAATCAATCTGACCTTCCAAATTTCATAAGGATCGGCCGACTATATCCTATAGCTGCCATATAAGTGATTGATCGGAAATGCCATAACTTTGGTGTTTTTAAAGTTAGGAAGTTGGAATTTTTTATGAGTATTAAGAATGAATCATATGAATATTTTTGGAGAATATAATTTACAGAATATTCTGCAAGGGTTTATCAGCTTTCTTTATTTAGCTTTCCTTACTTGTTTCCCATGGTTTTGATAAAAAAAAACCGAGATTAAAGTTGATTTTTCCGGATAATTCGGATTTTGGCATTTTTCATTTTTTGCGAGAAATCGATCAATATGAAATTTTTTAGCTGTGAATGACACTCGATTGGAAATTTTGTGACGAATTCAACGAAGTATGTCATTCCAACATGTGACAATTATTTCACAGGGTTTTGATCAAAAAACCGAGATAAAAGTTAATTTTTCGGGATTTTTTGGATATTGGCATTATTTATAAGTTACATTATCATTTTTTGCGATAATCGACCAAAATGAAATTTTTTAGCTGTGAATGCCACTCGATTGAATATTTTGTAACGAATTCATGGAGGTAGCCATTCCAACATTTGACAATTATTTCACAGGGTTTTGATCAAAAAACCGAGATTTTTCTGAATCTTTCGGATTTTGGCATTTTTTTAAGGGGTTTTATTTAAAAAAAAAAAAAATGGACGAAAATGAAATGTTTTAGCTGTGAATGCTACTTGATTGGAAAATTTGTAACGAATTCAACGAGGTATTACATTCAATTATTAATAATAATTCCTTGCCCTACATTAGCCATATGGTTTTAGGCAGAAAAATTCATCAGTTTTCTAATATGAATTTTTTTGTTTTAGTATATCCTTAAAAAGGAGGTTGCTTCAACCTGAAACAAAATTTGTTTGCTTTTTAAACTGGGCGAAAAACTATTTTGCATAGGAAAGCGGGTGCCTGCTTGATGGATCAAATTTGTAAAAATGTGTGCGCCCGCAAGGCCCCTAAAAAGCGTATAACAACCTTAACTAACATCGTTTCTTCAATTTATTTCGGAGCATTTTTCGAACCACCCTTATCATAACGAATCGCAAAATCGCTTTGAAGTTTGGGTCAGTCGAACAACTACAACCGCCCCAGCTCCCCTTGCACCGGCCCATCACACTCACTCTTTCACACGACCAAAGCAATTTGCTTATTTAGACAAAGGAAATCGACTGGGCGAGACCAGAAAGGACAATAAATACAATCTGGCCCCGAACACACACAAAATTTCATTATGGTATGCCAATCAGGAGGTCACAGGCACAGGCGCAGGCCACAGGCCTCAGCCACCGGAGTTGGTTGTATGTAAATTGGCCAACACGGCATGTGTTATCTGAGGACGTACCGCCCCCGCAAACAGAGTAGGCCCAGGACAAATGTCGAGCCCATAGTTATTGGCATCCAATAAACGGGGGACTCGAAAAGTTCCAATTCGACCCAATGAGACGTGTGGGGGGGGGGGTCAAAAGAGGAGCCTGTCCATCCGCGTCCTGGCAGCCGATCGACCTATCGCCCCCTCTAAATCACAACTGGAAGGGCCAAATGATAATTCCGGACCCGGAGTGACATCGCAACATTTTCGCATTTCGGGGGCATTATTCGTCCGGCACAGCGGGAGTCAAAGGGCATCAGCATCGGCATCGGCATCGGATTTATGCCAACGTAACTGAGTTGCCCCACAGCCAGCTCTGCTCAAAGGTAAATGCCTCGACCAACAGCTTTCACCACAAATGCGGCGCTGATTTGCAGGCAACTGGGCTCCGATTTTGGATCTGTCATGACCATCGCACAATTAGCTAATTATACTCTGAACCGCAGGGAGTGAACGGTGGGTTGGGCTGTGCGGGCTGAAACTGTTTAGGGCCAGTTAAGTTTCAACTTTACGACCACCGAAAGACTTTAAGTCATTAAGGTAGTGGAGCGGTAAGTAGCACGAGCTCATGGAGCACAAATATAGCCTTTTTCGGAGAAGTTATATATATTTATGAGACCCTTCCCGGTTAAATGCATCTTAAAAGTAGCTGCTGGGTATATCTACGTGTTGAACCAACAAACTTGTGTTACGAATCGCAACATGCAAATGAGGAGAGATTCCGTTTCCGATGCAAGGCTGGTAATGAGATTATCAAATGCAGAACGGGACACGAAAGACCCGACACACACAAGTGGTTCTAAGTGATTTATCGGCAGAGCCGGATGGGCACATCCTTTATGGCATCGACAGCACGAATATAACTAACAATTAGTGGCCTCTCCACCTTCTAAGATCTTATCTTTTATGTGTTCACGCATTCATAAGTCCTCATTATCCAGAATGTCCCCGGGAAGGCAGACAGACGACTGCTTTCCCCGTTCTGGCTGTTATTTTTCCTTTTATGTCGGTCTAACACGCATCTTGCTCCTCCGGCTGGTTTTCTTAGACGGCTGGACCGTGGACAACTTACACTCGCAAGTGGTGTCATCCTTTAACTGAAACGCTTTAATAAGATAGCTCTTCTTGGCCACAGCTTAGTCTAATGAAAAACACAGGATGTATGTGCTTCATGTTTTTATCCTTCTGAAAGAGTCTCCTGCAATTAGTTCCTTTCTTTTACTATTACACTGAAACAATATTATAACAACTGTGACCCCTACATATTTTTTACAAAATATTAATTAAATTCTAAGATTAATTTAACTCCTTTTATTGTGCTGTGTTAATCGACTTGCTAAGATTATACTATTATTTGAGGGCATATTCGGTTCGGCCTGCTCTTTTACCCTACATTTTCGTCTTGTTAATTGCAAAGTCCTGGTAAACAATCCAAGGAAGGAAGGAAGAAGCCGGAGCAGATGTCTCCGTCTTCGTCTTGTCTGGTTATGGTCGACTGCCGACTCGTGTTTTGATTGCGGTTAAATTCTTATTTACATTCCGGTCTGTTTATGTCCAAAGGCCAAAGTTGTTTCCGGCATTATTTCGGCTAAGGCTGCTTTATGGTCTATATTTTCTTGAGATCTAATGAATTGCCATGACTAGGGTCTCGGCTTCTAAATTGGGCAAAAGGAAGCCTAAACAGAACAAATCATGAATATTTTCTCAATCCTCCAAACCGTTTATCATGGCAATTATGTAATAAATTTTAGATGAACCAGAAGTCGTCCTTATCTGCAGTCTCCACTTTCAAGTTTATTGAATTTCAATCCCTTGTATTTAATTTCGTTTGTGCAAATTCACCATTACCATTAAATTGAAATCAATAGAAATCGTTTGGCGAGGGGATGCGGGGTAAACAGGAAGGAAACTGAATTTGTTAGGCATGGCTAAAAGCGTAGGAAACAGTCCACAATGGGGGTATTCTGTCTTCAAGGAGGGGTGATGTAGGGTAAGTTGAAGGAATTTAGGTGGGGAACACTAGGGTCCACTTGCTGAATTCCAGTACTTGGAATATCCACTGGATCAAGAATATACATGGTACCTTACACGGTAGGCTAGAACTCTTATTTAGCAGCCCCAACAGCAAAAATCAGCTCATTTTCTGCTCCACGCACACTTCGCTTTTTTTCGGATGCGAAACGGCGATGGGGCTCACGTAATAGGCTTATGCGCAGCCCAAAGCCGGCTTAAATGCACACGCACTTTATTTAATGACAGTTTTAAGCAAGGAAAAACAATTACTAGGGAAGCAGGAAGCAGGTGGGTCAATACGGTCAAAAAATTGCCCAAGAAGCCGCTATGCAAATTACTTACCTTCGACAGAGAGACTATAAAATAAGACAAAATCAATTATCTTAACAAAATAAGACAAAATCAAGTCTATAGATAAAATAAGACAAAATCAATTCTCTTAATAAAATAAGACAAAATCCATTCTCTAGATAAAATAAGACAAAATCAATTATGTAGTAAAATAAGACAAAATCAATTCTGTTTTATATTTTCTTTGAATATGATTTGATAAAATCACAGTTCTAATACGATGATAATCATACAATATTTATGACTTTCATTAAAGGTATCAACAGGATAGAAATAAATAATTATAAATGTCAAATTACAATTATGTTGTTTTCCAAATAAATAATTATAAATGTCAAATTATAATGATGTTTTTTCCTGTGTGGGTGTAGGTAAATGGACTTCTTTGCGAAACAGTGCCCTCGTCACCTGCCTCGTGCGTCATCGGGAATCAAATAAAAAGTAATTAGTCAAGACGTGTCACCTCCCCTTTAAGTTTTTGCCCTGTTTGGCATTAATGGGATTTACGGGAAGTCTTCCAAACATATTTCAGGCATTCAGAGCCAAGAAAGCGGGGTGGAGGAATGCCCGGGAAAAGCCTTAAACCGAAGCTGTCTGGGTAAGAGGCTTTCTTTTTTATCTCACCCAAAAGCCATTTCAATATTTCGCAACCCTTTTTTTTTATATTTGCCTTAAACTTTCCGAAAGGCTGCCGAATTTGCGTTTGTTGTTTCAGCCGCATCGCAGGAGTATAGAGCCATTAAAAGTCAATTGGGCCAGAAATGCAAAGTGCCAGACAGTCTAGAGTCGCCGAGTGCCCTGCCTGGGCACATCTGCAACTCACATAACTTTCTGGCCTCTCGCAAAATAACACAAATATTCAAGGTTTGCCCACGGGTAAGCACTGGAGCCCACATATTTTGTTCTGTCCACATTCCGCTAAATTGACTTCGAACTTACAAAATTGGCGCACATGCCAAAATATTTGGTATTGGCACGAAACCATTTGGTGTCCCCCGCCATTATCTGCCGACTGCTAAGAGAAATCCCGTATCGGCCCAGTTTAAAACAGTATTCGGTAATGGTCTCCAATATGCTAACTACTTCATCGATTGATGGCGGCCCCAGGGTTCTCCATGGAGCATTCGTTGGAGATCCGGGCGTCCTTCATGGCTTCCGTTTCGATTTCTTCTCGACGCGACTGAAAGCGCATGATTCCCCTGCAATGCACATAATTTCCGACATCTTTGTTGCTACTACTCCTCCCACCAAACCAAAGGAATGGCCAGCTGTCGAGCAACTGGCCAACGATACAAATCTTAGCCCGGAAGCCGGGAATCCGCTGCCAGTGCCAGAAACAGAGCCAGTGAATTGCTTGCCTTCTTTACGATTATGGGCCACTTCTCATTGTGTTCGAATCGTAATAAGGCTCGTTGTGGCTTTCACCATTCGATGTGTATGCAAATAAACGCGCAGCTCGTTTTTATGGCCGCGGACAGCTGACACTCCAGGCCAAGGAGATACGAAAGACATGGCCAAGTGGTGTCCAAATGGGCAAACATCCCAGAGCTCATCAGATGGGTTGATTTGATTGATTCGGGGTTGACTCACCATTAGGCCGATGGGCTGGTCCTTGGGCTCGAGGGACTTCAAGGACGTTGTTAAACTAATGCAGAATAAACACACCCCCGATGGGGAAAATAGTTCCATGTTAGTATCCTTTGTTGCCAAAACTGTCCCAGCAACTTTGAGCCCCAATATATAAGCCATTTGCAAATTGCAACATAATAACTAGCACAAAGTTTGCTCTTACATTAAAAATTCCGAGCAAACATTGTCAAGCGATGTCCAACTTTGGCGGCTGTCAAAGCTCACGCGCTAAATTTTAGATGATGGTAACCAGAGCGACTCGCTAACTTTTAGGAGCCAAATTATTTTTCGGCAAATAAAAGTTTCCTGTCGCGGTTCTGAAACTACAAAAATGGCGGGATGACTAACATTTCTGGGGGGAACAGGAAATGGGAATATCAAATTAAAATTTTACCTAGTAGGATGAAAAATCGTGGTATTGGCAGACGCCTCATCGATTTTTTGGGCATATTTTCCACTGACATCCAGGTTTCAATCAGCGGAATCTCATGTTTGCGGCACGCTTAGCAAATTTTGTTAAATGGCGGCAGATTACTAACAGGCAATCCGGCATCAGCTTTTGGGAGTTGGAGTGTGTGTGCTTAGGATTAGGGGCAGGTGTTTAAGGAGAGGTGCGGGAAGGTGGACTGGAGGCGGCTGCCTTATCTTTTGGAAACCTTTATGGCGTCCTCGAATAGGTACGCGTGCCCGCGATGGAAACCGCTTCAAAGTTCGTTGCCTGGTATCTTAAAATTTAACCTTCCCGACTTTTAGTTGAAAAGAGAAATTAAAAGTTTTTAGCTTGACTTGCCCCTAGTCCATATTAAATTTTTCGACTTGCCAGGACCCATTTGCTTTAATTAACATAACAAATTTTCAACTTGCATTTACATTGGCAGGTGTCTGGATCGTGACTTATTAAAATCCACTCAAAGTTATTAAACAATGACAAGCGAGGACTGAAGGAACTGAGTCAACAACTAGTGTCGAACGAATCAAGGGGCCTCCTCTTACTTTCAGCTGCAGTTTACAGAACCTCTTCTAAATTGTTTTCCCCCGTCTGCTACTCCGATTGAAAGTCCTTTGGATGCTGGGCAAGCACAAGTTCGGAATTTTATTGTTCCGGCTTAGGAGCCAGATGGAGAAGATTTGAACACGCCAAAGTTCTGGTCCAAGGAGGAGGAGGGGAAACTATTTGGGCATGCTGGCAAACAGGGTTCTGTCAAATAGTTTCCCAGCATCTAACTTCCTGGCTGGGAGAGTGGGCCATTTAAAAGATACTCGAGCGTGTTTTTGGTCTTTTAAGGTTACAAGCTTAATGTGGAAAGTGGGGTAAAATAATGTGACTGAGAACGTGATTCTGACCATATTAAATTAGCGGAGTGGAATAAAGCGATTTCTACTGGGTATCTCTGCACATAAAAAAAATGAAAGAACGGATATGATTTATATTTAAAATCTTTTATTATCGTTTTAGCCAAGAGGGGTGCATTAGGGTAGTTCAAAATATATGGAAGATTTTGAAGTTCAATGAATGTGTTCGAGTGCCAAACAATTTTATTTAAAGTTTTAGAGGTTCCATAAACCAAGAGCAACAGTACGTATGAGTGATAATCTTCGAAGCCAATGCTTAGACCCTAAATCGCATTCATTCTGGTCTGCCATAACAGCACTAAAGAGCTTCAAAGTATAACCTTGAAATATTCATACAAATTGAGCATTCTTTCTATACACACAAATACTAAATTTACCTAAAAAATGGTCAAAATTACTTACGATTTTAACGTGTATTTTATTTAGCCTTTCGAGCTACACAGTATTCATCCTTTACATAGTGTCAAAGGGCTGTTTTTAGGAGATGTCAAGGCCAAGGTATCCTTTTAAACAATAAATTGGTGCAAGCGGTGAGATTGCAAAAGGCAACATTCATATTAAAAATTAAAACCGATTGAGCCGTTTGAGCTGAATGTCAACAAACAATATTTTTAACAGTTTGATTGCCTGCCTATATGAATACTTAGGGTATTGCAATAGTTTTTTTGTAACAAGCTTGAAATTAAAAGCTTTTTTCGTAACATATACTCTGCCTTTGGAAGGTGAACCAATGCCTGTCAATATTCATACAGATCCACCAATACTTCATCGGGCTTACCTTCACTTCTGGTTGTTAGGGTGGCCACGTACATCTCGTTGGGAGGCTGACAAGACGGTCACGAATCCTCTGCGACGGCTGCTTCGTCATAAATGCTCTTTCGCCAAGCCGTCTGTCAAGTTTTTTGCCGTTCTGGTTTGTGTGGTTTTTGTGTTGGTGTTACCACATTATCACTGTCGTCCTCTGTTGTGCTCGCTTACATTTAATAATTTATATTAAATATTCCTGTAAGTGACATTCTTAGGAATCTCATTATTTTGGCATGTCTTAAAAAATGAGTCTGACTCGCATTCAAACACTCAGGAAATTCTTAAAGTAATCCTTTTGCTTTTCCTTTTTGTAAATACTTTCTAGGATGTCAAGTCCGACTTTTTAAGCCCCAGATTATTATTTAAGTTTCTTGAGACAGTCTGCCACAGCTTCCCAACTTGATTGGTCAGAATTACATTTTAAATCAAGCGGCATTTTCAAGCTCGGCTTGTTACCAACTATAAACTCTAGAGAATTCAGCTTCTAAGGCAAACGTGAAAATAAACTGTATTCTATTACTATACTTTAATATTTTACCGTTATACTTTAAGCTACTTATTAACAAGTAAATAAATGGCGCTTAAACTATTTACAACTTTTTCTTTTTTGTTTTCAGGGACTGGTTGATAGACTTTCGTTTCAGCTTGGCCTTTGATTGCTTGGTAGCCGTCTCCTCTTCTCCTTCAGACCCATCGCTGTCGCTATAGTAAAAAAGAAAAGAGAGATTTTAGCCTATAAGTTCCCTCAAGTAGCGTAAAAAGTAAACTCACCCCACTGTAGGCATCTGATCGAACAAGTCCTCGTATTCATTGTCTACCGGTGTTGCTTTGACGGTCTTGTTTTGCTTCACGTTATTATCCACTTCTAGCTCTGTGTCCTCTTCAGGATGTTCACTATCCTGCGGTTCGTTTTCCCGTTGACGGATAAGGATCTTGGTGGCCTTCGACTTAACATAACATTGGTAAAGCAGCACCGTGGATTCAGAGTCATGGATGCGCACGTATCGGTCAAGGCTAGCCGAGCTTAGGTATCGACCGGTGATATCCAGATGCAGATCACTGATCCCGCCGGTGAATCCCTTGTAGGTATGCACATGGGTCTTCATGCGTCGTGTGTCAAAGGCTTTCAGAGCGCCCATTGTGGTGCCCGTGTAGATGAAATTGCCCCGCGCCACCAAAGTTGTAAAACTCATGCCGTGCTCCTCGCTGGCAAAGGACGCAACCGGACGGCGCTGCTTGCGGGTGTCGTAGAGGCGTACGTAGCCGGTTCGTGAGCAGGTAGCCAGTACACTGGGCCCATCCACGAAACCTATGTCGCTGTCCCAGACTGGCACCTCCAACTGCAGATAGTCGTTCGGAAGGTTCTTGGAACTGAAGATCTGCTTGCCGTCAGAGCTTAGATCGTAGACCTTTAGATTGTTCTGCCGCTCCTTTCCGCCGGTGGCCACAATGTTCCTGGCCTGCGCACACTGACGCAGGTGGTCGATTTGGTTGCCCGTGGTAATAACCACAGGCTCGGACTCCTCGTCCACCTCCAGCTCCAGGCTCTGTATCTGTCCATTGCCAATGCCGGCAATAAGCTTGTCATTGTACCGGGCCAGTCCTACGATTGGTGCGGCGGTAAAGGATATCGACTTTCTGGTGCTCTTTCCCTCTGCAAAGGAGTGCAACTCCACGGCGTTCTTGGCGCGTCCGAGCAGGATTTCCGTCTGAGCCTCGTCGCCAAAGGCCAGCGATGTGACGCGCGAATCCTTGTCCAGACCAACCAGGTCGCTCAGGTTGCTTTGTCCATGTGGGGATTTTTCCGAAGAGGGCACCAGGTCTGAAAAAGTCTTGTGATTATAATGCCTTTTGCCAATAAAAATCAGGCAGACTTACGTTTAAAGGAGCCCGTGTGCGTTCCCACATACAGTTCGTGGTTGGCCGTGTAGTTTGCGTGCTTTAAATTCGCAGTCGTCCACTTCATCGTGACCAAACTATTCTATCCAGAGTTTGGGAAAATTTGAAATGAGTAGCGGTTTTTAAAATTTCAGCAGCGGTCAGTAAAAACAAATTTTACACGTGCAGCGCGAATAGTGTGACCAATAGGCATTCGTCAATGTTGCGCCAAATCTCGCATTCAAAATGTAGCTAGATCGCAAGCTAAAAACAGCTAAATAGTATCTGACAAACACTGAAAATGCACAAAAAATGACTTCAAATGATAACAAATGACCTTGATCGAATACTTGCATCCTTCAAGTTGTTTTTTATTAATAAATTGATTTAACATTATTTAATAATCAATGCTTCTCAAGTAATACACAGTATTTTGTTTACCACCCTGCTCTATTTCTACAAGGGCTGGATGGTGTGAATGGCAGGTCAGCTGTTCGTGCGTGTTTACCAACACTTTCCGCTCTATTTAAAAACAAAAATATTTGTAATTGCGCTTAATTTATGTAATTTCTGAAAAAAAAATGGCTCTCACAAAGGTCTATGATGCTGCCACAGTGTTCAAACACTTGGGCGGCATTTTAAATGTGTACAAACCGGCCGGCATGAAAGTGAACCACGTCCGCAATGCCATTCTCAGCAACATTTGCAAGGGTAAGATGCGATAAAGTTCCAGAATTCAATTTCATGCTTTTTCTCTGGCTTTTTTAGGGCTTAACGAAATGGAGCAAAGGGAGCCTCGTAAATTGAAAGAAGAAAGACCCCTCCTGGGCACAGGCACCGCCGCCGACACCGTACTGCACAACATAGCTGACCAGACGGATCTGTCAGACCACGTTCTTTCCACCGGCCCGAGGTACCTTCCTCGGGACTTAAAATGCTCGACAGTGTCCAACCTGGGAGATCACACCAGCGGAGTCCTTCGTAAGTCAAGTAGTCAGTTTTAGATGCTTGTCTAACCATTTCTTTGTAGTCTTCGGGATCAACAAGGGTACGGGACAGTCCAGTAGCATTCGGAGAAATCGCCCTGTGCGTGTCTACCACATCACCGGTCGCCTGGGAAGCGCCACGGAAAGCCACCTGCCAGACTCACGAGTCACAATGCGCTCCAACCACCGACATGTGTCTGCGGACAGAATCAGCGGCCTAGCCGCCTCCATGCAGGCCTCGCATCAGCGTAAGATGTTCGAGCTCTGCGGCGTCGATTTGCAGACTCAGGAGGCCTACGAACTCGCCTGCAGAGGCCTCCTCCGCCCCGCGGACGACAGCCAGCCCGTTGTCTACGGCATTAAACTTATACAGTTCGAGCGCCCACATTTCACCCTGGAAGTACACGCGATTAACGAGACGCAGGAGTACCTTGCCGCCCTTGTCCACGACATGGCCTTGGAACTCCGCACCGTGGCGCACTGCTCTCAGCTGCGCTGCGTTCGACACGCCCACTTCGATGTGAGGGATAGTCTGCTCAGACACGCGTGGCACTTGCCAGGAATCATCAAGAACTTGCGCCAGCAGCGAGACATCCTGCGGGCTCACCCACAACTTTTACGACAGCAACGAGTCGAGCTACAAGCTACACAGTAAATTAGGGATCAATTATTTGTTGTAGGTAAATAAAAATGTAGGCTTTAACGAAACTTAAGGTGATGATTTTTAAATCTATATCTATATCCAGTATATTACAAATTGACCCTTATTTTTTGCCAAGATACCAATGAAATTTTTTATATTACATATAACGTGTTAATAAGGTCTTTTTAGCTTTATTAAAATGAGACAATATCCTTTAGCTTCCATATGAACATTTAACTGAGAGAATATTCATGATTTTGGGGTGCAAGATTGTGCAATAATGCTTTGCTGGTATTTTAAATTATGGGATTAGGTGTTACATTTTGATTTATTCAACAAAAAAATTATTTTTGTCCGACATCACGTTTTTGGTTATAGGTGAGAGTCAGCATTTGTTTTTCGCACTCAAAAATCTCCTTCTGCAGCTGGTCGTACAGCTTTTTGCCAGCCACCGATTCGAGCTCCTTCTCCAGGACCACCTCCGCTTCCTTAAGACGAGCCTGTGCCAATTCCAGAAAACTAGATCCCTCTCCAGGAGCCCTTCGCGCTTGCTCCTCCCGTGTGTGGGCAATCTCGATCAGAATGACCGTCACGTAGATAGCGAGTTTGATGCTGTGCGGATCCAAACGCCGGCAGACGTTGTAGAGCTCATCGCACAGGCGCAGTTTCCGCTCCAGTTGCCCGCTACTGAGCCCGCCCAATTCCAAGCCAGTTTCATTGCCGTACAGTTGGATCAACGTGTGCTTCAGGTTGAAGGTGTGAAAGTGGTTGGGATGCAAGATCTGGGACAGCCGGGCCAGTAACAGTTCAACCTGATTCGCGGAAGGACATCCGGCCATTAAGCTATCCACCTGCTCGGTCATGTGAGTCTGCAGTTCGGACACGTAGGCCCCATCCACGAGCATCGGACAAGTATCGCACTTCCACTGGGTGTTCTCGTCCAACGGATCCACGGGAAGATGGGTGCCAGCGCACGTTTTGTTTACATCCCCCAGACATGCCAATGCACTTATATAGGTCCCATATTCCGTTGGATCAAGGCAACGGCTGCAGCGGCAGCTGAAGTGTTTCGTTAGCCGCAGATGGTGCTGGCGAAGATGAGTGCCCCAGAGGATATTTGTGTAGGTGATCCGCAGGTGGTCGCCCTTCCGCAGGTTGCAGCCTGCCCGCACAGAAATTTGCTGAGTAATAGGGTCGAACTGGAAATCACAATTGGGCTGGCAGGCGTGCTCCATCATGCAGGCCTGCCGAAATAGACCGCTCAGCTCCACTCCCGTCGGCAGCTCGATTACCATAAAGTTGGTCTCGATGATGCCGCACAGTCGATGCAGTAACTCTGGTCCGCAATCCTGCAGTAGGTTTGGCTTGGTTTTCTTGAGCCGGCCTAGAAATCGCTGCTGCAAGTAGCTCACAACCCGTTTTTCCGCCTCCACGTGCAGCTCGGTGCCCCTGCGCTCTTCTTCGTGAGACTGCATCTCCAGCAGAGCAGCCCACTTGGCCGGACTTTGTCGCTGCAGCAGCAAGCACTTCAGCACCAAAAGGGCATCGCTCCTAAAATAGTCGTTGAGTGAACGGGCATCTGCCCTAGCAGGTGTACCCGCTCCCAGGCTAAGCACACTGCACTCCAGAGCCTCGTGCTCACAGCCGGAACTGCAGACTGGCCAGCGGCATCTGAAAAATTAATAGTTCAAGTGGATACTTACTACAGCGAAAAGGGTGTGTCACCTGCGACATTGGTGCTTGCCCAAACGGCAGGGCGTGGCACAGCCCACGCACGGAACGATAGAGGCCTCCTTATCTGCGTCGGAGAGGTACCACTTGGGCCCAACCACCAGAGGCTCCTCAATGAACACTATCTGGCCAGCTGCAATGTCCTGGGTTACCATTAGATACCTGCCCAGCTGGGGATCCTGCTCCTCGCTGAACGGCCTGCAACTGCGCTTATGCTGCGGCCAGTGCTGCTTTTGGTGCTCTCGATCGCAGTAACGCACCATCTTACACCTGGTGCAAGCCTGCGAGGCAGCCACTCCACAAACGGGACAGTCCGTGCTCGACACCATTGCTGATCCTTAATAAATATTTGATTATCCACCAGCGGACAGCACCACAATGTTACGTCGGCAAAGGGAATTTTCTTTTTGACTCGTCTGATTTCAGCAAGCCGGCGACAGCGGGCTTATTTTTAGCACACTTCTCCATATACTGCTCTTCCTTTTAGCCAAGAGGACTGATACATCTCTCTTCGAACCAGCGCCCTCGCTCTGCTCTCTGTTTACGATGAGGAAACTGAGAGCCCACAGGGTGTTCCTCTAAAAAAGACCTTGGAACCTCTAAAATTCGCTTTTCATTCGCACTTTATTTCGCTTTCTTCCGTGAAATACAAAAGTATACCGTACAAAACAGGCGTCAATTGAGATAACTTAATTTGAGTGTTTAGCAGTTAATGTGATAAATACAATTGATTTAGTTTGTGATCTGGGCACAACTAGTTCTAGTACGGTTCTTGCGGCGCGTCCAAGTCCCGGTAGTGTGATCTGGGTCGATAATCAAAACCACCGGGTCTGTAAGCAACGAGAATGAATATAGATATTGGAATTATTCACGCAAGACTTAGGGCAGGGCAGAAATGCAAAATATTACAAAGTTTCGTTTTAGGCTATGGATTCGCATTTATTTCGGGCAAATGAAAGTTAGCAACGTTGTCGGATTCTTAATACAATTGGCATATTATTGTACAGGAAAACGGATATCGGTAGTTGTATATAAACCATCTTTATATGCAGTAGATACTTTTCCTAGCATTGCTTGAATTGCTTTTAAAACTTGAGCTCGCCAAACGATAATTGCTGCATCGAGTGAGCCTGTTTTGTGCTAATCAATTAGTCAAACATATCGGAATTGGCAGGCGCATCCAAATCATGGTAACCGATAAGCCGGCGCTGGTGTTCCAAAGGCAATTCTCTGCAAAAAATTTGCGACACAAGAAAGTTGTGACAAATTTCGATTTAGACCAACAAAAGAGAAATCAAAGTAAAAACAGGGAAGAGACAGGTACGCCTAAATGCTATAAGTGTGTGGTTATGGAGGCGTGACTGTGGTCGGGGCTTAAATCCGCTGTAGTGAAAAATTCACTCAATGTTATTATGTCTAGGGTTCTGTATGTTTCTCTTTAGCACACCAAGAAAAGAAATAGGTGACGAGTTTAAAATCAATCTCGTTACGATTCTTTAAGAAAAGTCGAGAAAAAAAGAGATCGAATGTATCCATTGATCGGTTTTGGGAAATACTATTGTGAATCCTATGGTCGATAGCACTCCTAAACTATAAGAAAAAACATTAGGCGATGTACTAACCTGCGAACGGGAGGGAAGTTGCGTCCTCCGCGGCCACCACCCATCATGGGTGGTCCGAATCCGTAGGGCATCGCCGAAAAAGGTGGGTACATGGGCGCTCGATAACTATATTTAAGAAAATAAATTTGTTATTTAAGAAGGCATTACACAAAAGGCTACACTCACCCTCCTCCGCCTCGGGAAGATTCCGATTCAGGGCGCTTAGAGCTGCCGGGGTGCTCGGGCAACTGCGGACGCTTCGGATCGCGCAGGTAGTTGTTAAAGTACTGCACCTCGTTGCGCACCTCGTCGACCTTCTCTTCGTGCTTATTCAAGATGTGCTTGCGAATGAACTCGGGGCCCTTAAACTTCTTGCCCGAAAGCGGGCACAACCACTTGTCCTTGGCTAGCTCTTGGGTGTTCGCCTGCACAAACTTCTCCACCTCGGTCTCTGCGTCCTTAGAGCCAAGATCCTTAATCTCCTCGTCACTGAGCAATACAGTCTTGGTGAGGAATTGCTGCAGCTTGCTCTCGTACGTCTTGATATACTCCTGCAACTCGTTGCTCGTCACCCGAGCAGGAGTTGGACCACGGGCATGGATAATGCCACAGCGGTTAGGCATCTCGTCCTCGTACGGGTACTCGCAATGGTTGTAATAGTCTACGGAGTGCACAATACGCAAGTAAAGCACCAGTCGGTCCAGAACGGCTATCAATTGCTCATCACGCTCGATGGGTTCACCCTCACTGTCTTTGTTTTCACCTGTAAGACCGAGAAGCTCTTCCTCCTCTGCGGACGCCTCTTCGATGAGGTAGTCGGTGATGTTTTGCAGCACCGGATTTTTCGAATTGAAGCCATATGTGGAGGCGTTCCCATTCGCCGAAGATTCCGTCGCGCGGTTGGCGGCATTTGCCTCGTTTGCAGACGCCTCCGTCCACAGTCTGAATCTTTCGTCCAGATTCAGAGCAATCTTGGCGCATAGCTTTATGTCTGAACGCACCACCTGTTTGTGGGCGGTGATTCCGTTGGCTGGCCGTACCCGTCGACTCAGGTCTCGATTAACGATGGCACCCATTTCACAGTCTCGCAGCCGCTGGTTGTTCAGGCCCCAGCAAATCTCTTTGATGTTGACGTCCCGCATGAAAGTTATCCATCCGCGGCGATACCAACGGCGTTCTACCAAAGGATCTGCAATAGCCACCCTTAGGTAGCCGTTAAAACGGTTGCATACACCCTCGATTTCGGCTCTGGTTATGGAGGGGGCCAAGTTGCGCAGAAAGATGGAGGAGGTGCGATGCAGCGCTCTTGGGTGGCCATCCTTTACTTTGTCCAGGTCAATGGTCTCGGTTTCGACAACCTGGTTTTCATTACTAGGAGGCTTTTCTTCTCCCTCTTCAGTTTTGCCAGCGTCTCCATTTTCCGCTTCTTTGGGCGCACTCAAATTCTCTTCCGGTGACTTTTCTGCCTCGTCATTCTCGACAGCATTGCCTTCTGTGGCTTCTTCTTCTGGCTCGGGAATTGGCGTTTCTACTAGCGCTTCCGGTTTGGGACTCTCTGGTGCTTGCTTTGCTTTGGCCGCGTCAAGCCTGTCCTTTTCCGCTTCGGCTTTTTGCTCACTCCTCAGACCATCTTCCACATCATATTTCTCTTTTAGCTTCTCATCATCTGAGCTGGAACTGGATTCGGAGTCGGATGAGGAGCTGTCATCATCGCTGCTATTCCGCTTGCGCTTCTTGGTCTTTTTTTTATTCGGCTGCTTGTCCTCAGCGCTAGAATCGGTGGCCTTTGAATCATCCTTCACCTCTTTCTTGGGCGGCGCACTTTCTGCTTCATCGTCATCCCAGTTTTCCTCGTCAGAGTTAACAGGTTTCACAGCTTTCCGCTGTGGTGACACAACAACTGGCAACGAATCCTCCTCACTCTGCTTCTCTTCCTTGGGACTCTTGATTGCTTCCTCTGTCAGCTTGGCAGAGTCAATGAGGTCCGACTTTCGCTCATAGACCACCGGCTCTTTTGGCTTCTCGTCGAGCACTTTAAGGTCCTCGTCGGTGCCGCCTTCCAGCTTTATGACACAGGTGTCCAACACACGGATCAAGGCATCACCCTGCGAGGAATCCACCTTGACCGAGCCAATAGTTCCATTCTCGAGCAATTCCACGAAAACATCCGTCCGCCTCTGTAATAAATGAGTTTAAAGTGGTTGTGGAAACAATTGGATAAAGATAGTACCTGTAGGAAGCCGCGCTGCTCTTCGCTGCGTTTTACACTGTCCTCGGGGTGGTATTTATTTTTGAACCTGCAGATAAAAAATTTGTTATGGTAATTAGTAAGGCAGAAATAAGTTTTTTTTCTCTATGACGATTTAATTTCTACTTTTTCGCTTCTTCGCCCAGCTGTTGATAGTCAGTTATGTTAATTTTTCACTGGTTTAGATAGGTTTTTTTAGTTATCACCCAAAATCTTACCTTGCAAGCTTTGCGCTTTCGTTATTTATGGGATTGTTTTATTGTTATTTGGGCTTTTGCTCAACAATCGAATTTAAATAAATCGCGGTTTTAAAATATGAACACACCTCGGCATTGCTCGCCGGGTAATTAACAAATTTGAATTTAGTAGATATCAGCAGCTCTGCGACATGGCGCAGAACCTCTCAGAGATGTCTCTGTCTCATAAACCCAATAAGCTGCAGAGAAAAACTTAATATACAGAAAGTTATGAGTGGCGAACAGGAGACAGGAACATGGCAAAAGACGCAAGGGGCTGCACAGGCAGAGATATCAACGAAACCGTAGTGGGTGCAACCTCTGGTCAGCTACTAACCATTCCTCGTCCTTGTGGGCCACAAAGAACTCGTTTAGCTGCTGTCGCTTGAAGTCCGTCTTGTACTCGGTGTACTTGCGCATCACCTCCGAGTCGGATATGTTCTCGTCCTGGGTGTCGAGGAACTGCTTCAGGTTGAGCATGGCCGGCTGGGTAAGCGTGTCGCCACCGCTGCTCACCTGTTCCCGAGCAGGAGGTGCATGGCCGGCGTGGGAATAAGCCGAGTGCATAGACTGGTAGTGGTCGTTCCAGGCTTGCATCAAATACGGGTCGTAGCCTTAATTGAAAGAGTTGCTCTTTATATTATATTCAATCATTGAGACTATTTGAACTTACCCCCAAAACGGGGATTGGAGCGTACATCTCCATCGCCCCAGTCGGGTCGCATCCGCTTGGCTGGTGGCAGATCCCGTCCGGGCGACCCGTAGCGCGGCCTGGGCCCCGGACCCCGATAGTCGCTGTAGTCCGGCCTGTGGCGGGCTCCTCCGCCGCCGCCGCCTGCGGAAGCCCCGCCCCTGAAGGGATTGCTGTAAATTCCAGTAAATGGTGTCATGTAATAGCTGAAGGATAACCTCCACTTACCGTTCCGCCCACTCGTCGCGGGCGCCGGCAGAACCACCCACCGGGCGGCGCTCGTCGCGGCGTTCCGTGCGGTAACTATCGCTACGCTCCCCTCGGAACTTGTCCCTCCGCTTGCGGTCGTACTCGTCGTCCGAATCAGCCATTGTCGGTTGTCTGCAAATGAGAGTTAAGGCTAGGTAAGTGAAAGTGGCTCGTGCATAACCTCACTTCTGGGCCGCTTCGGCCTTCTCTTTTGTATGCTTTAAAAGGATTAAAAGGCTTAAGGATTCCCTGTAGCCAATTAAGTCTTGCAAACCATTCTCTTCTCATTCAGGTTGGAGCAAATTTGTGTTTTCTGTTGGGCCAACATTAGCCGCCATCTTGCAAATTTGCTTACAACCGCTTACGTGTTTTGTGGCAGGGCAATAAAACAGAATTGATTGACTTATCGGTTCACAAGCGTAAGTAGCTAAATTACAGCGTCTTTTCCAAAAGTTTTTTTGCTTTCAAAACATCACATAATTACCTTTTACTTAAATATAATAAATTTTCCGCAGATCGGCGCGTCTCTCAGTCAGTGTGGCCGTTTAAAAGCAACGCAATATACCTTTTAGAAAAAAATACCACAGAAAAAAGTACCAAATCTGAATTATACCCGGATTCCACCAACCTAACGTTTATACCGTATTTTTTGTTTGCATTTCTATAAACATTTAAAATTAAATCTTTAATATTCTTTTGTATTATTGCATTTCGTTACAAAATCAAAAAAAATGTTTCAGTGTTTACAAAATCTTATTTTCAAAAGACGAATTCATAAACTTATATTTGGTACCATCGAAACATTAATAAAAAGGTGTTTATTATAATTGTATTCTAATAATTTTTAAAATTTTGTTAAATAAATATTTTCTTAGGCAAAAACAGCTTGCGATCGTTTCACCTAATAATTAATTATTTAAAATAGGCCTAAGTGCTGTAAAAAAAGAAGTGCTTTCTATTTAAGTCCCATTTTTTTAAAATAAAATAATTATTTTCGAAAAATGTGGCCTATTTATTATGTTTTACAATTTTATTGGTCAAAGAATATGTTTTTATACTTTAAGAGAGTATTCTAATTTCAGTCAATACCTTGAACTTGTCCAAAAAAGGTTTATATATTCTTGATCCCTCAGTCTTAAAAGTATTTTGATGAAACTTTGCAAAAGGTCTTCTTTCTGTTGCCTACTATATCATTAAGCTACAATTGGAACAATCGAGAAAATAAATCAAATTATAACATGGTTGTTTCCTATATATACTTTTTTATAAATATCGGATGACTATATATATGAATGTGCGATTCGCCTTCGAAAGGAATTGACACTGCACAATTATACTTAAAATACCCAATTAAAACAACAATTTTAAATATATCATTTTTATTTTATTACACGTTTCATATATCGTATATATAGACTTCTGTTAGATTTATGTGTATGTATATATTTACAACTTAGTTATACAACTATGCAAAGTGTAAGTGTATCTAGGCCTAAATAAATTTGTTAATTATGAAATTAGTTCCAAAAATGTAATTATTTTCGCCTTAACTTGCAGCTTTAGCTGCTGACGATGCGCCAGACCCCCGAAAATCGACAATAACCTGTTTATAATCGTCCCAATCTTGTTTTCATTTTTTCGTCATTTAACTTAATATAGTGCTTCGATCTTTAAAGTATAAAAGTTTTCATCATGCTGTATTGTAAGTTATTAGCAATAATATTAACTTTAAGTAAACAGATTTTCAAATTAGATGTCAGATTCGTACATTTGAATGAGTGCATCTAGATACATATCCGAGGGTATATATTTTGTATGCACTGTGAGTTTTGGGTACCTCAAATTAATTATTCATCTTGATGTACCCAATGTCAGCCCGGGGAAATACAGTAAGGAGAAGGTATGCATACGCTTGCATTTGCTTAATCGGTTTAAATGCTAACAATCTCTACTTCTCTCTCGTTATCAAAATCGGTATACGGCAATTCTGGAAATATTTGCAATATGGGAAGTTATGGAAACGAAACAATATTTGGTTATTCGACTTATCACATTCTGCGGACAAGTCGAAAAGGTGAAGAAAAGTTTGCTGGCAGTGTAGCATATAAATAATAATGCAAGTGAAATAGAAAACTATTTCTAGACGATCCGTCCATCCACCCATTTCCTCTGGAGAGGGTTGATCGACTCAAATCTGTTATTTTCGCTTTCCGGTTTCTATTTTATTTCTTCTTACGTATCTCGAGTGTAATGGGCTTCGTTTAGAATATTTTCTGTATGCTGATTAGATTATCGACTTTGTTTGTATTTCTTGTTACACTAAAATGCCATCAATTCAGTTTTCAGTTTGTATTTCGTATTTTCTATTTGTATTTTCCGGAAAAATGATTTTACTCGCTAAGTTCTTTGTCTTCGAATTGTGTGCGTTGTCAATCCATATACGTATAGGTTCTGACTTAAAGATATACTCGAAATCGTATCTTGAACTGGTTGTTATAATTGTATATATTTCGTAGATATTCATGTTACCATTTAGATTTATATTACTGATTGCTAGACATTGCAAATGAAATTAGACTTATGGCGGTCTCCCCTTTTAATTACTCTAAGTTCGAAAAATGGCTGCGGTTCGATAACTTAGTCAATCTGCATGGTATTAGATCTCAATTTCGATTTGGCAGTGAGAAAAACTAAGCTATTAAACTCAATTCAAATTATGAAGCTTTAGCACGAGTCTTGTTCTGTTCTCGCCTACGTTATAATAGAAACAAAATAAACTCCAATATTGCGTATTATAAGTCTGATTACGCCTAAAGCTAGGCAATGATTTGCGGCAAACCAGGTACCTTTAAAAAGGCTTGGTGTTTCTTAGTTCAAACTAAAAATTTTCGTGGGCTGAGAGTGCATGAAAATCAAATTTCTATAACGAAAATAATATCTTTGTTCAAGGTATATATCTGTTTTTTTGTTTTCTTTTCCTGCTCTTGCTCTGCTGCTAAGGTCTCGCTTGTAGTTACATTTATTTTTATAATGCTTAAAACCTTTCGATCACCCTACATCTGTTGCCCGCCTGCTTCATCATCATTTGTTTTGCTTGAGGTAGTTTTTCAATTCAGGATCAATATCTACAAGTTGAACACAAAATGCTTGTAATTGTGAGTGAGTGTCAATCAATTTCTCTTAGGGTTACAGGCTGTGTACACGGTCGTGGTCGTGGGTTCTACATAGTTAGGTCTAGAGATTTGGGGCAAAACAAGTTACGAGTTTACACATAACAGAAAACAGTGCATAAAAATAAAACAAAGTCTCGAATTTCAAAAATCTACATAACGATTTTGTTTCACGATTCAGCTTTAGCTTTGTGTATTTGTTTTGGTTATCTTCTTTATATGAATGGATCTGTCAACAAATTGTTACTTTATACCAAACAATCTTTTATTTTCGTAATTCATCAGGTTGCATTATTTGTATTTTTGTTAGTCGCATTCTTTGTTTTCATTCTTATAGAGCGAGAGCTATAAATATAAATTTATTAATATATGCATATGTACAGATCTTAGGCGAGCTATAATGTAATATTTGAAAGATTTAGCGAGGGTCTATCGAGGGTATTTATTATGATTGACTTATACTATATTCAACACTTGACTTGGGTTTGGAATTGCAAATCGAATATCTATAATAATGTTGAAAGTCATCCGGTTTGGACTTTCAAAAATGTGTTTAGCAAATAAATCTTACTTAAAAATTACATCTTAAAGCTATTTGATAGCTTTCTTGCTGTTTTATCCATTGAAAAGTTAACCAATCATAAACCAAGTGTCGAAAAGATACAAAACTGTTCCTGCTTACTAATTCCTCCGTTTTTCATCTGTTCCTTTCGTTCTTAGCCAATTTCACAGCCATTTGCATCGAATGCAAATTTTGTTCAAATTCTGAATTTCTAGCTCATAAGTCTTTCACTCACACCCCAATAGTTTTTATCTCTTCCCTAGTAAACGAAAATAAAACACATGGAATATGACGGAAAAATATTTGGCAAAATAAAAACACTGGGGTTTTGGTTTATGTTTTTTGCATATTTTTATGTTGTCTTCTTTTTGTTTTGGTTCAACATATTTTTTCATATATTGTATATATTTTGCTTGCATTCACTTCTTTCACTTGCGGCAATTAGGTAAAAAGGTAAAAATATTCCGTATTACGATAGAGTTTGCTTCTTTACATTACGTGTAGAACTACAAAACAAGTTATGCATAAACGTAACTATGTATATCTTTATAATAATAATTAAACGTGCTCGAGTGCATGCTAGAAAGAATCAAACTTAAACCGATTGTAAAAACGAAACTTATAATGAGTTTGATGAGCGGGGGTCATCGCTGGTTTGGATCATCCCTTGGAAGTTCCCTCCGTCCAATTTCGAATATGATGAATAAATAATTCACTGCTTTCTGTTTGTCAAAGTGCAGGCTACATTTAATTAGAATTCTCTCCTCGAAAGCATTGCGCTCGTTTGATTAGAGTTACTTCCATATATATCCTTGATATCATGCTACTTTTAGTTCATCTTTACACAAATTCATCTTTATAAATTAAGTTTACTTAAAAGTTTACATGTGTGGCTGTGTGTGTAGGCGTGTGTATGCGTTGTGTGTAAAATTATATTTAAATTAAGATTAGTAGTAAAAGTAAAAAATTGCACAATTCAAGTAGAAAGCTACGTAAGATGTTATTATATCTTCTTTTTACACAATAAAAGAATTTCACTTTTAACTTTACGTTTAATTTTATTAATATTTTACAGTTGTTTCTTCTTCTTTTCGTTTTCAAACACAAATTGCTACTAAAATTAGAATAAATTTGATTTAAGTTAAAATAAGGCCAACAATTTTAAAAAATGTATTTAAAGTGTACATCGCAAAGCAAAATAAAACTAATAAAGTCTAATAAAAATGTTTGAAAATCAATTGCATTAAATTTTGTTTAACATAAAAATTGCCAAAGTAAAGAATTTTGCACGTTTCTTGTGGTGGTTTTCATTAAATTAATTTTGATTTTGCCAAATTTGTTGAATTTTGTCACTCACACAAATTTTAAATTACCAATGTAAATTTTATAAATATATATTGAAGTCTTTTGGTGTGTGTGTGTTTATTTATATGTGTGTGGCTGTTATCAAAGTGATTGAAAAATATTTTCCACCTAAAGGTGCTTGTTGAATTTGAAATGAATATTTATTTTAGACTTAATACCTTTTGATGCCTTTTGGTTTTTGAGTAAGACTCCAATCACTTTAATTTCATTTTCTTTTGTTAAAGTTCAATATAAAAATTTTGTTGAAAAAAATGTCTAAAAACGATGCCAATATTCAAAGGATCTTAGTTTTTGCTTGCAAATATATTTGGGTGGAAATTATCAGAATCTTAGAATTTATATTCTTGATTTTAAAAAATATAAGGAGGGCATAATAATATATTTTCATTTTTTGTTATTTTTTTTAGTTTTGCTTTCTTGTAATATTTTTTACAGTTTGCCATTTGTTATGATTAAAAAATATTTATAAAATCAGTCCAAGTTTTGCGTGTTTTTTTTAGAGTTTGTTTGTTTTGAATTAATTTAAATGTATTTAGTTATGGTGGATGTTAATGTTATTATCATAACTATTCCTTTCATTTAACAGATTTACTCGCTTCTTTAGAGTAAGGATTTAGAGTTATAGTTAGATATTATACAGTTGCTTTCATTAAGTTTACAGTTAGTAATTATTATTTTATATATTTTTAAAATATAAACAATCTTTATTCTCTTCTCTCTTCCCTCTGTTCTCGCTCTATTCTCTGTTCTTCTTTTCTGATCTGTTTCGCATGCAGTTTGGAGGATCAAATTGAAAAATAAAATTCGAGAATTGATCGTGAGGCAGTCGCGATTCGCATCGTATCGAACATCCGCCCACAAAAGAATTGATTCTATATTTCATGATTTCCAATGGTTCTCTTTTCAATTTGTCTCTCTCTTTCTGTCGCTCAACGCGTTTGTCCAATTGTGGTTGAAGCTTGTTTCAAGAAAGCTTTTATGTAATTGTTAATAGGCTGTATTATCAGTTAAATCGTATGGGTAATAGCTAAACTCTAATATTTGCAGGCTTAAGACTAAATAACTGCATATTACGCTTGTCCATTAATTATTCACTTCCTCATCTTACTAAGTTCGCCCGAAAATCTCCGGGACAAAACTTCCCCATTCCCCTAGATCGCATCTCAATCCAGCAGGACGCCAATGGTCTGTTGGTGACGCTGCGTTTGCTATGCCGTCGTCGAGTGCTCCGACTTGACCGCCACTCCGCCGATTAGTTGCTCCTGGTGTGAGTGCAGGGCCACTCCCATTAGGGCCATCGCTGTCTGGGCATTCGCATACATGCTGACGTTGCCGCCCACCCCAACTCCCACTCCCACTCCCACACCTACACCCACTCCAACACCGTTGCCCATCGGGACCGCTGATGTGGTGGAGATGGCAGGAACGGCGGCCGTGATGCTGCTGGAGGAGGTGGGCGCCGCAGTGGTGGGTCCTATGGCCCCACTACCGCCGATGTAGTCGCTGCTCGTGCTGACCGTCTGCACGGAACCAGAGGCAGATACGGAGGCGGATGCGGGAGTAGAAACGGAAAGGTGCTGCGGCTGTGGCTGGAGCTGCGCCTGGAGTTGTGGCTGGAGTTGCGGCTGGAGCTGCGGTTGGAGCTGAGGTTGAAGCTGTGGTTGGAGTTGAGCTTGCAGCTGAGGTTGCAGCTGCGGCTGCGTCTGCGACTGAAGTTGCGTCGCATTCTGGGTCTGGGTCGGAGGCTGGGGTTGATGCTGGGCTGCGGCCGCCGCCGCCGAAGTGGAGGCGGACTCGGAGTCGATGCCGGCGGTGATGGCACCGCCGACCGAGGCGCGCATTCGCTCCGCCCGTTCGAGCCGCTCGGTTTCCTCCTGGGTGACCTGCAGGTGCGACTGGACCGAGGGCGGGATGGCGTGCACGTCCCAGATCTCCTCGAGGAACTTGGGCAGCTTGCGGTTCTTGAGCTTGAGCGAGAAGCACATCTCGGCGTTCTGGTTGCCCAGCGTGCGCAGCTCGGTAAGGATCGAGAGCAGCTTGGCGTAGAAGACGAGGCTCATGGAGTCGCCGCAGTGGCGGTTGAGTATATAAATGCGTAGCGTGTCGATGTAGTAGCTCTGGATCGCTTCGACTAGTTGGGCCTTCTCCAGGCCCGGCCGGTCCGAGAAGATCACAATGGCAGTGAGTAGCGCGTATTCGACGTTGTCCACCTTCATCGAGAACATTTGGCGGCAGAAATGCAGCAGGTCTTCAATGTTGTCGGCCATTCCGGCCATTTTGTACGAGTCCCGCGTGTAGGATCTGTTATTCGCGAAGAATATGGAATCCGAGCTGTGATCGTAGCGGCGAGCCATGCGCAGCATCATCACCTCCGACGAGCAGGCCTAAAGAACGAACATTTATGCTATAGACTTGTCACTTAAAGTCCGTTTATTCAATGATACTCACCTTTAGTAACGTGATCTGATCCTCCTGGGGTATTTTTGTAAACGCTGGTAGACCTTTAGCAAACTCAACAATCAGCTGCACTGTGAGAATGGTTATCTCGGTGATGTGCCGAAAGCTGACATCCGTCTGGCTCTCGTTCTCATCGGGTTGACTCTGCAGGGAAACGAGTTTAGAATGTATGCCTATGGGGTATTATTAAGTGAGACTCACCATTATACGCCTGAGATCCTCTTCGGATGGCTGCTCGTAGCCATCCTGGTACCAAATTAATTTGTATATAACGGCCAACTGATTGTACGTTAGTGCAGGTATATTGCGCGCTTGGCACTTGGCCAAAATTTCATCAGGTAGTAGCTGTATGGAAAAAAAAAAAGGAAGTGAATGTTAGTAAGACATCTGACAGAGATCCAAGGCAGATTTAGCTTTGTGATCTTGGCATATATATTATTATACCCTAGCAAGTATGAATTATATTATTACCGGAATAGTGGCATGCTGCGGCGCCTCGCATGTCATTAGGTCAAGAATCTCCTTCTTGACAATCTCGTGGGCGTTGCCGGTCCCCAAGCTGCCGCTGTTGCCGCCGTGCTGCGAGCTGGGCGATGTGGTCATCTTGTCCTTCTCCTTCTGGGCCTTCTTCTCGCGCCGCTTCATCGCGCACTGATTCTCCGGCACAACGCACTCCGGTCGCATGCCCACGGCCAGGCACTTTTTCAGACGGCACTCCTGGCACTTGCGCCGCATGTACATGTCCATTTCGCAGGCGCGTCCGAATTTGCAGCAGTACACGGCGCTCTTCGTCACGCTGCGCCGAAAGAAGCCCTTGCAGCCCTCGCAGGTGAGGGCGTTGTAGTGGTAGCCGGAGGCCCGATCGCCGCACACCAGGCACAGCTCCTCCTGCACCCGCGGCGCAGGACCCTTCTTGCTCTTCTTCGCATCGCAGCTCTCGTTCGCCGAATATCCGTTCAGGCTGCTCGAGGGCGAGAGATCGTCGCGACCTGTTGGCGAAAGGAGGGGGGTAGACAGATCTAGTTAATATGGGTTTTTTTCAGCTGTCGATCCATTAAACATTAGACCCAAATAAATAAATTTACTGTGACGGAGTTCTATGTTCTTCGTCATTTGCATGTTTTGCAAGCTCCGGATTCGACTGGAACACGTTTGCTTGCTAATCTGAGTTGCTGTATCCGATGGCTGGTAAACGGAGTTTGGCAACAGCCACCTCCGTCATTGTCCCCCGAGAAATTTAAAATTCAATTAACGTTGTCGCTCAAAGTCAACGGAATGAGGCACGAATTTATTCCCGCCAACCAAATTCGACCAAGGGAATGTTTGGACAGGAAAATTAAGGCACTCGATGGCGAAAGATAACTGAGAACTGGACTTTGATTTGAACTTTCGAAGAATTTATCAAATTTTCCTGATGGTTCTTCAGATTTAAGTGTTTTAGCCTGTTAACAAGCATTAAAAAAATATCCGCTATTAAAAGTTTATTCCTAATAAAATTCTGGATATAAGATTACACCAAACTTTTCAAGCTGGGTTATTAATGTACATACATACTTTCTTTCTATTTCCATCCATAAACCATCAAGAACCATTATCGATTACGTTCAAAAGAGGAATTGTGTGGGGTATCGGGAACTATGAATGGAGACACATTATACGAATAGTCACGTTTGCAACACTCCCACAAAGAGATAAAAGAATATCAAGTGCAAGTTTTCCCCACAAAGGCACTAACTATGCGCCAAGGAGGGGCAGTTAGAAAGGGGCAGGATAGGTGGGAAGGTGGGCGTTGGCTGGTGCTGTAACTGCAGCAGAAACAGAAGCAGCCAAAGGAATGACAGTGACAACAGCAGCAGCAGAAACGGCAATAGAAGGCAGGCCCAAGACACGTCTCAGACACTTGACTAAAGTACAAGAAGCAGGAGGAATCGAAGCCAAAGCGGCTAAGACGTCACTTGGCCACAAGTGCATACGTCTCCTGTTCCTTCTCCTTCTCCTCCTGCTGCCCCACCTCCCTTTGCCACCCGGTTTTCAACTGCAGCCGAGTGCAACGCAGTGCATTGTCGGCCTAACACAGTTTCTAGCAACCATTTTCCCCCTTCCAGCCCACGGGGCGCATGGCCATAAATATTACCCATACGCCCCGTTGTCTTGGCTCTTGGCTCACGGCTACTTTCCCTCCCCTGCTGCAGTCGCTGCGTTTCAATTTCACTGCCAGCGAAGGAAGGAGCGCGGGACAGTGGAGAAAATGAAATAAACGACGGCGTCATGCAAACTTTGTCTGCTCCAGCGGCTCATGGAAAATGGGGAGACGCCAACTTGACTGCATTTTCACTGCACTCGAAAGCAGCTTTTGTGTGTGTGTGTGTGTTTCTGCGCCAACGTAGAAATGTGGAAAATTGCTGCTGCTTCGGCAGGGAAATCGCGTGGCTAAAAGTAAAAACCTGCTGCAGTTACCGGCTCGTCTAAGCTGGTTGCAATGGTGGTGCAATGTCACGGAAGAAGGGGGTTCACTACATCCCACGGGATTGCCATTGCCGCTGCTGATCCAATGGAGCACAGCTAAGTAGGCGCCAGGTGAGTGGAAAAGCTGCACAATTACCTGCCCGCTCACCAAATTCTTTGGGGCCCCAGAGAGCGTCGTGTGTACAATATCAACTTTATGACTGCTGGTAATTATTTCCCTACGCTGAAATGCAACTTGCCTACAAACACCAAATATACATGCATGGACCCACAGAGGACCTACAGCACAGCCACATTTCATTTTTCATCCATGAAAAGACATTTTCCATCGCACGCAATGCCAGCAGAGGAGCGAAACGCCATCGAGTAAGAAAAACAAAGGCAGAACGGCAATGGATGAAAAAAGTGGACGCCAAAGCGGCAACAGCGTGGCACAAAAGACACCCCCGAGTTCGCCCCAACTGCCACCCTTCCGCCCCTTTGGAGCTGCCCACGTTTGGAGTTCATTGTGTTATTGTGCTTAGTCGCTCGGTCTCCGTTCGCCATTCCGCACTACATACCCACATAATCCATGTAAGCGACTCTGCCGTCTCTGGCGACTGAGGGCCAAGGCAGCGCCATCGGGACGGACGGAGGAGGACGCGGGACCAGAAAGCTATAGCCATATATACATGGCCACGAAAACAAACTGCAGCCAGAGCCCCACAACTTCCACTTCAGTGCTGGCAAAACAGATTTTTCAGCCAGAAAAAAACGTTTTTATACGTGACTATATGCATAAATTATTGGTAACCCAAGATTGAATACTAGGGTTAATGGTATTTAGGTTTAAATAAATTGTACTTTAATTAAGTTTTATATTCTTATTGCTTTCTATTGCTATCTAGGGTGGGGAATAACTAACCAGATAGTCTCTATCACCTCTGTCTGCGAAATATTAAGGGAGGTCGGTTTTGCCCCATAAATGTTTTTCAAGGTTTTATAAAAAGTTTCTTATTTAAAAACCAGTTTTACCTATTTTTACCCTCCAATTCAAGAATAGGGACCTAAGTACCTACTTAATTTAGCTTGTCTAGCTCTTTTTTTGGTGGGGCACAGCACTGGGCGCCCAGCAGCCTGCGCTCTCCTCACTCGCTATCACTCTTCTTTCTTGCGCTCTCTCTCTCTGTTCCTCCTTGTCTGCTCTTGCTATCTCCCTTTTGCTGCACGCCCTTGTTGAAAAAGCTGAAAAATGTTGATGTAGGCCTCGAAAATATGCAGTTTGCCTTTGGCATTGCCACTGTCACTGCGGGCAGCGCAGTCGGCGTCAGTCAACGTCAACCCCCCCACCTCACCCATACGTGTGTTTGTGTGTGTTCGGGAGAGCGGATTGCATGTCGCACAAGTTTCCACAGTGGTATAGGTAAGTTCTCCCTTCTGGCTTCGTTCGCTGCATTCTGCATTTTGCATTTCGCATTTTGCATCTCATTTCGCCCGTTCGCTTCAGCTTTTCATTGCTTTTTTTTCACACACACTTTTTTGTTCTAGGCAAAGAAATGAAACTTTTTGTTACTGCTCCTGTTGTTGCTGTTATTCGTCTTGTTTTTTTTTTCTTTCGCTGTATTCTATGGCGAAAATGTCTCTTTGTATGCATTTTCCTATGAATATGTGTGTGTGCTGTGAATGCAATATTTTTAAGCGGCTTGTTTTCTGTGAATGCATATAAAAAAGCACAGAAGAAGCAGAGGGGTCTGTGCAAATAGCGCCTACTGTGCTGAGAACAGAGAAGCAAAGTAAATAAGTTCCTTTCAACCCCCCCTCGCATATTAGCAAGTTGCAGACTAGTAGAGCCGAAAGTCATAAAAAAAAGTCGGACGAGCCAAAGTTTGCTTGTACGATTTGCAGCCTCAAAATGAAAGCCAAATAAAAGAAAATATAGCTGGCCAAAACTTCGAATGAAATATAGATTGTTTCGTTTTTGTTGCACTTAAATATCGACATTTCTATGATTTCACTGATATATGTTAGCTGGTTTTAAACGGTGTAGCGGCAGTACGTGTAGCATTCACATCTATGAGGTTTTTACATTCTTTTTACATCAATATAAAACTTTTAATAATAAGTAATCTTTTAGCCTTTCCAAATCTAATTAAAATAAACTAAATGAAACTTTAAGTTTTCTTTGAATTAGTCTTCAAATACTCCACAACAGATTGCTCACAATTTGCTCTTTAAAGTGCAACGAGAAAGCAAAGATTCGGTTTCGGGAGTGTAGATTTTTATTGCTATGTCTTGGCGCCACATCCATCGTGAATCATAAATCTGGCTGCAAATCAACCGAAATGGTTATTTGTGGCATTTCAATGCTTATAAGCATTTGGCGTTGTCGGTATCTCAGTTGTTTTGTTATACTTTAGGTGGTAGGAAAATAAAAGAAACATAAAAAAACTGTATAGTAGTTCATCCAACTTAATAACGACACCTCTGTCGTCAGCATGAATTTCATAAATTTCCATATTGATTTTTTAAAAAGTCGGCAAAAGAATTAATCGATTTCAAATATCAAATAAATTTAAAAAATCCAAATCTCCTAAAAGGTAAACATCCCTAAAGCCCTGTATAAGCTCGTCTCACATCATTGACACATTTTCTGTACATATTGCTCGAAGGGACTACGAATTTGACTATGCCGACATTGCAGGCGATTATGTAAGCGAAAGCCGACGACCCTAAATCAAAACAAGTTGAGCAGGCCCAACTAACCACCAAAACTGCAGAGTTTCCCCACAAAAGGGGATGATTGCTGCAGGTGGTTGGGGTTTTCGGGGGTGCTCCACCTTGGCTTTGGGCCGTAGTTAGGATGATTTGTGATGGCCAGCCGGTCGAGTAGCTAAGGCCAAAATCAACCTAGTCCGCCCAGCAAAACAAACTCGGAGGGTTTTGGGTTTGTTTGAGCTGGGCAAACGTATAACCGGAGCTGAAAAACTGTACCACAGAAAGCGCATGTCCGATGCACTGTCTGCAGTTCTCTTTTTCTCTCTTTCTCTTTCTCTCTCAATCCCCCAGTCTCTTTCGTTTGTTTGGGGTTGCACACGTTTTTCTGTTTCAGGGGGTTCTCTAGTGCAAGGCTGCAATTTATTTTGCACGAGTTTGTCAGTTGTTAGGCACGTTTCGCCATCCCCAAACCCCGATCAGCCCCCTTTTCGCCTTCTGTGGGCTTGGATTATATGGTTGAAAAATTGATTTTTTCAGTTCGTTGGCATGTTGCCGCCTAGCCATGTACTTTCTTGTTTCTGACCAGGGGCAGGGACACGGACACGGACACGGATACGGAAGAAGGTTGGGTGGCGGAGGTTGAGGAGGATGCACTGTGTGCAATAGGTGGCTGAAAAATGATTTTTAACCTACTTTGAGCCCAGGTCGACATTTAGACGAGGGTCGTCGCATGACCTTTCGTGTGTTGCGGAACGCATTATATGGCTTTTTCGTTTCTTCTTGCGCCACATTGTTTGTTGTTGCTACAACTTGCAAGAAAGCACTACCG